CGGGACTGAACGCTGCGCGACAGAATCTACAGATTCCTCGATTCGAGTATTAACATTCGAGCGCAGAATTTACGACAGAAGCATACCGCTTTCTTAAACGCGCTGAATAGCATAAGGTAGTTTGGGATTAACTGTTTGAGACTCACTCTCTAGGTAAGAACCAACGTGTCTCAGATGTCAGACATTTACACGCGTACAACCGTTTTCGACCAGCAGCATGGCCTATCGCCGATAACATTTTACCTTCTACCACTACCCGCCACAAACATGCGGTTCGAGTAGGGCCTTGCAAGTCGTAGATATGAATCATCCCACCCGAGAATCCCATGAGTAGGTAGCTTAGCTGTGCCTCCCCCACGCGATATTGAGGCAGATTCTCCAAACATGCACATATCGATGGGACGTCTCAGACTCATGATTCCGATGAGCATATCTTATGTAGTCAGCTCTCGACAAACTTCTTCGAAAGGATCATGAAGCTGCCAGACTGCCAAATCGACATGACCGAAGGGGATTTAACAGAGCTCGGAGAATTGAGGTCGCCATCTATCGTCGAGATGGGATTGCATGAACACAGAGGCGCAGCAAACCCCGGCCATGCCGTCATTAAATTAGGGTTGGGATTAGTTTACGAAGGCGGCGAGATCGCGGGATCCTCCCGGGCGTGGTTGAAGCTGGCGAATCAGTAAACGAGCACGTCTACGAAAGTATCGTCTGGCCTAAGCACTACGATCCTCCCGTCTTTGGTGTAAGCAGACGTCGGTCTATGCTCAAAACTAACGCGATTCTACGTTTGTCTATTTTTTTTTTTTACTCCTTTGGTGTGCGACACAATCAAAATGTAGCTGCAGCAAAGGCACAGTCCAGCTCGACGGCGCCGCCTTTCGAGTGCGTTTGGACAGGATTCGGTACTACCCAACATGTTGGGTCGTACAACTAAAGTATTCTTTGCTTTGCCGTAGAATCCGATCTGGTAAATAAATGCGGAGGGAATCTGCATGTAAAAACTACTCCAACGAAATGAAAGCGCCCATGCGGCACGGCTCGCCAGTAGGGTCGGTAAGGTATCCTCCAAAAGGAGTTGCTACGTTAAGTACGCTTGCTGACATTATGTACCGCAATCCTTCCTTGGACCCCATCTTGAGACTCTCAGTCCATATGGGCTACTTTATCTATGCCATACAGCGTAGAGTATGTTGGCACGCTTATGCTCTATTTCAACATACACACGTCTAAATTTGACGCTCGTTGATAAATCTCATTGGTCGTCAACCAGCCCATTGCTAGCCTACACCGCTTTCAGTAAATCACCTACTCCAACGCTAATAGTCAGTTCTGAATGGCTCCGAAAGAGGGTTACGTTGGATCCTGCGTCGCTTTTCTACTGGCTAGCCGCGCCATAGGCAGACGTTCAAGGACTACCATGCGAGTGGTGAATGATATGGCAAGGCTGCTTACTCCGTAAGCCGTTGTCGAATGTAACTGTTGGCAAACTAGCAAAATTGGCATGACTTTTTGCTAGCCAGAACACTGAAGACACATTCCTTTATCAGCAGTTGGAACTATACAGACAAATAGATAGCCAAGAGTCTAGTATCATATAGGATGGAGCCATGCTGCCATGTCAGCTACAAAGGAGCCGAGCCATCGCCGTTATGAATTCGCCACTCGTGGTTGATCTCCTAACTAAGGTTTAAACCAACTCCTGTAGAACACACGTAAGAACGTCTATGATACCAGTTTAACTTCTGAGGAGAGCATGACCGTTTAGAAAATATTAGCTGCCTATCTTACTCGCATCCAATCCTACGAGCTGGATATACTACCACATGGCGCGGTTCCTTAAAAAACCTAGTACGGGACACTGGTTACTATGATTCCTTTTTACGACCAGGCATTCCTGATTACGGTGGTGCTCTCGATGCGGTGAAACCTGGGAGGCAAATGCCTGCTGACGCCATCCCCAAAATCCGCTACGCATCATCTACCGCGCTATACTTATACATTATAGTATGGTTATCGTCGGTTCCTGCGTAAATTCCAGTTGTATAAGCTTATCGTGAGATGTCCAGAGTAAATCCTAAACGCCTTTGCCGCGCCTTGGGTAACCGGCTTATAGAGAATTCTCAGAAAGGGTGTCACACCAAGAAGTCTTTTCGACACGTTGCTTGTTGCCAGTGGTCATTCTGATCTGTGGCTTATCATTTTTTTCTTGCTTGCTTCCTTTCCCCAGATTTGTCGATGTAGATAGCATCACAGGTACACAGAGATCGAGTAGAGCCACCATCACGCTAGGTGTTCGTAGGGGTGTTCGTAGGCTTGCTTTTAGGATATCAGGATCAGGATTGGAGATAAGCAGCAGGTTCGTCTAATCCCACAACGCGGTCATCATCGGAGTTCTGACTGGTCGAAATGGATTGTCTATGACAAAGAATCTTAGTCCCAATAGTTTACTATCGTCAGGTTACTAGTGACGTACAGGTTCGTATGGCAGACTATGAATTATAGGAGCCCAGTGTACGACCCACCGTGACCTAGAGTCTTTATGGTATTATATGTTATCATTTAGATAGGTAATTACATAGGACAAAGACATGATGCTATGTAGATCATCTCGGGTATCTACCGGTGATATCAAAGTTTACGAACCCACTAGCAGTCGGAATCCAAATTCATTGTCTTCTTCTTCTTCGCCTCCTGTTATATGTGATATCAAATAGTATGGAACGTATCACCAGGCCCTACGCCACTATCGTTCTGGCGTAAGGCACTGGGGAGGTGAAAAGTCCGGTGAGAGCCACCTTTCCGCGCACAGTATCTGTATCTTAATAATAAGCACTTGACTAGATCTAATTCTAGGTGACGTTAACCGTGTTCGAGAAAGGATAAAAAAAAGCCTAATAACGTGATATGACCGATCACCAAATACGCCATGGCAACGTCCAATCATAAATCATCGCAAGCCCTAGTTGGCTAGGTAATGAGTTAATTCCGTTAGATCACCAAGAGACTCATCTCGCGCTTCTTGGAAGAGGCAAATACATACACAGCTTCTGAGATACGCCATCGAGCTAATTACCTGTTTGTTGCCTTTGATTATACGACGACGCGCGGTCCGAGATCCGACAGAAGCGCGAAGCAAGGAGGCAGCATATACCTATCTGTTTACCTATCTACGCCAGGCGAACCAGCTGAAAGACATTTATCATACAAGACGTATCATATTTGGGCCAGAATGCCATATCTTATATTGTCCGTCCCGAAGGTGCCGGCGCGTCGCTGTCTCGGTCTAGGGGCGCGCGCACATGACTCCCCCACAAGATAACGGAAAGTGGTGGTACAGTTCGATGCTGCGGACCAGACCGACGACGCATGAGGGCTTGAGACAGCCAGCCAATGACTCAAGCTATTTTTGCCCTCGGCGCCACGAGGACCCCTCGTCCGAACGATAGTTTGCAAAACAAGCTTTTTTTGTTCTTCCTATCTTACTTTTCCTTGTCCTTAGTCCCTTGGAGCCGTGATACATTCTATCTGTCTGAGACAAGTCTCCGGCTGGTTAGACATCCGCGTGTTCTTGCTAGGTGCCGCGAGACGAACGGATAATGCGGAGTTAGGAGAGAGGGCCTAGACGCGCTCTGTTAACTCGTGATATTGCATAGTAGGTAGGTCGTTTCTGGCACGCGGGTTGCGCTGCGACATTCGTGTGTTAGCTGAACGCGGCATATTGGCTCTTAGGGCGAGACTTTTTAGCTTGGTGTCGATTGAGTTTGAGCCGATGTCTCTAGGGACTATGTAGTATTCCATCATCACTTGAGATGCTGCTTGTTTCTTGATTTGTGAAGAGGGTCGTGACTCTGGGATCGGTATTTCTATGACGAGTGTGCATATAAATGATGCCTATTTGGCATAGAAACCTCCGAGGTTGGAAGTTTGGGGATCAAGAAATGGTCATAGTTCATCTTCAATGAAACAATAACAACACGGGAGATCAATCATCTTATTAAAACCTTAACAGATAGAATGTGGAATGATTCTATTCTTAGTAGTAAAGTAACTATTTTAATACGTGAAACATAAGGGTAAATGCCGAACTTGACTCACACTGCTATATTCTCCTTTTCAGTATGTAGTGCCGTTAAGCTATTGATATCCTCTACAAGAGGCTTCCTTTTATCACTATATAAGTACAGAGACGATCAATATAGGTAAGTCGAATGAAATTTGAGACTAAACAATACTGCTGTATATTAAAACACGGGGAATATGAAACTAGAAAGGGTTAATAGGCTACTTGAATGAAACATGCCTTAGAGAAGGACTACCTGGGATAACTAGCAATCAAGACATCCACATATGCAAAATTGACAATTCGGTACGGCGCTTCCGTCCTCCCGGGCTCTCTTGCGCCGGCCAGGCTCCGTTTTGCTATCCGGGCATTGACCTATTAAACGACCGTTTTGAAGAAATGGAAATGTTAGCCGCCCTGCTCGTCTTATTCCGAGAGATGTCGTCTTTACTCTGTTTACACCCCCTGTCCACTGACCCCTATTTTCTTGTAACGAGGTTTAGCATCCTCGACACGCTTGATAGTCGTGTATATATCTGCTACATAACAGGACTCACACCGAGTGCTCGTCAAACCTCTCCCATTGGCCTATTCAACCTCCTCGCTGATGCTCATATAATCTGACAAGAATTTACATTATGGTGTTTTGCTTACAGAAATTTTTGTTAGTGTGTGCTTTGATTTACAAAGTTAGAACAAGGGTCGAAAACTCATCGACAACTTTGAAGTCATCTCAGCCTTTACTTTCACGAAGCTCTGTAAGTTATGTTCATCTTAGGCTCCTATGACAAAACGGACCTGGAAAGGGATCAACATTACCTTCCACCCTGCATATCTGCGTAGTTGCCCAACGCCCTAACATTGCGGTTGGCGTACTACTCGTGATACTACTACCTGTTACAAGTCACTCCATAGATCCTGTTTGTCTTTCTGTTTAGTTAAGCATCTCGGTGATTCCCGCAGGCTCCCAATCCTCCCATCTGCCATCATCTTTTCCAACCCTGCCGTCTAGCACAGTAGGAGGTATCCGATTGCCATGCCCAACGTAGAGAGCCATTTTATCCACTTTATTGTCGTCGCGAAATTTCCTGAAAAATTGGCAATCTTGTATGACCGCCAAGTCTGCACCACGGGAACATAGAAGCTTCGCCATCTGGATATGCTCATGGACAATTGCGTCAACGATAGGCGTTTGAGATGAGTCATCCTTTTTGTTGATGTCGAGCCCCTGGTCCAACAGAGTAGTCATAATACTCTCATTGCCACTCCTTGCCGCAGCGTGCAACAAGAGCTCGTCTGGGTCGAGACACGCCTTTGCTGACAAAAGCCTGTGGAAGCTATCTTCGTGACCACGACTCGTTGCCATCAGTATCGCTGATCCTTCTGGGCCCCTCGCATCGATTATGGCCCCGCCCTTTATGAGTATGTCTACTAGATCTGGCTTGTCACCGACTATCATACAGAACTGCAGTGGGGAGTATCCCTCTACTGTTGTTGCATTGATATCAGCACCAGCTTCGAGTAGCATCTCCATCATGCCGGAGTTACTCTCCCTAATAGTATGGTGGAGGGGTCTATATCCCTGCTTGGGGAAGATTCTGTCGCGGTCAGCGCCATAGCAGAGGAGGAGTTGTGCCGCCTCAAGCTCCATGCTCATGATGGCGGCCTGGAGTGCGGTCAGACCATCAGGATTCTCGCGCTCGATATCTATATTGTACTGATCTAATAAAAGTGCCAATGCCTCGATATCGCCAATAACTGCAGCCATATGAAGCATCGTATTGCCACCAAGAGTGCTTTGTGCAAAGGCAGATGGGTCAATACCATTAAGAAGTGGGTTATGAGAATGGGACCCGCCACCGACGCCTTGACCCAACGTCAATGTTGGGATAACAATAGGAGCTTCTTTTTCCATATTATCAAGGTTTGGTGGTTTAGATTCGGCGCTCGATGTTTTGTCAATATTCAGGGCAGTCTCGGGCTCACGTAAAGGATCACTAGGTTTCAGTTTTGGTGTAGCATCGTATATATCCTCCTCACTCTCACTCTCACTCGTTAGGTGAGAATTGTCTCTGCATTTGTAGAGCTCTGGCTTTTCAGGTGTTATGACGCGGGTTATGGCATTGAAATACATACCCACACCATCCTCACCTGGTAATCCAAACGAATCAATATATTGCCAGTTTGGAGGAAGTCGCCATTGGTGCTTCATAAAACGCGCTCTGGCTAGTACCGTGTGAACATAGTCTGCTGTTGATAACTTGCTCTCTTCTTCCTGGCGTCTCTTGATCTGTTGATTTCGGAGATCAGACCGCATGATATTGTAGAAGATGTCTGTACTTTCATCGGTGGAGGTACTTTCTTCCCGTGTCGAAGTGATTGGTGCCGGCCAAATACCATTCAAAATCTCCCCTTTCTGGACAGGTAAGTCCGTTAAAATGGCATCTTGAAAGCCGTGGTCCTTGTCCATCTCCTTTACCACGTCATGAAATACGCCCCGCCCGCCATTGGACAAGAGTTTTTGCTTAATCTTCTCCAGGTCATCTGTCCACATATGAAACTCAAGATGCCCCCAATGAGGAACTGGTGTGTGGAAAGCCATGCCTCCAAGTCTAAAAATTGACACATCGAGTGGAGTGATTACATCCTTTGAGGCATTGAAGAAACGCATCTGTGATGTCTTCGGGTCTGTTACTTTCCACCCAATATTAGGGTCGCAGCCCTTATTGAGAAGCAGTTCAACCACCTCGAAGTATCCACTCATTACTGCATAGTGTAGCATTGGCATACCTCTCCATGTCAGCTCTTCAAAGGGGCGAGAGGGCCCTTGCATGCGGAAGAGTAATTTCAGTAAATTAAGATCCGATAATCTATGGGACGGAATGACGGGTCGAGGTAAGCGCACTATCCAGAGCCAAAGAGGCTCGCCTTCGTGTCCGTTAAGGTGACCACCTTTTTGTTCTTCAAGCCACGTAATGCCTGTTATTATTTCTGAACGTCTTTCAACACTCCACAAGGCAATGAGGTCGGAGAATATTGAGCGACGATTTTTGGCATCACGGGACAATAGTTTTCGACGTTGTTCAGGTGAACAATGGGACAATATCATTTCTGCGGTCTCTGTGGAACCCCTTGACAGAGCCAGTGCGAGAGGGGTAAATCCTTTCACATATTTGGCCATAATGTCAGCTCCAGATTGCAGAAGCAGTTTGATGAAGACTGGGCTCGCTTCTTCGTCACATGCTATGTTTAATAGTAGATTTTCCTCTTGCAAAAGGGTTGGGAATTCTGCTAGAAGATACTCAAAGCAATTTGGTGAATTGAAGGCGAGACACATAGACAATGCCGTCATGCGAAGACCTCTGTTTTGTGGATCTCGAAGCAAGTTTCCGGGGTCCTTCAGGTGATATAGAGCATCTATGTTCCTCTCTTGTAAATTCTGGACGAGCAGTTTTGTGACTACTAAATCATCCCATCGCAAAGCATTGAACAGTGGGCATGAGGTAAGGATACCGTCGACTGGGCTGGCTCCTTCCTCTAGCAGGACTTTGATCGTATCCTCGTATTTCTTGTCATAGCCACTACCATGTAGTGCTCGCCTCTCCACATAGTGTTGAGAAAAGGTGTCCTGTAAGACGATCGGTGTGAGAAGTGTGGTCAGCAAGCCATCTGTTGCTTTCCAGATATTTTGACCATCAAGACACATGCGGGGGTTGTCACGGGAGAGTTGTAAAAGAAACTGGCCAAGTTCATGATGTAGATAGGCAAAACTGAGTGTGAGAGCAGTACCAAAGTCCGGTATGGGTTCTTCAAAATTGACGTGTAGATAGAAGATCGCTATAGCGAGGTCAAACTTGCCGCGTCGAATTGCCGCAGAGAGAGGAGAACCGTCTCGAGGTACCGAGGATAATGAATCTTCAAAGCTTGCAAGTCCTATTGCGGAACTCAACCGATCAAGATACCCTAACTTGGCACCTCTTTGATATGCCAATTCAACGAGATCCACAGCTTCGACGTCTGGTAGTCGCACAAGGAGGTGTAAACCACCCTGTATCCGTTTCTGTGATATCTCATCCGACGTGTGGCTCAGCAGAATCTTTCGAATATCCTGTGCTTCCCCTTCAGTAACTGCCTGATATGTTGTAGATGGTACTTCAGGAGTCTCCGGATGTATTCTATACCCTCCATAGGCCAAGTGCATGAATAGATTGGGGCTATCGAAAAGGTTTCGAGGATCGTGATGACCTAATATTCTATCGCCACAGATTTTCTGGATGAGACGATAGTGTGCGGGCCAACGAGTATATAGTATTTGCGCAGCACGATCTGAACCACAGAGTGCAAGTAAAGAGAGGAATAAGCGAATGGGAAAGCGGGACTCCTTAGGCGTGTCATTAAGTATCAGGCTTGCTAGGCAGATAGCTGTGCTGCTACCACCAAGTGCCGAGACGCAAATTTTATTGCCAAATTCCTCTAGATAGGATGAGGCTCTATGGCCGTCGAGATTGGCGAGGGCAATGAAATAAGATAGCTGCGCTCTGGTATTATTTTGAGCTAGGTTCTCCTTCGCTCGGTCACGATCTTGACCAAGCGCAAGCTGTTGGATGCGTGTTGCCAGTTGCTTGGAGTACTCGTGAGGATCCATTTCCTCTGGGAGTTCATCGGGAATATCGAAGTTGGACGGGTGGTGTGTTTCTATGTTTCCCATTTTATCAAATGCAACCTTAGCTTGCTCTAGAAGGATAGCGGCCGGTGCCGACTTCATCATTATTAGTTGGCGACTCCTGAATGGCAGTCATGTCGAAACTCACATCGATTATATCACTTAATTGATTGAGGCCACGGCTGTTTGAAACATAGTTCATCTCTTGACTTTATATGCTGTTAGCCATGTAATTATTCGTAGACCTCCCAATCCCTAAAGAAAGGCCGAACATAGGGGAGGGAATTGAACATACCTTGTATCTCGACTCTCCGCTGCGGCAAAATACTGCAAACTTCGGCATAGGTCATCAGCAGTGGGCCGCAACCAAAAGTAAGCTCTCAGCGTAGGTGCCAGAATATTAAGAAGTGTTTCCTTGTCAGTATCGCTTTCAAGAGACTGCGCGAGCTTCCTTTTCAGTAGGCTACGAAGGCTGTGGTCAGACACCTCGTCTTGGATACTCTTGAGATACCAAAGGAAAGCTTTCCTTTCTTCATTTGACAGGGCGGAAGGAAGATACGAGACTAAGAAGTTGGAGCTAGACTTCTCTGTTCTTTGTGCATCAAAACCACCCTTGGATCGACCGATCGCCCACAAACTTCCGACTACCAACCCATATGAGTAGATATCCGCCCTCTGCCAATCAATGTCTGGATCTTCATTGAGGACTTCGGGGGCGCTCCAAAGAGGCGTATGGTGAACGGGCTGACCTGCCTTTTCACTGGCTAACTGAGCACTCCCCCCAAAATCAATGAGTTTGGCCACAACTGAACGAGACCGGTCCTCATAAGGCATAAGAATGATATTCTCTGGCTTGAGATCACCGTGAACAAAGCCAGCTTTATGGATTGCAGCGAGTCCCATGGCAATATCAATAGTCACATGGCGCTTTTGCGCAGCGTTAAGGCCAGGGCCAAAAGTTCGTATCTGGTAGTCCAAGGAGCCGTGTGACCCGTGTTCCATGACGAGTCGTGGAAAAGGCTCGCCTTTGCTCCACCCAATGAAGCGTAGTTGGACAATGTTTGGGTGTCCAATAAGCATTGGGTTGCAAAATGTCTGTAGCTCTCTGAGAATGCAGTCGTAGACTGTGCGCCGAGCGCCCGGGTCCGTGTCCGAAGATGTGGTACCAAAGATCTTGACCGCGACGAGCCTACTTTTCAGTGGTGTCGAACTGATCTCCTCTGGTAATGTGTGTTGAACAACCTTGGCAGTCAGGCCGCTACCGAGAGCAATAGGCTCGTCTACAGACTCTTGATCTTGAGGCTCTGGTTTGCGCAATTGTATCATCGGGATTCCATATTCAGCAGAGGCGCGCATAATACGCATGAAATCAGTCCCATCGAGGCTGGCAGCTGTCAACGGAGACGATTTCGTCTGTGGCGATTCCGCCTGTGAAAGCAACCTATTTGATCGTCTTGTGGTTGTCGATGTTGAATACATTCTCGCGAAGTAGGTATGATTTCTTGTTATGTTTTCTTGTTCAGGGAAGAATAACCATGCTGCGACAAACAGAACTCTTATTGCTATATTAGCAATGGCTCTATATATGCTCAACCTACACTTGCTACCTACATTCCTGAAACATGTGCATCAACTAAATTCGGAGTATCAAATTCCCTTACTGCGCCTCTCAGCCTTGGGCAGCGACAAGCAGGCTGCCAGGCTGCACTCAACGTCAATTTTCGCCTTGGGTATCAATAAGCCGCAAAAGCCCAGCCTAGATCTACGTTAGTTTCCGCCTTGGGAAGTGATAGGTCGCAGAATAGGGCGTTGCTCTACGTCACAAGCGAGTTGATACGTTTTATTGATGGTGGTAGTTGGCTTGTGCTTACGAGGTGTGGTATCGTAATGTAACGGGGTGAATCGAAATACCTCGCCAGCACCATCAGTTAAGTATTGGGCTTTTCCCAGCTAAGCAGATCTAGATTCGAGATTCTAGGCGATATTGAGTTGAAAAACTAACCGAGTCCATTCTGATTAATTCATCTTGAAGAACCAAACGCCCAAATTTTCTGATGACTATGGATCCTATTAGCCTTGGTGTTAGTGTGGGTGCGATTGTGATGGCATTCAAAGGTGTCATTGACACAGCCTTGCTTATTGAATCATTTCATGACGATGGCAAGACAGGCTGTGGCTACCTTGCCCTCACCTATCACATTGAAAAAACACGTCTAGATCTTTGGGGCCAGCTATGCAAAGCCAATAATGAATCCTCTTGTACCCTCTCCGACCGGCCAGATTTGGTCAAAGAAACCATAACACGTATTCTAGGCGAGATTGTCAATCTGAATAGGGAGGCTGAAAAACTGATAACGAAGCACGATGTAAAAATGCCCGAGTACCCGCAAGGCTCCGACAATCCTGCCCAAGCAATGAACCTCAGTAGCGCCTTGCCCCAAGCCTTGTCAAAGCTTGTGGTCAAACCAAAAGCAAGGTGGCGATGGACTATCAAGGGAAAAGCGGATTTCGAACAGGTTGTCCTTAAGATTCGAAAGCTAAGGGATGACCTGGAAAGCTTCACTATCTCTGACAATTACCGTCAACTACTGCACAAAGCTCTGCCATCACTCGCCCTGAAGTCCATTACCAGCCGAGAGCTACTTCAAACCCTCTATGACCCAGAAACGCGAGTCGGCAGTGCCTTAGCAGCGTCGGCTAAGGTCAAGTTTCTTTGGAGTCAAACTTCACCGGATTCAAGCGACATGAATATTATCGCAGGTGATCAGCTAAGATTCCTTTCTGGTTCCTCCAACTTGGGAATTCTCAGGAATCAAGGTGCTGGGATATCGTCCGTGTGGGTCGAATGGAATACGGTGCAAGATGGTGCTGGAGCCGCCGAATACATTAAAAGGATCAAAACACTAGGATACCGCTTGGAGAAAATAGGGGAGCCTGCACTGAGGCTACCGAGTTGCTACGGGTTGGTTTTCCAGGAAATACATGGTGCTACGCGTCTTGGCTTTGTCTTCGGAGCTCCACGAACAATTTGGTTGCAGGGCAGGGTTCAGAGTATGCCCAGATATACAGGCGACTTCTTTAATCTCCCACCTGTCTCGCTGGCCAATCTCATGGAACACCAAAAGACTAACACAATACCTCTTCTGGGTGACCGATTCTACCTTGCGTTCACCCTAGCTGTCGCATTTAGCCACTTCCACGCGGCCGGGTGGCTACACAAAGGTTTCCACAGCGACAACATTACTTTCCTCCAGCAGGATAATGAACCACATATAAATGTGACGGATCCGTTTATCACCGGGTTCCAGTACTCTCGTCCTCAACAGGAACAGTCCTTATCACGTACGCCACTTGAGAATGATCAACTGCAGCATTATTACCATCCCGACGCAGACAAAGGATTTTCGAGGCGGCTTGATCTTTATAGCCTTGGCATCGTTTTGTGTGAGATCGGCCGTTGGGGGTTAATCAGGAAAACCGTATCTGATCGCAGGCGAAAGGAGCTTGTAGACCGGAGTGCCTGGCGAAACTATGTGAATAAATATATTTGTGTTGACATGGGCTGGCGAATGGGAGAGAAGTATCATGGTGTAGTCAAGACCTTGCTTGAGTGTCGACTGCCTGGCGATGATCATGATGATGGCCTTTTCGAACAGCAATATCTAGAGAAGGTTATCCAGCCTTTAGCTGAATGTACGGCGTAAAATCTGTCTCTGGTTTTCGTTACTCTTGTTTTTTCTCCGACTTTGTGGTTTGGGATTTCATATATTCAACTATTGTTGCCACATTCGACTACCAGCTAGCACCTCAGGTAGCCAGCAGATTAGTCTATAGCTTCAGAAGAATAAGGTTCACTCTCATGAATTATGATAACAGCCCACAGCTTAGCGCTGGGCAGCTTTGGCGTTAATAACCTCAGCCTCACTTTCTACTTTGCGTCCCCGATGTTGTAATTGGTAAGATTGGATCTGAGTGGACTACCCGAAAAGATTGGGGGTTTTAGGCTTAGTCCACACACGTGATAACACGTGACCAGTATGCTATATAGGTAATCATCCTAGTCCCAATATTCCAACAAACAGTATTGTAACTTGGTCATATGAACCTCGTTAACTACTCTAGGAGGTATAATTTAGACAGATAAATATGAAATAAATTAACAGGAAAAGGAAATTATCTTGTAAGGTAAGCCTTCTTACTTTGTGAGTGAGGTACATTTGTTAGTCGAGGTTGCTAGGCAACATCTCGTACCCCGCTGTCGCCTTAAATAGCCCCTTAAGCAGCCAATCTCCCATCCCTAATCGGCGCTGCGAAACCAATATGGCCGGTGGTGTAGTGGTAATGAAGTAGGGTCAGAAATAATTCCTCGAGGAGTTTTTCGTAAGATCCAGGTTCGACCCCTATGAGAGGCGGCAGGCAGGCCAACTGTTCAGGTCAATCCATTAGAAGGTCGAATCCTGGGTCCAAGCTTTTTTGTCATTATTTTTATTTTATCACGTATTTTATTCCTTCTTTTCTTTTACGTTTCTCATTATCTCTTCGCTAATTCCCCCTGTTTCTTGAGACTTCATCGCGGTGTTGATCGCACTTGGACTCGACTCATGGTTATTTGTTGACACCAGCCAACATTTTCTATTCTAGTTAGGAGTCTTCAATCCATACTCCATTTTTATCAGATCGGCTGCCTTCTCTGCAAGTGCGTACACCGTAGACTGCAGGCTACTTGGAGGAAGTAGCGGCACGATACTTGAATCAATAACACAGAGATTTTCTACACCGTACACCTTCTCCTTGGGAAGCATTGCGCATGTTCCCGCGGGGTGCCACATCGAAATAGAACGGACTCGAAGGTACTTCTTTGTGGCATCTGGATCCGTGAAACAGGCTGCCGAAGGGGATATCTTCAGTGGCTTCTTGAATATGCCACTCAAAGACAGCGACTCGGCGAGGGTGTGGATATAAAGCATATGTTCTGCAAAACCTCAACATCTACCTGGTTCTTTAAGTACCGCGGATCAATAATAGGAGCATCTGATACGTCGTTTGATCTGATATGAACACTTCCACGGGAAAGTGGTTGGGCGAGTATGGCGACGAAGTCGATATATCCTCCAAACACAGGGGGTACAGGTTCACCCGTGGCGGGATCGGGTGACATGGGATTATTTGCGAGCGCCGTAAGGTAGGCACCTGATGATCCATTTGGGTCAAGTAGAATATTTTCAGCTATATCATAATAAGCCGAAGCTTGAGCCTGAGTTTTCCCCGAGAGGTTTCCTGCTACTGGCCGGTTCGTATCGAGCATTTGCATCATGAACTTTTGTCTATAACATTGGATTAGGTCCAAAGAATATATTATGTGACAGGGGACTGATAGAAAAGGGGAGTTAAAGAGGAAGTTACCTACCCTTTGCCCGATTGATATTTAACTATTGGCATGTAGACATACATATTGATTCCGCCTGTTACAAGCAAGCCTGTATGGCTGGTCATTACCAAGCAAGGCCCAAGAATCGATCAGCTTATTTGTAGGTGGAGCAAAGACGTGTACATTTATGACGCTTGAGCTGTCTAAGACCTTTCCTATAATATCACATTTAACATTAGCTCAAAGGTATCGTGAGTTTAGCTTAGCCTTGAGATTTGTCTAGATGATGACTTAACATAGCTCCTAGTACTGAAACCGGACAAGCTAAGGTATTGGTTTGAAATATTTGGGCCTACTTGGCTCAAGTTGACTCGTCTGTTATTGAGTCCTGGCTAGAATCTAGTTTGGCCTCGAACCCTGCGTGTTGAAGAAGATATGCACCTGAGTTTCAGTTTGGAAGCCCTGGTTAGCTTTACTCCTCTGCAGAGTTGAGTAGAGTGCTGGAATTTTGACGCGGGGATCTTCGTTATGGTTAGATCCAGCCTCCAGTACAAGTATGCGCTGACTGGAATCTTCTGAGAGACGAGTAGCACCACGAATGCAGCCGTAACGACGCCTGCGATGACGAAATTGTAGGATTCAGAGTTCATATTTAGTAAAGTGTACCCAAAAAATGTAGGTAATGGATGATTAATTGGAAGCCTAGTATTGAAAGTTATGCTTAGGTATCTACTAAAGCGTCCACCGGGGTGGTAGAGTACCTATACATAATGCAAGGGGCGTTCTTCGAATAATGTCTCACACCCAACAGTGTAAATTAGTCGGCGTAAAGTACGTGCAGGCGTAATCTGGAGAGGCGTTACACGATTATTATGTCATGATTCTAGATGAGATATCTAGAACAAAGAATACTGTCAGTATGCATAGCCATAGGCTCCCGTGGTTATTTTAAGCATTCATCGCAGAATAACGAAGTTGCTTCCTTACTTCTTAAACCACCTGATGTCATATTAGGTTTAAATCGAATGGGTGGTCATCTCTAGATATGTGTCTCTTAATAATTCTTCGTTATTTAACAGAAAGCTTATTATTCCAAATACCTATTCCTTTGTTATATGCAGTATGACGCTCTCATCCGGTGGTATACAAACGATGATCATAGGGGTCGTCATGAATGTATTTGCGATTATAGCGGTCGGATTGAGACTTTGGTCAAGACGTATTCAGGGAGCATCTCTCGAATTCAACGATTATATGGCAATTATCGCCGTAATTTTGGCTACTGGCCTTGTTGTTTGCTGTATATTTGGTAAAGCACCCCAAAATTCCTATTATGCCAACACACTGTAGTTGACGCTGTTATAGAAGCAGGCATAGGAGCCGTCGGCGTGCATGTTGACGAAATACTAATTACCAGACCATGGGTTCTCACTAGGTATCTAAAGGTTTACACTGGCCCCATTGTCTTGCTTAGGAAAAGTAGGTAGCTAAAGATTTCAAGGTATTTATACCAGGACAAATACTCTGGGCGGCAGCAAATACTTGCGTAAAGCTATCGATATTGTCGCTCTATACAGTACTTTTTCCAAGGAAGATATTCTCTTGGATATGTTATTGTACTATGGGGTTGGCGGTTGCTTATTTTATAAGTGTACTTGTCGAGACATTTGCACTTTGCACGCCAGTACAATACAATTGGGATAAAAGCATACCAGGCAAATGTACGAACCAAGACCGAGTCTACCTTAGTTCCGGCATTACAAATCTAATTATCGATGCTTTCATCGTCACCCTCCCTATACCAATACTATTCAGACTCCAGATGTCATGGCCGAAGAAACTTAGCATTGCTGTGATGTTTAGTCTCGGGGCGATGTAAGTACCTCTCAGCTACATACTATTTTTGTTAGCCTCACATTCTAAAGTTCTTTAACTAGAATATGTGTCTTGTCACTCCTTAGAGTTATTTCGGTTTTGGAGTGGGATTTGACTGATATCACCTATTCGAACGCTAGAATTAACATTTACTCTGAGCTCGAACCTACCCTCGGAGTAGTGAACGCTTGCCTCCCAACAATCAAACCTGCACTTAGTTCCCTATCTAGGACAGGCAGGCGTAAAATTACCAAAATCTCAGTTGACTCTAACAACTCTAAGCCAACTTCACGAGGAGAAGGTAGACGGGTATGGTAACTAGCTGATAAGAGGACCTGAAATAAAGCAGGTACAAAAGTCGACACATGATCAAAAGGGCAATGGTACCTCTAGGGTTTCGTTCCGATAATTTGGTATGAATACATTGTAAAAGTATACATTTTAGATAATTATTGAGAATCCTCGTCAATAGACAGAGAATCAATTCCTAGAAGTCATCCCCGTGTAACACAAAAGCCTATGATATACATCACACTATATTCTCATATAATGACATTGTTAACTACACAATATAAGTCAGGGTATAAGTGGTACTAGTATGATTTAGGCATAGATCCACATAGGATAGATATATAAGGGGCATTACGCGCCCTCAAAATAGAGTAGAAGTTTAAGCGTTGATAGATTCACACTACTACACGGCTACTATACAGCAGCTTCGCTGCTGCTTCTCACACTCACTCTACGTATGAAAACCATCAAGGGGTATCTCTGACAGGATTGGACGGCCCCTCGCACTAAGATGTAAATATATTCAATTGAATGAACTTAGAATCTTCTAATCATACAGTTAGTATCTATACAGAAAATAATATTGCAACCGCTTCTATTTGCGGACTCAATGATATTATCACAAGGTGGAACCAAACAGCATGGAAACAACTTCTCTATTCCGCAAGGAACTCTAAACTACCTAGCCATGAAGATCTATGTGTCTATATATACTGAACATGTTCTTTGCTTTAGATGTTTCATCTAGAATCCTGAGATACATAGTTATTCGTAACTAATGCTCTACGATATGTAAAAGTAAGACATATACAAGTCCAAGTCTCCATCTCCTAATAATACAACACCGCCAGGGCGATCATAACGACGTAATTAGATAATCAACAGGCTACTTGCACTTCTGGAAGAATTCTTCTCCCCTGAAGCCATCGCCTACTGCAACGATCTTGGAGTGTGTCATCACGCCGCAAACCTTAGGCCTCTTGTCGTGCGTGCCGTTGTCTTTTATATATACTACGCGGAGTGGTGTCTTTGTCTGGCTATTGCTGCTTTGGTCCTTTTCCCACTCTTTTGTCTTCCCCTTCTCTTCCATGCCCTCCCAATAGATAGGGTCTATTCGACGGAACTCTTAGCAAAGAATTTTTAGGGTAGACTGTTGGGGGGAGGGGTTGTATGGAAGGTAAACCACTCGTAGAGGAATCTATAAAATACATACACTCCCATAACTCAGCATTCTTCTTATCGCATCCTTTGACGCGCCATTTGATCTTATCCCCGTTGCCGTAGCGGTGCGGGTCTCCACTTCCGGTGTGGTGACCTTGGTGAGGGAAGCCGGCAGCTTTAGCTTGGGCTTTCGCGTAGCTCATGCTAACTTTGAAAGACTTATTTTCTGTGTTGCCCTTATGTTTGGGTACGCATGTAACATGTGTAGTTGTGCGGCCTTCGAGGTATTGACCCTCGGAGACAATGCCATTTTCATCAACGGGTATAGCAGTGATAGGTACGGCTGCAAGTGCGAGAGTAAGGATGGCCTTGAAAAAATGCATCTTAGTGAATAGAGAGGGCTTCGTAGAATGGGTGTTAAAAGTGAATGGAGTTTGGTTTGTTGAAGAGCAGAATTCAAGTCCTCGACGGGATGAAGAGCCCCTTTTGTATTCTGCTGTATATATTGGGATGCTTTATTTTTAATGGATTCGACCATATTGTACCGAATAATACTGTGTCGTTACCTATCGACCCCTTCATTTAGAAAGAGGCTGACACTATAGGTTTATTTATAGGAGCGCCCAAATGATACCAAACTAGGAAATAAATGCAGCCGTAGGTTTCAGCCACCGCGAGGACAGGACTTAGGAGGGTTGCACGAGAAGCATTTTGCTATTACTTATCGAAGACGGGTAAAAACACAATGTTTCCATGTATCTAGATAGAGGAGGGTTGGTAGTTGAATTGTTAGATTAGGTAAAGTGCCACCGAGGGCACCCTTTGACCGGATAGCGAATTGGTTCCCGTATTTACTCTTTTCTAACCTAGTTATAATATCGTGTTACACTACAATATTGTAGGATGATCATAGTTTCGCATTAATAGTGATTGCTTTTAGACCTCGTTAGAGAGGGACTTGCCTAGCGTTCAGGGGCGGAGATGCGTTCATAGACAGTCGTGAACAATAACCTAATATCTTCGAAGCGTATTATATTCCTATACTGCTTTATCTCTAACAATTACTTAATATAGCCGACATATTTTAATAAGGCTTTGCCGAAGTAGCAAATCTGGTTTATACCTACCAGGTAGGTAGGTATATACCGTACGGCTTGCCTAGCTCTCCTCTAACTAATTATTATGGCTTTAAGTCGCTCTTACAAGTCATCAGGTGTTATTCTAAGGATTATTTGGATGTGCCCTGCTCTTCGATTGCGTTCATCTTTTCAACTGCTGTGGTAGCCATCGTACGAGCCCGTGAATCAACCCTCTCGTCATCAGCAGCAAGTTCGAATTGTGCTTTCCATATTCTCCAATTTTGCCTACTCCATGTATCTCGAGGGTTCTCCTTATCCACCTTCTCTTTCTTCTCACACTGCTCATAAACGTAGCGCAACTCGTCAGGCCATATGATCCATTGTGCCGCGCCCTGAATGTGTCCTCCAATCTTTTCAGGCTTGGAAGTTATGCGGACGTTGAAACTGGGACATTTTTTACCGTAGGGCATAATATCCCGCAGCGCGCTGTTGAATCCGCAATCGCTGAAACCCGTGATGGCGATGCGCGCTAGAGTAGACTGGTAATTGCGCCAGCGGGCCTCTGCCTCGTTACCTGGAGTGTCGATTCCCGAGCCTGGGTATCTAATAGCTGTATGCTATGTGTTAACGGTGAAGTTCGGTAGAATGGTCAAGTAAACACGAACCGTCTGCTCCAATACGAAGTTCCTCTGTTGAGTAACCCTTGTCCGACCACAGCGACATCATTTGGACATCTTTGAGCGCATCATCGTCTAAAAAGTAATCAGGGGCCTGGTGCTCAGGCATGGCCATCAAGGCTTCAAGGAACTGAACAATTCTGGTCTGCCCTGCATGATATGGGGGAAAAACAGAACACAAATTAGGGAATAATTGGAAAAAGTGATCAACATATCCGCTCGCATTTGGTGTGCTACGACGGAGCACACGGCCGGCATCATCTGCCTCTATGAAGCCAGGTCGTTCCCGGAGTACCTGCAGCTTGCGCGAGGATTCATGTACAACCCAGGTATCAAGCTCCGTGGCGACCCAGGATGGAGTTTGAGAACCATCAACCAGAGTTCTCAACAAACCTGCGCAGAATCGATCTTCGACATCTTCATGGTCGTACAAGTCTAAGATGAGGGGCAATGGCTCGGTTTGTTCGGCAGCCATAGTTGGTACAGCGAGAAACGTTTCTTTGGGTAATGGCAATTAGAATCTCATGGGATCAACGGGATTCTAGGTCATTTGACTTGAACAATTATGAATGAAGTGAGAGTAACCCGCTACGATGCGATGTTAGTGAGTACTTGGTAGAATGCGTTCTAATCATTTATTATAAACACAGCTGCCTAAAAGAGTTATAATATGACATAATTAGTCCCAGACGTTTGCCCAAAGATTCAAACAATCCATATGCGAAGATAAGCCAATGAGGTCTGTAAGCCAGCGCCTTAAGGGGTAATAAAGTGAGACTGGATATCGTGTTGGCTTTTTAGTCAAAGGTGACCCCGCATTTAGGGATATCGCATTTATAAGGTATGAAGAGGTGTCATCTTATGAAAAGAAACACTCACTTAGGTGTCTATGTATATAATCTAAGATAGGTAGGTCGGCGCAAATATGTAACTGAAAATCGTAACCTTTACTCGGAAGCCACAGGGGGAAAGAAGAAAAAGCCCCGCTGAACTCGATGAATTAATTTTGTTCCTCCTCGTGTAACGTGTAACTGGGGGTTTTTATGTAAGCATAATCAAGTTGGCCGTCTGATCGTTGGTACACGGATATCCTCCCAATCCTCGAGCGTTGTGCTAACTATTATGAACTCCGACGGCTTCGTCTATAATAAGATTTAATTCCATACCGACAGTAATTCCTCCATCCCTTTCACGTCGTGATTCTAGGCAAGTACCGTACCTCACTTCTACACCCCGCCTCGACACCGGTAGGTCTTAGATTGCAGCCACCCATAATCAGCACTTCCTACTACCCTACTACACGTCTCATCCAACGTGATATAAATCCCATCCCCTACCTGCCCAAGCATCTATCTATTACTATACACGTCTTACCGGACCCCATCCCCAAACACCTATTCGCATATTTCGGATACCTGTTCCCTACCACCTGCATCCAAGGGACGTACTTCTTAATCATTTTCGACCTTGCTCTAGCTGATTGGTGATTACTTGTAGTTATAACCATCACGTGACTTTTATTATACCTAAAGCCATGGCAGGTATGGCTATTTCAAATTAGAAGTAAATTGTGAGTACCTAGGTGACTTAGATCCCTTGGTCCTCTAGCTATACGAGTCGTGGTCGCTGGGAACAGCGGTCAAACCCCTATCCCCCAAGATGAGTAGGGAATAACGAGCTACTTCGGGAACCGGAAATATCTTCTGGATACCTGAATACTTGCAGTCTCAAGTTACGCGAACCCGGAGATCTAGATCGTGATGCCCAATTGAACCCTTGGGAGTTACTAGCGCAACAGGGTATCGAGCATATTGAGCATTTATTGGTGATCGTTCTTAATGTTCGCATAATCCCATCAATATACCTATAGGTTTCGTATACGCATCCTGAGAGACTAATAGCTAATTATCTCTCTAATGAGTATAATGGAATGCAAGAAAGCCTCGCCAGCTTTCTATACAAAGCCTCGGAATAAGTCATGAGTTGTATCGTCGAGTGACCACTAAAAGACATGTTAATGTCAATAATGAACTCATCATACCATGAAACGTTTTAATCTTAGTTAGATCTAGTTGCATAATTAAGGATTTTACACTTCTTTATTCTATTTTATTGCGTTTTCTCATCAATTGTCTTGTTCTGTTATCGTAGACTCTTTAGAAATAGTCCTAAGCGTATAGTATAGGGAAGGTGAATGTATGCATTTCTTTCAAGGCAAAATGAGATTAAACTTCTTACCTATTTCTTATATTATCATATAGGTACTATAGAGGTAATTAATAAGTATTGCATAAATATAACTGCTCAAGGTCATAATAGTCTACAATTAATAGTATACAACCTTAACATCAAGATTACCTAATACCTAATATAAAGGTGGGCAGGCGGGGGAAAAGCACTGACCACGTTAGCTCCAATTACTCGCACAACTAGTCGGGGCCTTTCGGATCTAGTCAATAATGGTCCGTGCGTATTTTTTCTCTCTGCCACTTCGTTTTCTAGCGCCTCGCCCAGTTCTTGCACTCCCTCTCAAAAAAGTCTCCATTTGCAAAACCTCAATATCAACACCCCGTCCTCCTTAATCTCCTCTCCCTCTCAATTGCAATCTGATTGCAATTGGTTTTTCCTTTTATTGCGGAGGACTAGATATCCCTCTTTAATATGTTCCGTAACGCCCTTAGACAGTCCACGCGCGCCGTGAGCGCAATCTCTGCCTCGGGTAGAGTCGTTGCGGTAGGTTAAATCCCGGTCCTGTCGAGTCCCCATCCCAATTCCATCCGAAAGGATATGCGATCGATCTCAATGCATACTCGGAGCATATATGAAGCTTTATAAGAGCTTTTTATGATATTCGTGAAGGATATTGGGGAGGTTATAGAGCTTGTAAAAGCTTCTCAAATATAGCTGCGGCATACTCGCTCACCCACGTTGACATTTTTCGGACTGTCGGCTAACTTTGACCGGGGCTTTTTTTTGCAGACACGAAATGCCGCACCTGCCGCCTTCAACATCCAGGCCCGATCCTACGCCGATGCGAAAGCTTCCCCCACAGAGGTCTCTTCCATTCTTGAGCAGAGGATTCGTGGTGTATCAGAGGAATCCAGCTTAGCTGAGACTGGTCGTGTCCTCTCCGTTGGGTACGTGTGGAGCCTTTGAAGCGAGATTTTTCAACCCGCCGCAAATCATTCCCATATCACCAAAATATGGCCCCGAGCGGTTCCTACCTTCTTGTCGCCATTACCGAATATTTTCATATGCGCATATGACCAATTGAATCATGTTTGCTAATTAAGGTTCATGCAGTGATGGTATCGCGCGTGTGCACGGTATGGCCAACGTCCAGGCCGAAGAGCTCGTCGAGTAGGTTTCCCCACTCGCTATAAGATGGAAGGCCATATAATTGACCATCGATTAGATTCGCTTCCGGTGTGAAGGGAATGTGCATGAACTTGGAGGCTGGACAAGTTGGTGTCGTGCTTTTCGGTTCTGACCGTCTCGTCAAGGAGGGTGAAACCGTTAAGCGTACCGGAGAAATTGTGAGTATTTTAATGATGCAAACCGATCGATCGAACAAGGCGGTTTAACCATCCCTAGGTCGATGTCCCCGTCGGCCCGGAACTACTTGGACGTGTTGTCGACGCTTTGGGTAACCCTATCGATGGAAAGGGCCCCCTCAACACCAAGGAGAAGCGCCGTGCTCAGCTCAAGGCCCCTGGTATCTTACCCCGACAGTCCGTCAACCAGCCCGTCCAGACTGGCCTCAAGTCCGTCGATGCCATGGTGCCCATTGGCCGTGGTCAGCGTGAGTTGATCATTGGTGATCGTCAGACCGGAAAGACTGCTGTTGCCCTCGACGCTATGCTCAACCAGAAGCGATGGAACGCCTCTAACGATGAGACCAAGAAGCTTTACTGTATCTACGTCGCCGTTGGTCAGAAGCGATCTACTGTTGCCCAGCTCGTCAAGACCCTTGAGGAGAACGATGCCATGAAGTACTCTATCATCGTCGCTGCTACTGCTTCCGAGGCCGCTCCTCTGCAGTACATTGCTCCTTTCACCGGTGCCTCGATCGGCGAGTGGTTCCGTGACAACGGCAAGCACTCTCTCGTTATCTACGACGATCTGTCCAAGCAGGCCGTCGCTTACCGTCAAATGTCTCTTCTCCTACGTCGTCCCCCCGGACGTGAGGCTTACCCCGGTGACGTTTTCTACCTCCACTCCCGTCTGCTGGAGCGTGCTGCCAAGATGAACGACAAGCTCGGTGGTGGTTCCATGACTGCTCTGCCCATCATTGAGACCCAAGGTGGTGATGTCTCTGCCTACATTCCCACCAACGTCATTTCCATTACCGATGGCCAGATCTTCTTGGAGGCTGAACTTTTCTACAAGGGTATCCGACCTGCCATCAACGTCGGTCTGTCCGTGTCTCGTGTCGGTTCCGCTGCCCAGCTTAAGGCCATGAAGCAAGTCGCTGGTTCGCTCAAGCTTTTCTTGGCCCAGTACCGTGAAGTCGCTGCATTCGCCCAGTTCGGTTCCGATCTGGATGCCGCTACCAAACAGACCCTCAACCGTGGTGAACGTGTAAGTACCTAGAACTTGTGTTTACTATGGAATTTAACTAATTTATCTATGTGCAGTTGACCGAGCTTCTCAAGCAGAAGCAATACTCCCCTATGGCCGTCAACGAGATGGTTCCCCTCATCTTCGCCGGTGTCAACGGTTACCTCGACCAAGTGCCCGTAAACAAGGTTCTACAGTGGGAGGCCGATTTCCTGGCTCACCTGAAGACAAACGAGTCTGACCTGCTCGCTACTATCGACAAGGAGGGTGCGCTCAGCAAGGACCTCGAGCAAAAATTAAAGGACGTCGTCTCTAGCTTCACCAAGAGCTTTATCGCTTAAATGAATCATGATATCTCAAGCGGGAGGGGGACTATCTATACCTTAAGGGCCTTTGATGGCGGATCATGTTTCGTTTAGAGAGGTACATTATTCAAGGGTGCCGATTAGTGAGGATACGGGTTAGAGGTGGAGTGATTCCAATTCCGAACCCTTGTAAAATAGAGTCAAAAACTCAAGAGCACTCGATTCTTTTGTCCTAAAAACTGTTCTAAGCTATTTTTCGCGTCCCCCTAAAAATATCCTAAGAGGTAAAGACTATCTAAAGATTCCAAAGTTACAACAAGCTAGATTCCCAAAGTGGCTCTTGGTGACATCATAGGTCCCGTATCGAACGTGGTGGTTTGATCATAGCAAATTGAGTATGCGATAATTCTCCAACCACGGAGCAGATAAAACTACCATCATATTTTCATGCAGCTTTTTTTCTCCCCTCTACTTCATTCATTTTTAATAATTTCCGTTGTTTCTTCTTTCAGCAACTTGAACGTCAACAGTAAATGTCCTTGTATCTAGTATTCCGCTTACCTATACAATTCTAATAACCCCGCGGCGGTTTAATCGGAACGAATAGCGGTTTCGTCGAGCGTTTCCCCCCCACCACAAAGAGGAAAGACATGAGCTCCGAGACCACCGAGAAGATGTCGGCGGCTACGCGCGAGGTAATAGGCAAGGTTCGTCAGCTAGTGCCACCGATGTTGGAGAAGTTTCATAAAGGTAGGTTTGTTTGCGAATGGATTTTTATAGCGGAGTTGGAAAATTGGGATCAATGTGATTTTGTATATTGTTGCTGGCTATCTAGCTATAACGGAACTGAGGATGGTTGAGGAATCTAATGCTGATCGGTTGGGTGTTTTTCTCTAGGTCAATTGGGTCGCGTTGCTGTTATTGGCGGTAGTGAGGATTATACTGGCGCGCCGTACTTCTCTGCTATGGCGAGTGCTCGCTTGGGCTGCGATATGGTACGTAGAACGGGTTTCTTAGTATGTAGCTTAAGAGTAAGAGGGCACGGCAAGCTAACTCGAGACTTGTTCTTCTCAGTCCCACGTTATTTGCACACCCGGTGCCGCCGCCGTGATCAAGACGTATAGCCCGAACCTGATGGTGCACCCACTCATGCGACAATCTCCTCCTCCGGGCTCCGACTCAAGCTCCCCTGCCGATACGGACCTCGCGCAAGTCTCTAGCAAGATCATCGATATGCTACCGCGGCTGCACGCGCTAGTCGTGGGTCCGGGGTTGGGACGAGACCCGTTGATGCAGGAAACTTGTGCCAAAGTCCTTGCCGCAGCGCGCGAGCGCAAGATGCCCGTAGTACTAGACGCAGACGCACTAGCTATCGTGCTCAAGACGCCTGAGCTGGTAATAGGCTGGCGGGAGGTTGTGCTCACGCCGAACGTAGTCGAGTTCGGGCGGCTGTGGAAGGGCATCAAGATGGACTCGTCGTCTCAGAGCAAAGAGGCGAGCAGCGGTGCAGATTCGCCCGACCAAGTCGAGGCGCTGTCGCGCGCTCTCGGTGGCGTGACGATCGTGCAGAAGGGCGGCAAGGACTTCATTAGTAACGGCGAGACGACACTAACGGTCGACCTGCAAGGCGGGTATAAGAGAAGTGGTGGTCAGGGGGACACGCTGACGGGAAGTATTGCGACGTTCTTGGCTTGGCGAAATGCGTATCTGGGAAAGATCTGGGACCACGGCGGCAACCTTAGCGAGGGAGAGACTCTCGGATTAGCTGTTTTCGGAGGCGCGGCTATTACGAGGGTAAGTTGCTTACCTTGAGAAACGAAGAAGGCCAAGGTTTCCTTTCTAACTTATGCCCATAGGAATGCTCCCGCCTTGCCTTTGAGAAGAAGGGTAGGAGTTTACAGGCTAGTGATCTGACGGACGAGGTCCATACAGCATTCTTAAACGTGATCGGGGAACCGACTGAGAAGCAAAGGTATGTATTTACATCCTATTCCATCTCATTGCCTCTCGATGCTAATTAGTTACAGTTAGAACCAGCCGTAGTCTAGGAACGACAGTACAGCCACGACTATGAGCCAAAATATTTTCTAATATGAAGACAATATGCAATTGGCATCACTGCATTAGGACAGCTCATCCAAACCTATCAAGCTTATATGGCCTGGAATCTAGCCCGATATATATCGTATAAGGTCATCGAACACAGTTCAACCAAACATTTACTTGTACATAGGCTAGTGTTAGTAGAGAACCGACGGTATATGTGACCATGATATACAGCCTCTTACCTTATGCAAGCTAGCAACTAGTCATATGTCAAATAGGCATCAAAATGCAGTGTGATCACGCTTTGCAACTCTGACAAATATCAGACCTTCGTGCAACAATTCTGCGATACTCAATCGCGCGAAAACATGATGATATCCAGAAACTTAACGCAACTTAGAGACAATGTCGAAGTGTCGCTACCGCGTATATGTAATTAGGATACGTCCCGGCAAGAGTTTTTGCCTTTCTGCTTAAGCTCCCGCGAAATACACATTGGGTTACAGTGAGACTAGGCCTCGAGATTTGTAGCACCCAATTTCAAAACTTGAAGCCTGGATTCGTTCTACAATCTGTCGTGTTTGTGTACTCCGTGACAGCTTCAAATTTCGGAGATTCATTAACATCCACATGCTTCTGCTGTGGATTGCGAAACCATCTTGTTCGGAAGAATGTTTAGTGCACGCACGGACTTGGGTCTGATCAAGACGAAGTGACTTAGAGAGGTGTATAGGTCGTTGATGATGCGAGAAGGGTTAGAGAATGTGGGCGAAGGAGAGAAAAATATAGGATACTAGTCAGTAGGATTTTAGAATATGGAACTGACAGGTAGGTTACTAAAGAAGCTTTTTGTCATAATAGTTAATATTGAACCCGAAAATTTGAACACCTAAGATCAAAATTGGTGTGATGCCTCTAATTGACTTTAGAACCGTAGTACTCCAGCACAACTGTCACGGGATGATGCATCTGTGTAGATAGAAACAACCCTAACATGGGGTAATAAGGGTAGGTATACGGAGCTTGGTCTCTCCGTCCACTAAATTAATAAGTCAATAAGTCAACCGATCGGGCCTTTCGCTTCCATTCGAGACTCATTGGTTCGTGAACGCAAGTTACCGTGCACCGAGACATAAAACCCGGAGACGTACGACGTATGAGAACCGCGGGAGCTCCTTGTCCCTCATCCATAAGCTAGCCAGTCTTAGCGTCTTGCTAGAATAATTAGTTCTAGAGAGGTTACGTAGTTCACGGCGAAGCCTCCGCCTCTATTGATAATATAGAGACTCATACCCGGATGAGGCGTTCAGCAAGGCTGTTACTGCTGCTGCTGACAAAAGTACGGACTTCCAATGGAACCTTCTAAATAGAAGTGCCCTAGATTCTGAGTTTGATCAGGCAGGTTGAGAATCTAGGCATATGCCCCTGAAAGCTGGTACATTATGTCTGGTATGACATGCCGACTCCAGCTAACAAGACAGCCTATCTAAATAAGCAATGCCAGGCTTAATGCAGCATGCGAATCGCCCGGATCTGACTACACGGATCGGATGCCGGCTATAGTGACGATGGTTCCTGATGATGCAGTAGACCATGAGTTATTGTGAATCAACCACGACTTGCATATGCAAAGACTATGAATTTTGACAGGATCTAGGGGTGATTGGCTAACGTTAAGCCACCTTCATGTGACAAGGTAGATGATAGTCCACGCACATCGGCTGACCTTGAAGTGACCCGATCGGCTGGGACACGCTCCAAGCATTATCAGATCTTAGTCTTCGAAGCATGGCGTCCAGCCAAGGATTACCTCTCCGGGCGCATTCGGTCTTCCAATAAGATGGGACGAGAAGAAGAAAAAAAGTCCAAAGAGGTATATGTTGGTTCCCGATGCAGGGCTCGGAGCTTAATTGATCTCCTTGTAGTTTGCGCTTCTTGCGTGGTCCAGACGGAACATTGCGATGTTATATGAGGTACAGCTTATCCGCCTACGTACGGCGGAATCCGACATGATGAGGTTCCTCAAGTCCCTTATTCTCAGCATATATGCCACGGAGCATTAGAGATATTACCTGTGCTAATAGAGCTAGAGCTTTCGACATCCGCAGAGAAGCTGAAGTGAAAAAAAAGGAAAAGAAAAGGAAAGATTCGATATTCGAACGTTGTGACTGAAGATGAGACGAGATCATCGTAGGTAGGGTACTTTTTTAGGGGGCGGACCGGGGATCTTGACTGAGACAATAACGGACGTTTGGACCCGAGGGGCAACCAATGATTCTTCAATTAAGGGTTTTCATCACAACAGAATTCATTTATAACTTCCACGGATGTTCGAATGCCTTCGATATTCTAAGACAAGAAGAATGATGAAGATGTAATTACGAGAGAAGTTAGGTAAGGCTTGCAGTTGCGCTATTGCTGCCGTAGTTACGCTAATACATCCAATTAAGTTTAGTGAGTTTCATTGCCAAGATTGACTTTCCGCTAGTTAGACCCAGATACTAAATACGTACTTCGTACCTGTCCTGTCTCTCCAGCTTCAACTTTAATGGAATCCTATCAGGATTAGGTACCTGGCATACATCGGAATATGTACCTATTCATAGTGTAAGGTAGGTATCATCGGACTTCTTGCTTTTATACCGCTACTAGCACCTGCGTATATGTAGACTATAAACTCCCTTATACCAGGAGTTAGGAAATCACTGCCAACCTTCCCTTCGGCACTTCTAAGTCCTTCAAAGGAAAGGGATTCTGCTTCTGTTGTGGAACCATGGGAGCACCCCTGGCTCTTCATACCGCTCATTGCATCATGGTAACCGAGGCTTGTCGACTTCGATGCAACTCTCTCGGTAGTGTTCCGAATTTCATGACCAGAAATTGTCTTTCTTTTTAAGAAGGGATAAGGGGGGGTTGGCTTATCCCCGGCTCGAATGGCCTGAGTTGTCTTACACAACCCACCATTGCTAACTAATAGCTCCGTCAAAACCGTTGTAAGAGATCCAGATTCCAGACTATAATCACACTAGAAGTGCTGTGTCAAGGTGAGTGATGGTAATCCTTACTAATAACCAAGTACCTACCATTGAATTGAGTGAAACTGGGAACCCCGTGTACAAGGCTGTTGTACTCGGAAGACTCGAGATGCCCGGGTCCTCCCTCCCTTAGTATTCATGTATTTGTGTACCCCACGACTTCCTACCTGATTCTTTGGGAAAGGGGGACAAGTCTCACATGGCATATGGCCATCAGACTTGGTCGTAACTACCTTCTCCGAGAATGAACTTGAGATGAACTTTTCAGGTAGGTATTTTAGTTTTTTCTTCGTGCTTTGTTTGGAACAGCTGAGTACCCCCTGGCCCCCAGCCAACCAGTCCACATTCCCAAAACGGTCATCTACCAGCCATCATAGCCAATGGCGTCGTGGCTACCTTGTATCTATCAAACGACTGGTTGGTTTCTTCCACATCGCAGCCCCCATCACCGCGCAAAGCTTTAGATGAAATGAGATTCTAAAGTCCATACCTGTAACTTGCATCGTCCGCCACCACAAAATCGATTGCATGATCCAGCTGCCCGCCAAGCTGAAGACCACATAGACCACATACGCGTACGCGATCTATCACAGCTACAGCTACAATTACAATTACAACTACAACTGCTCCGTCTAATTTATTCATCTCAATCCCAGTCAATTCGCATACTCAGTTAGGTACCCAGTCGGATACCTAGTCTAGTGGTCAAACATTCTCATGTCCAACCACAAATACACCTACTAGCAGTTTATAACAATTGGTTGGTTTATTCCTTTTCATCGTATCACTTCTTCATTTGTATTACGCCGTCACCATCTGAGCTCACCTCATCAAGAACTGTGTTTGCACATAGGCCGAAATTGAACTTCACCAGCCTTGAACCGCCCCAGACACCACTATGATCTAGTCCTCCCTTGTGCTCATTACCCCAGCTGTGGTTAAGACATGCCAGTTCTCCAAGTTCTCTCATGCGTAGATTTTGGTGTCAAAAGGAAGCCCCCAGCACTAGAAACACCTTAGCAACGCAACATATACTTATCCCATCTTGTCTTCTATATTTCAACCATCCAATTTATTCGGTATTCCTTGAGCCAATCTGCTGTACCCTCTAACACTAACCCTCGGCCTATCTGTCGTGTAATGCCGGTGCGGCGGACCTCGAGATGAGATGTACTCTATTATTTCCTACTCGTGACACCATCAAGGCCATCTGGTCTACGCCCCAATTCGTCACGGATTGCCCTCTTACATTATTCACTCATTAGGAGCCTCCAATTGTCCTCTTGAGGACTAGACACACACGCGTATCCATACGGTCAGGCTCGTCAACCACATACTGACTCACGATTTTTCATCGACCCTCGTCCGAATAAGACTACACGTGTGAATAAGCAATCACTTTATTCCACCAGTTATTCCTTCGCTTGGAATATCAAGTATTAGGTACAATTATTTTCTGTTTCTACATTATGCAATTCTATATGCGGTTTTTCTTAGATCTCAAATACCTACCATGCACAAGCTGACATGATGGCAAAACCAGAACCACCAACAGCTTCCAAGGTGGTGGACAGGATGGTTAACGGGCTAGAAAAGCTGGAGAGGTTTTTTGGCACTTCAAGGAAGAGGGATAAGGACAGAGGCTCGAGAACTAAAGATATTTCAATTGTCTCAACTCCAACGCAATCGCTCAGTGGTCCCCATTTCCCATCACCATCTTTCATGCACCCAACATCAACACATATGAAACCTCGGGAAGAACCAGTTCCATGGTCTAAAATAATTAAAGAGCGCTCCCAAAGTCTGCCCGACCCGCATGGTGGTTTAAAAAGACGATCTTCGATCAGCATCGTTCCCAATCACCGGCATCATCCTAGCGACCCAATCCGATTAATCTCACTGCTAGTCGAAGATGAGGGTCCGAGCGGCATGGGGATGTTTTCTCGTTTTAGATTTCCGGATGACACTGCCGATGACACTACCAAGAACGAAAATACGGAAATATTTCCCACAGACGGTATCGTCGAAGGGCTGACACGAGAGCACACTATCCAAGAGTTCCAAGCGGAGAACATACTAGATTGGTGTCCCCGACGTTTATCTTCACTATTCAACAATCTCGGTCTAGATACTTCTATTGATTCTATTGACCATCGCCTAGCTAGAGTATCCAACCATGACATAGAATCATTAGCCTCGAGGCTATCTCCCACATCATCCTCTCCTCCTTCTCCTAGGACGAAGAGAGAAGGCTTAATTACCATACCGCCTAGAAAGTCATCCCGGAGACTAAACGAAGCTTTAGCCCAGGATCTGACAATTTCGACAAGAAATCATGTGCTGTATCCGATTCCCGCACACCCTCCCGATTCTCCACCCGCATCAGATGGGGAGGAAGAGTATGAGCAAACTACAATTCATGGATCAACGTCGATTAAAGGCTTATCTTCACCTATTGAATTTACGCCGCGACCATCGTCCGATTTTAACACTCGGCGCAGCACGGAAATTTCGACTCGTGCACAGGTCGTTCGAGAATCATGGGGAGCCAGAATCCAAGATCCAGCGCTGATCTACTATGCTCAGGGTGAAATAAGTCTTATTTCTCAACCGCAGCTCGTGCGAAAGTCCACAAGTTTAGCTTCGCTATCGACTATCACTAGATATTCAACGAATGATTGCGATATTAAAGAGCCATCACTTGATGACTTCTATGCTCTCGATGACGAAGACGTTGCAGAAAGTCTACCCGCTACCCCCATGCCAGAAGCCGATATACCGCCAACACCACCTCCGAAGTTCTCACCAAAGACTCCTATCGGCAGAAGCCGTTCCACTCGACATGTGCCGATCGCGCCTACTACCGCCATCAATCTTGTATCTGGAGAACTCACCCCGCCCCGTACACCTACTGACCCTCAATTTCTCTCATTGACTTATTCACCCACTACTTCATCGGGAACTTCAGGGGCAATGTGGGCTGCTAAAATCGCAAAAACATACAACTTCGACTTGGTGTACGTCGTCAATCTCTGGCCGAAAGACAAGGATGACGACTCGAATCCTCACCAATCCACTCCTTCCCATGGTCAACACAACGCGCAAAACGTAGATGATGTTACTACTCAGCGTGCTGTCGTCGCACATACAAAGTTGGAAATGACTGGCCAGATACTTGCTGCTTATGGCCTAAGTGAATTCGGATCACCTTTTCGAATTCACGCCGAGTTCCACAGGAAAATGCTTGGGTGCAGGGGCTGGAATGAGTACCGTGATGAGCTCGCATCCCCTGAGATGATATCTCGCGGGTGGGCATGCTCTTTTTATACCAACTGTTCCTCGATGGCCCGGAATGCTATCGGAGAGAAGCACTTAGCACGAGGTGGAACAGCGAATCGCGGTATAATCTTCGCAGCATACACAAGAAAGACGACCAAGTCAGTGATACCAGTTAGGCCGTCACCAAGGCAAACCGCAGTACTCGGCAAGCTGCTCTATGATTCGCAGAAACTTGTTGACGCATTAGTCCACGGCGATTGATTTTGTAATGCATAACTATATCCATGTTATATATTAACGAAGATAGCATCAGCGAGGCGGCGCAGTTAACCCTGGGAGAACCATAATGTCGAATACGTGCTATGAAGTATTAACGATCCTGGCTGCCCGAGGGTGTGGGCAAATATTCTGAGGCGTTACAGCGCATTTTGCTGGGCTATGTGCTAGGGGTAGAAAGGAGATGAAGTCGCATAATCCATATGCATCGTAAAATAACCTAGTAAAGGTATTCCCTTTATAAAAGATTCCCTCGAGATATATTAAACGGAAAATACCAAACCTCATATTAATATGGAATAGACTTAAACTTCATTCTGATACAAGTTATAAAGTTACAGCTTTTTGCTGGGTCAAGACGCTTAGCTGGCTTGACAATCTTCATGAAGACTTCCAGCCGTCGGCGTCAACAAATTCTAAGCATTAAATCAATCTCTGAAGCCCTATATGTAAGGTATGCTCGTCGGACATGAGGCCGACGCGAAACTAACCTTGTTCTTTGTGGAAACCCGATTCCGAGGGAAATGCCGACGCCTGATGCGAAACAGCGATAAAGATAGCCGCGTAGATCGACCCAGACGAAAACACTGAATATATATATATCCCAGTAATCCCGTAATCATAGCAAAAGTGCGACTGACGGACAGTGGATTTGAGTCTGAAATGCTACTTCGATGGTCGCGAAAAACATCTGGACGAGTGGAAGGCTTTACTCGCAGCAGCAGACGAACGATTCGTGCTTCATCGAGTGTCTGAGCCCAAGGGATCTTTGCTGGGGGTCTTGGAAGTTTACTGGGGCGTGTCTGGTACTGTAAAAATTTGAAGGGGCATCTATCAGTGATATGAAGTATGACGCTCCCCTTATAGCCACGGCGTAGAGTATATTAAAATCAGCATGTGCGTTTTTATTTCACTATATTGTAGCTAAGGAGGCCTAGCTATCTTATGTAGGGACACATTCCTCGATGACTTGCATTATTAATAACCGCCAATTTACTCGCGCCGATCAGCATAGATGATCTCCGCAGCTTGCTCTGCCAATGCGAATGTTGCGACCTGAAGATGCCCGGTGATTGCAACAGGGAATACCGAAGTATCAACAACACGTAGGTTCTTAATGCCCTTGACCCTTAAATTAGTATCAATGACACTACCCATCGCAGCTGTTCCCATAGGGTGGAAGCATGTGCTAAATAGAATATCAGCAATATGAATTAGCAGGGATGAATACTTCTTACCCTACTCCAGCACGTAATCGCGCATCGATATCTCCGTCCGTAGATTCTGTCGATAATACTTGGTCGAAACCGGGTACACCTTTCTCTCCGTCCAGGATCTCTCGGCCTATGATTGTAGCGTCGCTTCCCGCATACCTAATTTGCATCTTCAGGCCTTCACGTATCGCGTATCGGTCAACTGCCGTGCTCAGATAATTAGGGTCGACGAGAGGATGATCTCTGATACTATCCGAAGCTAACTTAACAGAGCCGCGCGACGTAGTGAGCAGCATGACAAGAGCAAGCGATACCAGCGACCCATCAGGCCCACCCGCGTACATGAATATGTTCTCGACAAACGCACGCTTTTGGTTGAGCAGCGGGTGCGTTAAGGGGTCAGGGGTAGACCCTTCGTCTTCCGTGATCGCTGCTACGAGACCTTCCTTGGGCACGTCGGTGGTGGCAAGGAAGTCCATAGGAGATCCCCAGCCGTATTGAGGCTTTGCAAATACGGGGTTGTTCGAGCCCAGAGCCCACCCGTCGGCGGGATTCTTGACCTTCCACGCATGATGGAATATTGTATGATCTATTAGGTTTTTACCAACTTCCGGCTGGTCCAAAACTACGGGTATCTTGAACTTGTTAAGTTCTTCTGCAGGCCCGATGCCAGACAACATCAGGATTTGAGGAGTGCGAACAGCGCCGGCGGATACGATGATTTCATGGCCACGTATTTCCACGCCGCTTTCCAGTTTGATGCCAACCGCAGAGATGTCTTCGGCTGTCTTGTTTGTCAATACTTTCTCTACCAAGGTCTCGGTTAATACGGCAACGCCGTCTAATGAATATACGGCTGAAGCTATCTCGCGCCGACCGTTTACTTTATTCTCCTGTAAATCGCCAACGCCTATCGCGTTTCCCGCGTTAGCGTCTAGCCCCGGGAGTGCCTCGACTCCTATCTCAGCCCACGACTGCAGGGCATGATTGCGAAGCGGAAACTGGCGGTTCGTAGAAATGACGGATTGGATAAAGCTAGGGCCATCGGTTCCACGCTGTTGCTTGTTGATGTTTTCACCTTGGAAATTCTCTGACTTCTTCATAAATGGCAGTAATCCATCGTAACTCCAGCGTGCGTCGTTTACCTTCGAACCCCAGAGGTCATAATCAACCCTGTCGCCTCTAACCCATCCATCTAATTGTAAAAACTCCCTTTAGCTTCGGGTTAATCATATGCGGTGGGATTCTAGTAACTCACTGTTGTTGATCGTAGTCCCGCCACCGAGAGCCTTCCCAGATGGCAAGTCGATCTGACGGCCGTTAAGGTGCGGTTGTTGGACAGTCTTGTACTTCCAGTCAAAATCGCCTCCCATCAAATTGGTAGAGTTGGGCCAGACGATATCCGGGCGATCATTGGCATTGGGACCAGCTTCTACCACGAGGATCTTGAGCTTCGGGTTGAACTCGAAGAGTCTATGAGACACCACCGAAGCTGACAATCCTCCGCCGACAAGGATATAGTCCCATGTCGTTTCTTTGATTTCCGATATATCCATGATTATACTCGGGGGTCGACAGTAGGTTTGAAGTAATCCGTGAGGAGGGTCAGAGGCGCGCCCTTTAGATCTTCTTCCCTTTATACTACCCACACATTTCTAACAATGAAAACGCTCCACGTATCTACCAAGCAAGGGATGTATGGCATCTCCACCGGTCGCCACATACCACCCGATATTAATGTTGTACAAGAAGGCTGTGTACCAATACCTAGAAAGAGATTCGTATTTTGTTTCTAGTCCTGTTCTATTTCAGGACGATCTTAACGCTTGATTTAGTTAGGGCTTATATATAGGACGAAGGGATATGCTGGTGCTTACTGCAAACCATATCGCTATCGCCCTTGTGGCAACTATGTATCACCGTAACTCTCGCACATGACTCTATCTCAATGACTATCTTAGGTATCTATATAGCGACAGGTACCAATTTTTAAGCTGATAGTTCGGACTCATGGTTGTGAACTGCTATGTTACTTGCGGTATCATTTTACGAACCCAGATCGCAAGCCAACTTCAGGGTGAAATCATATGTAGGTTTAATAAGCACTAGTAGTGTAGTTCTAATCCGAAACCAAAGAACTATAATAGCCATTCTTATCCAAGACGCCAATGTGGATTGGTGTTGGTTACCATATTAGAAGATAGAATGGTCCTGATTGAACGAAATGCCGTTAGTGAGTTGACTATTGCATGAGTCCTAATCATCTAATCGGATTTACTTATGATCTCTTTTTTTATATGAGGCTATTATGGACGGAGTAATTTTAGACGTTCGTTAACTCTGTTATTTTTATCTATATAAGATAGGACACGTAAAAAAAAATATCGTACACGGAACCAATCATAAAAGAAACAGGTACTCATGCAGACCCCCTCCCCTATAGATAGTTCATAGAATGCTTAACCACTAAGACCAAGAGCCACCTGTATATTAACTTAGATCAGTACCTATGTTCTAAGCTGTATGGTTGTTTTATAATAAAACCAACCCCAACCTTTGTCCAAATCCAGTATTTAATAATATTTCCGCCTTAACAACCCAATTAATGATTCCCCTGCCACTTTGCAAAAAAAAAAAAAAACCTCCGACAGCAAGGTTTTCCAGATCCAAATATCCTATATTTAAGCCATCATATCTCCTGTATATTTCATCGGCGGTTTCGCTGTTCCTTTCTGCTCTCTTGCGCCTTTCGCAACTCCCTCTTGAGATACCAAGTTTCGAGTTTCTCGGCCCTGGCAAGCTGTCGTAGATAGGAGAGTAGCGGATGCTGGGTCTGATCCAGACGCATATATTTGACGCGTACGAGCTTCTCAATGAGCGCTTCTTGCCATTGATAGCGGTCTTTTTTGGATGCCCAGGACGGATAGTGACCGTTGGTTATGCTGGGGAAATCGAATGTTTCGATCCATTCGGATTCCCTAATTTTGGATTGGTTGGGAAGCTCGGCGAAAGAGGAGAGTTGTGTTGTAGACTGTGTGTATTCTCTATATTGAGGGCTGGGTGATAATTTCCCGCTACTTGTTGGAGTTATGGTTTCCATAGTTGGGCTTGAACTAGTTTTGGTTGAGTTTATGATGTGTGGAAACCATGATAAAGTGAAGGTGATTCGTGGTGTGAGAGTGATTATATTGATGTAGTTATATGAAGGACGAGCTTGGAAAATATTTTGATGGTATGCCCTCATTATATATTTGCACGAGTAGTTCGCACATACTACACCTTTTTTTAGTTAATAACCTTGAAGAAACCTTGAAGTCTTCTTTATCGCTTAGGCCTTGTGCTATTCGTAATTTTCCTAATAATGTATGATAGAGTTTAACTCGGTGGCGAGATGCTTCAATGCTATAGTAGCTATTAGTAAACTATAAAGCCTATGGCTTTTTACTCAACTTGCGGCTATCGTATAATTTGTCAAAGCAACACTTGGCTTGTAAACTCTAATAGCGAATAATTGTTGAATATAGAACTATATTCAACCCCTTTAGCCTGAGATATAGCTCTAAATTCTTTAAGAGATATACCACACAGATAATTTCAACCGTGTCTTTGCGAAAATTTTTACTCGTTTTCGATATTAGCCATCCCTCTACGTATCTCCCACAAGGATCTCACGGACAAAGCTCTTATGGAGAGTTTGTGGAGGCCTCACTATAGCGATGATTTTGCGACTAGTGGAAAATACTATAGTCTTTGCTTCTGGTAGACATCGGTATATCTCTGGGAGATTGGGCTGAGAGATACGTGCGGGTGCGGGTCGATATATGGGGGCGTGGAGGGCATCACTTAGATAATTATCATCCGTGAGAACTGTATTGCGCAATAATATTATGCAGAGTTATTTTGAAAATATGTACAATCTAAAGTATGGGATATCTCGGAGCATTAAAATATTTTAGCTATCTAATTTGCCTCGACCCGCATTACTTCTCATCTTCTTCGTGTTTTGAATCATGGTGTCCTATTTTGTCGGCAACTTTCTGTACCTGAGCAGATGCCGTTGCTCTCATTTCTCCCATCGCTGCTCTTTGCGTCTCGTCCACATCCCTTACAACTTGTGCTCCTGCCTGCTCTATCCGATCTCTCTGATTCGATATCTCACGTTGGCTTTCATCGACTGCTCGAACTGCCTGTGCACGCCGTTCCTCGACCTCGCGATCCAAATATGCCGCGTGGCTCTCGACTTCCCTAGCGGTAGCCTCTTGCATCCGCCTTCCTTGATCGCGAACGTGATTCGTAACATCCTGTGCCTTGCTCTCCATATTCGCTGCCAGTTTGTGCGCTAAACCGTCCACCTTCGAGATATCTATAATATTATCGCTACTGTCTCTGAAATTTCGCACATTCCTTGTCACCGATGTATAACTATCCGGCGTATTCATCTCGATTTCTTGCTTGGTGTGATTATACATTCGGTCTATGGCTGCGACAACTTCGTAAACGTCAAGCGTGCAGCCCGTACGGGAGAAGTCACGCTCGCGCTGTTCGATAAATTCGCGTATCTTTTTCCACTCGTTCCCATAGTATTTGAGACGTCCCGGGAGCCCGCTGCCCCTTAGGAATGTTAAGAGTCCAGCGATGATGGTGTTGATAGCGCCGAAGGCCGTGACCGCTCCGTGGCTAACTCCTGCTGCGCCCATAGCCGTGATCGATGCTGCTACTACAATCTGGAAAAAGTAACACGCGTTGATAAGGATTGAAAATACTTTATAACGGTCCTTAGACTTCTGTTCCGAGTGTACGACGCGCGCGTATATACCGATATTGGCGGCCGGGCGGGTTCCCACGGGGCTCGATTCGCTGTAGCCAAGATACGGCGAAGTACTAATGCCCACCATAAGGCGGAAGAGGGTAAGACGGTTGTCCTCGGGTACGAGGTAGCTTTGATGAGTATGGGGGAGAATATTTGAGTTGGTCCCCAACGTCGAAGCTATAGGAGTTGAGCCGACACCTGCCGCGGGGATGGCATTCTGTGCCCCCTGTTCCTCATCAATATGACCTTCTTGCTGTCTCTTCTTGAAGAGTAGTCGCAGTAGTGCGCCGAAGAATGATGCCATATCGTGAGCTGTTCCGGTTTTCCGGCCCAACTGCCTAAGCACAGACAGTCATACGATATCAAAACATAAAAACCACAACGTAAAAGAAAATCCAAAGCCGCTAACGCACAAGACTCCTTAAGCCACGATACTGAAACACTTTCTATATTTTATAAGTAATGCGGCTCTTTCAGCTCGTCTCTAGAAGCATGAGTGCCCAAAACGTATAAAAGTACCTAAAATAGCATCGATCTACGCCATGCTACAGCTAAATATTGCGGAGTTGACCAATCATTGTCCTGGCGGAGACTTAAACGGGCCTCCGCGCCGTTATGTGCCAAGTAATGGGGGCTGATAGGCGAGCGAATGCCGTTGGACGGGATGGCCCTCCATCGCTGACCACTTACATGATCGTGATGCATTGATTTGATGCCTCGTTCATCGTGTCGTAGTCGGGAATCATGAGCGTTGTAAAATATGATGGAGTCGCCGAGCTGATGTACCCAAGACCCTGGTAGTGTAATTTCCGCCGGCTCGCTCGGTAACGTCTTGGGGGGAAAAATAAGCAAGACGAAGTCCACACATGGGGAAAAAAAGAAATATGATATCTAAAGTTGCATCAGATTGTTGAGCTATCGAAATCATCCCTGAGACCTACATAACGCCATTGAAATTACCATTCTCAGGTAAGAGGCAGCCGGGGTTGATCTTACTATATAAAGGTATAATGAATCGCGATTATAGGACGGCGAATTCAGCCGCATATATTTTTGCTATGATTTAAGAAGCATCTAGGCACGTAAGCCGACTTGTGTAAGCGGCTCAACCTTTATATCACAGGCTCATGGTCAAATTCTCTATCTCTGTATGGTGAACGAATCATAAGTGTAGAATAGCAGGTCCACATTCCATTCTTGGAATATAATTTATAGCGATCAACGATGGACCGACCGGTCGGGACAAGCTTCGGGATGAATCGATCTCGTACGCGTACCTAATAAGTCATACGGGTTTGATAGATCATATTTGTCTACAAGACCGTGCTGATTTAATTCTAGAGTAGGTATTATTCAGCCTTGACATTCTCGGTTGTGTAGGAGAGATTCGGTGAATGTAGAGCCGCCATTCTAGGATGGTGGTAGTCTATTACGAATGAAGTTTGACGAACGAAGTAATTCTTATCCCCATCGACGAAGCAATATCAAACTCTGCTATTGAGAGTAGGTCGCCAAGTTTTCAGGACAAACCAAACGATGGACTATTTGTTTTTATATAGTCCGGTCATGCTACCAGCCGAAAGTCTCCCAACCTTTAACCAAAGTACATGCAGATACCCAACCCGGGTAGATAGCGTATAATCCTCTCTGTGGTAACGGTGAGAACTATGAAAGTATAGACGACGATATACTTAGTAAGTATCTTACTCGAGCCGTAAACTCGCAATTATTAAGAGTGAAAAATTGTGGCTCGATACCTACTAGAAGTACCTTGGTTGCCTAATCGAGTAATCATTTATCGGGATTCGTAGAGCTTACAGGCCTACGGTGGACCATTATTACAACTGTGCCAAAATCGAGAAAATAGGTGGCACTATGTCTAATAAGGTAATAGTAAGGCAAAAATACAGTGTAAGCTCAATTAATATGCGCTGTATACACAATTAACACCCCTTTTAACCTTATACCATAATAACTTTACGAATATCTATCCGAATATTTTTTCGAAAACTATCAATATTTTGATTAGAAAAGGATAAAAATTACTGTCCAGGTTGCATGCGATTTGACCCAAAATTCGTAAAGATATTAAGACAGCTATATACATGTAGTCTTTCCTATTCTAAAAGATTAGCCAATCAGATATTGCCTTTACTTTAGCCTTGGCCTTATATACCTAGGTAAATTCAATAATAACACTTACTTACACGTATACACGTATTCAAATAACTTTACCAATATACTATTTCAAATATTATAATTAATATGATATTATAGCCTCATTCAATGCGAAAATAATAATGCAAGTTGCATTTATATATAGCCTTTGGCTGGCGTGTTGTGTCAAGTCTTATAGAGAGGCTAGCACGTGATACCCTTTATGACCACTTTGGAATCCCGTATATATATCATACATATATGACATATTATCTTTACGAAATAAATTTGAAAAATTACACAACTAATTTAATAATTTTTTTCTTACTTCAATTGAAATAATACTATTTTCTTTAAATTTTTAGAAAGAATATTCAAAAAGTTATTAAATAATATAAGAATTTTGTATATACCCCGCATAGTATACTGTGCACCTTTTATACTAGCCTTTTTTGGACAGATCTGACCTATTTTCTTGATTTTGGCACAGTTGTAATAATGGTCCACCGTAAGGCCGAGTAATGCGTATGTACAGGTCTCTGGGATGAGAGATAGTAGCGCGGCGCTAAGTGGAGATGTTTAACCAAACATGGCTAGTAGGTATCTTTACATATAAATTTATACGTAAGATACAAAACCTTAATAGAAAGATCAACTTTTTATACTTAATCTTTTATCCAGACCCATATATTGATATTCAGGAGCAGCCTTTCAGTTCGAAAAGTATTGATATTCAGTACTGTTATATACAAATTTATACGTAAAGCTACCTGCTAGCCATATTTAGTTAAACATCTCCACTTAGCGCCGCGCTACTATCTCTCATCCCAGAGACCTGTATGTACAAGGTATATCAATCCCTGTCGTTTCTACTGTCCCTACCCTATCGCGACTATCTTGATAATCTTCTTCAACGATTACCTACTTTCAAGATCATATACTTCATACCTTACATTTCCCCGACGTAGTTACGCACTTTTAAAATAGAATTTTCGCTATTTTGTTTCATCACAGCTAGCTATGACCATACGCTCGGATACAATCGAGGATGGCCTCTTTAACCCTAACCATCGGCTCGATCCGTCCCAACAAGCGCACACTCTAATCCACCGTATCTACAACTATATCAAACCTCGCCGCGCGCCTCAGCCCAAATCATACCCTCCTCTCTCAAGTATCCCACGAACATCTCCCGAACGTCTTGCCCATGCCTCTCCCGACTCTCCCGACGATGCCTTATCGACACCGACCGTCCTCTACCTCGCCTATGGTTCCAACCTCTCCGCCGAGACTTTCCTCGGCATGCGCCACATCAGACCGCTAAGCAAGATCAACGTGTCAGTACCGACTTTTGATCTGGCCTTTGACCTGTCGGCGTTGGCGTACTGGGAGCCATGCTTTGCGAACGTGTCGCCGCGCAAGATCCCTATGCCGCCTATCCCGGGCGATCCGCCGAGACCCCCATTTCCTCCTCCATATAGCGCAAGATCCGACCGACAAGACGAGGTAGCAGAAGAAGAGGAGAGGCTTCCGGGAACATTACTCCCCTCGCTCCCTCCGGATCATAGCCCGTCCTGGTCTAAGGGGCTCTACGGCGTGGTCTACGAGGTCACGCGCGAGGACTACACCCGGATCATAAATACGGAGGGCACTGCCTACGAAGAGATCCTAACGCCGTGTCTGGCGCTGCCGCCGCCTTTCCACGTCCCCGAGAAACCCCCTATTCCCGAGTTACCGAGACCGTTCTTAGCGCGCACCCTATATGCGCCACAACTACCCTCCTTCGATCCCCCCGATGGTGGTGACGGTGGCGACGATAAGAAGCGCTGGTGGCAGAAGCTATTATTACCTGTCCACCGAACCCCGGGCTATGCGCAGCCAAGCCCGCGGTATCTACGTCTGATCCGCGACGGTGCCCGCGAGCATTATCTACCTGATGATTATCAGACGTACCTTGCACGTCTGGAGGCGTATACTATCACGACGTGGCGGCAAGATATTGGACGTTGGTTATTCCTATTCACAGTGGTGCCGTCATTCGCGCTGTTGGCGCTGCTTGGTTACCTGCTAGCTAGTAAAGATAGCAAGATACCGAAGTGGTTGGAGGCAGCAACAACTATCCAGCGAAATCTAATGTGGAAAATCTACGATTATGTATTCAAACCTCTGTTTGGGGACGGAGAGCGGACGATACAAGAGGAAGATGATGACTCGGGTAGCACAAGCAGAATACGTACACAAGCGTGGGGAAGCGAGAAAAATGCTTTGCTGGCGGATTGGTAGCATAAGAGGTACTTAAGCAATGTTGCACTACGAGGATGGCAATCAATTTATGTGACGAATCTAATAATGTCATGGGATATCATATCATACTGAAATGTCCTTCTAGCCTATTTCTATCGCACCCAATCGTGAATAATACAGCCTAACCAATTGACCATTGCCTTGTCCAAATATTTCCCGTTACGCTTTTCGCATCAATTCAGCGTATAATTCTATTAGCAACTACCTAGGTTGCTTACAATTTACTTTAACCATGCCCCGATGATATCTAAGTCCTCGCAACAAGGTCGGGGATGTCGTCAACAGTATGTCGTCCCTCGAGGATATTGTGGACAGCCGTGAATAACGGGTAATCCTGCTCGAGGCCCCGCTGCTTCAGAAACGAGTTCACCTCGGCGGCCGTGCTGGTACCTTGCAACTTCTGGCCGTTAAGCTCCGTCTGCTCGACTTCCTGGACAGAGATGCCCTTTTCGACAGCCTTCTTGGCACATCGGAAGTTTCGGCCACCGCTGCAACTCGTGATCAAGTCTGCTACACCGGCACTCTCTTCGGTGAATGTGCCGGTTGAGATGGTTTCGCCAAAGAACTCGTGGCCGAATTTAACCATCTCGAGTAGTCCCACGCGCATGATTGCCGCCTTAGCGTTGTCACCCCAGCCCCGGCCGTCAACGAACCCCGCGGCTAAAGCGACGATATTCTTCAAAGCACCGCCGAGAGAAACACCTGCAACATCCGAAACCATGCGTACGTGGAAATAGGGGCGGTGGAAAAGCGTCTTGAAAGTGTCATGGTCCAGAGGGTGGTACTCGGGCGGGACAGGAGTTAGCTTAGTTTTGCTGATCCTACCCCTGACATCCCGGTGCTGCGTATCGGCCAAGGGGGTGATGCTTAGCTCGTCGGCGGACGCTAGTGGCGAGTTGCGGTTCGGAGTCGCAGAGCGAGGCGTTGCGTTTCGAGACGGGTTGCGCGAGTTGTCCATGGGTGGCGGATCATACGCAATCGTAGTTTCGGACCACTTCTCGGCCGCGATTTCAGATGCGATGTTCGCGCCTGATAGGGCGCCGCAGTAAATACCTAGACCCTCCCCAATCCATTCCGAGAAGAGGGATATACCCTCATCCGTAACATTAACACCTTTAATGCAAGATATCCCTCGAGCGAACGGTAAGATTTTCCCTTTGAGCTGCCCACAGATTCTGTGGATAAATTGGTGAGGCAGATTAAAAATTAGAATAGACGAATTGCTGACGGCATCCTCGAGGGAGGGGTTCGCAACGAGGTTCGTAGGGAGCTTGATGTTTGGGAGATATTTGATGTTCTCGTGGTGTGTGTTGATAACGGATGTAAGCTTTTGGGTCTTGCCCTCGTATTCTACGTCCTCTTCATACACCCACATCTGAACCTCCTCCTCGAATAAATCAGGGTGTTCTTTCGTGTTCTCAGAAACGATCTTGGAAATTGTCGAACCCCTTTTCACATTACAGTTAGTATCCTCGGGTATGAGGGAGCAAAATGCAGATATACTCACCAATTTCCAGAACCAATCACGGTTACCTTGTGCTTTCTGGTGCCGTTGGCGCCTAAGAGTCCCGGTGCCATGGTGGAGAAATGTGAGAAGCGTCTAGTAGAATTGTACGAGAGGAAGGATTTCTGTGAGACTCGAGCGTAGGCAGGAAATCTGAAAGAGGAAGCAAATGGGTATCTTAATAGGTAGAGTGTTTTCATACAGCCGAGAATTGAAAGCTTTGTAAGTTCAGAAGGCGCATTCGAGCTATTAAATATCAGCTCGGTAAAGTAGTAACGGCCGGATGATATCTTACAGACTTCATGTGACAGCGAAGAATCGAAAATATTACCTATAATCAATACCGGACAGACCGAGGCGCTTGGGAAGAGCAAAAAACCTGTGGCACCTGCCAGTAAATAGTGAGTGACGCACGAGACTGGCAGAATACTAAAAGTTACCCCTGCTATTCGGTATAGTATATCATATAAAGGGGGGGGGACTAAGTACCCTAATGGATGCTCTTACTAGCGTCTGATTGGGTTGAAGGCCTAAAACTGCTCGGTATATGGCATATATGACCCCCACAATTCGGGATCTTGCATAGATATTTGAGTTTAGAATTATATCCATCTATTGAGGAGCTAATGCATATTTCACCGCCTGCCTCAGCTAGCTAGATCTTTCCAGCGAACCGGTTCGAGGATTTAGGTCGGAGCTAAACCAAGTAGGACCTTGTGAGGGGCAACTTCGATTTAAGAAACTGAACGAAGCAATTCTATTTATACGTATACCTATCCTAAATATAAGTCCCTCATGACGTACTTGCGGCAAAAAATAATAATATGTTAAAGGATATTGATTATTCAAACGTCGAATTATAGGTATTCTTAGTGAAGTATAAGATGGGCAGCAATCTAAGCAGAAAATAAGCCGAGGTAGGACCACCGAAACAAGCCGAGGCCGCTTCAAGGTAATAATTAAATCGGCCTGGATACCCCATTTTAGCTATGATTATTCTATGAGATCGCGCACATGCACGACTATATAAGATATTTATTTGACTCTAATATATATCTCTTATATGATAAGTTTCATCGGCCATCTATATGCAATCACTACATGCTTCAAAGAGAGAGGAGGCGGGGTTAGCGGAAGCACTATGACACGATAACATAACGAAAGGTCCAGTATAAGTTAAAGTATATCATACCTATCTTTATGACTCTCATTCTTTTATATCTGTTTATTAAAGGCTCATAATGCTTATATCAAGTAAGCCTGTAGTGTGATAATGATAGAGTCCGAAGATCAAACAGGCGAGCTCCTAAATAAATGACTTATTCGTAATGTACGTTAGACAACCTAGCGCGCGGTACATTGTATATAGCCCCTATTTCTTTTGTCCAAGTCCTGATAGATATATCCTGACGGGAACCAAGTATGTAAAATACGAATAATTATGAGGTTCCAAAGTTGGGTCTCGATTATTATTCACAACTAGTTGAAGTAAGCATGAGAATTGAGAGTAGTTATTCGAAAGTCACCTAATTATTTGAACTCATCTGTTATGAATAAGACATGGCGCATCAGTTTGAATAGTTATTTCAGGCATTATTCACATTAAATGTACTAAATTTAAAATATCCTTTTTGGCCCTCGCGTTAGACGTGCCCTTTAATTCTCGATCCAGGGACATCCCAACTTGGTATAAACTTTTTGAACCGGTAACAGATAACTATATATACATTCCTCAAACCCCTTCTCGCCTTAATTAAGGAGAGAACTTGCCGCTCTCGATATCTTTCTGGGCCTGGAGGGTCAAGTTGACAATCTCAATGACCATATGGCGGCGCTCCTGCTCCAAGTGGTCATCCTCAGCACCATCCTGGTACCACACGGTCGAGTACACCTCGAAGCCATCAATCGACTGGCCGTAGTCCGCGCCCTTCACGGGACGGAGAGAGATATGCAGAGCACCGAACCTAGTTCCGTCGCGCAGGACCTTGTCGCCAGCTTGTTGGACGGGGAACTCGGGCAATTCCCGTAGGAATGGGTCTTTAGCTCGGTCTGGCGCGTTGAAGTTGGGAATGGTGAAGTTGGTGGTCACACCTCCCCAACCCTCTAGGATCTCGGACGAAAGACCCGTGGGGGTCGTCACCGTGTCCTTCGCATAATGCTCGGGGTTGGCGGCCAAGTTGGCAGCATCTGCGTTCGGCGACGCGTACCAAGCCGCAAACTGCGCAAACGAAACGTTTGGTAAGAAAACGACGCCCCGCGCATCGGCAGGTACCCATCCGTCGCCTGACCTGCTGATCACGTCATGCCAGAACTTGTCGGCATCGTCCTGGTCGGGCGCTAGCAGCACCTTGAGTTCGTCGGTACCGATATCTTGTTTGAGCTTCAGAATGGCAGCAACACTGTCCTCGGGAAGAGCAGGTAGGGGCCCATCTAGACGCGCCTCAACTAAAGATAGGGCCTTTTCTGCTGCTGCGTGCTCGTACTCGGTCTTCGTCTGGCCCAATTTGGGACCGGATAAGAAATATTTGTAGCCTGAGATAGTCTCATTCAGGGCCGACGCTTGGAGGGCGAAGGCAGAGAAAAGAAGGATATTCTTGTGCATGGTGCCTTGAATGATTTGATACGACTTTTTGGACTTGAAGAGACAAGCTGTAGGATGCGTTAGAGAGTAAAGTCGTAGCTGTTCAAGTTGATCGTAGCTTAGGTACTTTAAGATTATTGCTTCACTCTCCCGTATTTATATTTCAGCTGGATATCGGCCATTGGAGTCCCGATTGCGACAACCTTCCAGAACCTCATATTGTAACGTATTGTAACATCGCAGTTCCTTGCATTTATCTAACTACGTGTAGTAGGTAAGGAGCATAACCCACGAGGCCTTTGAATCACGGCGCAGTAATTGTTGCCATAACTCTCCACTAAAGCAAACAAAATCGTACATTGACGAATCCCCAGCCACTACTTCGGATCCCGTGGGATTTTCTAGTGATCGAACCCGGTCCGGCCGCTGACCGATGCGGAAGTCTTTTTAATAGGTTGGTTTACAGATTTCATTTATATCTAAAGTTACGTAGCCAACAACTCAGCCAAGTCTCTCTTTGTTTATTCTACAAGGACTAACCATGTCAATAATAATACAATTTAATTCCAAATAACTTATCGGCAAATTCCGGTACCACAATGACTTTAGGTGAACAGTGATGAGCTTGATTGGCCAAGGTACCTCTCTTAAGGGAGTGAGTGCTGAGTCCTCACTAACCCTAGAGGTATGCCCCGCACTTTTGTACTTATAGGAATAGCATCAGTAGCATATCCAACTCAAGAACTTAGCCTAATGGTATTGAATTGTTTATATCAAACTTTACATCAACGTTGGATAGTGTCCTCATAAATAGTTTTCTATTTCGAGTGTTTGATCTTGTGTAACAGGTACCTAGTAATAAGGAACACAACACTTCGAATTAGTCCTAGTTGCAGTGTAAAGTCTTTTAGGCCAGGACCAACAGCCTTAAAGTTTCGCCTTAGAATTATAATACCCCCATTCATATATTCTACCATCTAACAGGAACAAAGCTTCGGGTTTATCGGGACTCCCGGTATTAAATGTTCTTGCGTCGTGTCCGACATCGCCGATGAACATATGTTAATGATATGATATTTCAGGCCAGTATACAAACATCTAAGTTGATTGTTTTGGATTGGGTAGACTAAATTTAGGATATATGTAACCGTCGCACCAGGTTCCCATCGTCTTTGCCTCACTTACCGTGGTGGCAACTACAACGGTTCATATCCTAGCTACAGGGGAAAACTCACATGGATCTGGCTCTTGAAAATGATATGTATTGTAAAGACGTAGGATTCAATAGAATTGGCATAACATCTTGGCACCAAGCATGCTATAACTCTTTGGGAAGGCAAGGAAGGCTATTTGCATATGGTTTTTATAGAAGGCAATGTTATTGATAATAACGACAATATCTATAATAACAAATATTTAAATGTCCAGGACCTACCTTTCAATATAACTACTGATTGTTTATTCTCTTTATTCTTATTCAAATATTATTACTCCCTTATTGTTAATTCAAGAAAGTACTAACTGAAACTAAATAAGTTATTTTACTTTTTGTTATAAGATGTATTAAAAGATATACTCAAATGTACACAGGCAGTGTCTTCGTAGGTACAGAGAGGTATTGTACATTTTACCTATTCCCGATTCAGGTAAGCAAGCGGCTCAACGCATGTCAGAGCGGAAGCACTAGCGGGTTAGTGGGTTAGCGGAATGTTAATTGGCGGATTATATAATACGAGATGCGCGACTTATCTTTCATATTCTTATCTGCGTTTGCATTTGACTTCCGCCGATGAAATCTATTCGTTCTAATTGCTGATCTTTTGCGTCGTGCACCGTCCACAGTCGTCGTGTACTTGCTTTTTTGGGCGACGAGCGTACGCCATCGACAAAGTAATCTTATAATCTCACTCTGTTTCATAATTTCATCTATGAATCCGAAAACCTCTTGATCAAGCGTGTTATCTTGTAACCGATTTGCCGTAAGGGTTCGCCCCCCGCCGAGCCCTCCATGGGCCAATGGTCGCGACGCCATTATCGTCTCTTACTATTATTACCTCTTAGAAATTATAATCAAGGAATAAGAGAGGAGTTCCTCTTCGCGTATACTTAATTCTTTTTTTATTAAAAAAAAAAAACCAAAGAAGTGTTTGGCACCAACATCAGCACCAACGTCGAGATCTATCAAGATCCATCAATACAATACCAATTACTATTGGCTACCTCTATTAGCTACCTAGCTTTCTCAATCGACCCAAACTACCGGATAGGGTGCCGCCATTTTAGCACTCCCCCGGAAATATTATCGTTGTCACATCCATGTCTATCAAGTTTTAGCTTGCATGTGCCCTGGAAACTGCGCTCTTTCCATTACGTTTCTCTTTTACCGACAACCCAACCTCGCTCTGATACTCCCGGTACACTAATACACTGATATAATTGTTAAGCTAACTTAGCCTACTGCTGTGAGACTTTATTATGGACGGGCCCGATTTGTCGGGTTTACGACCACAGGCCGCCTTGACTTCCGGTCATTCTCTTACTGACTCCTCTCATCCCCCGACCAAGAAGAAGTCAAGGAGGGGCGGGGATCCGTCCAGTCAAAAACGCCGATGCGTCAGCACGTATGTGATACCCCCGAATATCTTCTCACTTGCTATTTCATTATGATATAAATTGACCTTGGTGTCTATAGCGCATGCATAGCCTGTCGTCGTCGGAAGTCGAAATGCGATGGCGCGCTCCCGAGTTGCGCCGCGTGCGCAAGCGTGTATGGTACTGAGTGTGTCTATGATCCCAACTCGGATCATCGCCGAAAAGGGGTTTATAGAGAGAAGATCGACAGTATGAAGGCGCGAAACTCTACTCTCCAAATCCTAATCGAAGCTATCCTCAATGCAGATGAAGACGATGTTCCCGAAGTAGTCAAGAGAATACGAACCTGCGATAGCTTGGATGCCGTGGCCGAGTCAATCCTTAAACAAGAAGAGTTCGGTAGTGTAGGAATAGAAGATGAAGATCAGATAGAGAACGACTATACTACTGATATGCCTGTTGAGGGCGAGAGGGATCTTGCTCGGAAGATGGGGGAGTTACGGCTGGAAAACGGCTCGACGCGCTTCATCGGTGGTACCTCTCACCTGATACACTGGGATATACATGGGGCACCGAATCCGGAATACGAGTCCCGGAATACTACCGGCGCAGTCGATAAAGATCCTGTCACGAGTTGGTCTGATGTAACGAAGGATCGAGAAGTTGTTAAACATCTTCTCGATATGTACTTCAACTGGCATTATCCGTACTTCACCACGTTGTCACGGGCTCTGTTCTATCGCGACTTTCTAAATGGGAGATCAAATATCTCGCCGAATAAAGTTGCATATTGTTCGCCTTTATTAGTCAATGCGATGCTCGCGCTGGGATGCCACTTTACTGATGCTGCTTGCGCCTTCGGTACAACTGGAGATAGCTGGACCAAAGGAGATCATTTCTTCGCCGAGGCTAAGAGACTAATTGTTGACAACGACGAGTACGAAAAGCCTCGGTTAACGACAGTTCAGGCTTTAGCTCTTATGTCTGTACGAGAAGCGGGTTGTGGACGAGAAGCCAAGGGTTGGGTATATAGCGGTATGAGTTTCAGGATGGCACAAGATTTAGGGCTCAACCTGGATATCGGTGGCATCAAGGGCGATAACGATAATTTGGACGACCACGAGGTAGATGCGCGGAGAGTCACTTTCTGGGGCTGCTTCGTGTTCGATAAGTGCTGGTCAAATTACTTAGGTCGACTTCCTCAGCTACCAAAGAATTCCTACAGCGTTCCCAAATATGACGTTTTCCCAGACGAAGATGCCGAACCCTGGTGTCCGTATACCGATTCTGGGTTTGAAGAGTCAGCAAGGCAGCCGTCGCGAACCCGTACGGTCGGTCTACAATTATCTAAATTGTGTGAAATTAGTGGCGACCTTCTCTTATTCTTCTATCATCCAAATCACATAGGGCGATCGAGCGGCAAGTCAATCGAGCTCAAAAAATTGAGCGAACTACATCGGCGTCTGGAGGATTGGCGAAAAGAGTTACCCAAGGAGCTTGAACCTAAGGAGGGCCAATTACCTAATGTCATTTTAATGCAGTAAGTTCTCTATCATCACTGTCGAGATAGCGTGGTTGATCAAATTTAGCATGTTCTTCCATCTTCAATATATCCACCTCTTTCGCCCTTTTCTCAAATACTCTCCAGCTACGTCCCCCTTACCACCTCATGTATCTCCCCGGAGAATATGTACCGCAAACGCGGGTGCCATCTCCAAATTGATGAGATTATATAAGAAGCTTTACAACTTACGCCAAATCTGTAATATTGCAGTGTATATGCTACATTCTGCTTGCACTATTCATATACTTAATCTCCCCGAGAAGACTGCGAGGAGGGATATCATTCACGGTGTAAAGCATCTCGAAGAGATTGCAGAAGATTGGCTCTGTGGGCGACGAACTCTTAGCATAATTAGCGTTCTCGCTCGTAAGTGGAATGTTGAGCTTCCTGAAGAGGCTTCTCATGTTTTACAGCGTACGGATGAAAGGTGGGGTACTTTCAAGACATCTGATGTACCTTCGCCCCGTTCGCACATGGCTATATCTCCATCGCCTCCAGCTGTGGCGATGTCACCGCCAGGGAAAGTTGAACACAGTCCCGCGAGTCACAATACTCCCCCGACTTCAGTCCCATCACCAACAGGCGGCCCGGGACCAACGGTCCCACCCGAGATAATGCAGAGCTTAAACTCATCACCACCCAGCTTCCAACCTGATGCACAAATCCCGCAGCCAGTGTTGGATAGTGTGGTTATTATGGGTAATTCGGTGCCCTTAGATACAAACGAATTAAGTAGACCAGATTGGCGCCAGCCTCCGACTACACAGAATGTTCTCAGCTATCCGCAGGCTTTCCCTCGAATTCCAAATAACACCAGCTCTAACCAAGCATCCCAAGGTGCGAGACGAAACCAAGCTCCGAATTCCATTTACGCCGTTGATGGACAAGACTGGTATCTTAAAGATGGTGTAAACTGGCAGTCGGGCTTCGATACCTGGAATATGGGGAATGGACCATCCGGCTCGAATATATCGGATCCATCCATGTTCATATTCACTTCTAACCCGCCTGCTAATAATGCTGGACGCTCTCTCGCTCCCATGGATTTCAACTTCGAGGGCCTTAATAACTTATCTTCTTCCATGGACGGATGGGATCTTCCAAATTTGGAGTAAAAAGATTGGCTAACTCAAGTGTGTATTTCTAGTACCGTGTGTTTGTTAAAGCCAGTGTGCTAGGTTATGTGAAATCTTGAAATTATATAAGGACCTTGGGCAAGCGAGGGGGGGCATGATTTAAGAAAGCTACGACAGCATACTTTGTATAATGATATTACGCCTGTTATATGACCTCGCTCTCGTTCTGTGATGGCGAGAAATGATTAAAAAAACAGAGAGTTCACGTTTTCGATCTAGCTAGACGTATTAATGTGATTACTTTAGTTGTAGAAATATTGGGTAAGTTAGGTACCCTATGGGTTTTACTTACATAGCACCTTTTTATCAGTTTTTATTAATCTACACTAGATTTATTCCCTCTTTATCCATATTCCCCCGTATATCTCTTGGTATTGACATGGTCGTGATATGAATGAGCTTTCATATTCAACATTGACTGGATAAATTATAATGCATGATTGAGAAACGGAAAGCCCCACAATTCAGTTAGTATCAACAATTACTTTTCTACAGCGGGTTCCTAAGTTTTCCTGTATAATAAATTCCAAAACGATGCTTCAAGGCTATCAACTAAACCAGGAAGACTACTGCCTGGAATGTATTATGGAATATACGTCTGTTCAAGTTTCAAGGTGATAGTTAATGATTCTAATACTTGAAACTAAATGGCTTTACTGTTACTAACGGCGTTAGAACTAGCGGATAGTGAATAATTGAAGTCGCAAATCGAGGGGTTCGTGATGTCTATAATGCCAAGGTACATATGATGTCCGTTCGGGAACGCTAAAACCAGAGGCGAAATCCAAGAGATGTCCAAGAGGCCCCAAGAACGACAAGTCAAGATCCACCCCCGGATTTTCCACCGACGATCAGAAAAGGGAACATAGTGGGCCTCAACGTGCGGATGAGCAAAGCTTCTTTAGACGTGGCCCAACAAGGAAACTCTGCACTAACCCCTGGGAGTAGAACTACATATTAACATGACCTTCGTCACTTATCTGTTTGTTAAGCATCTGGATTAGGAGATCTGCTAGATTTTCTGCTCTTATCTGGAAGATGCTAGTATTAAAACAATATCCAATCGATAATGCAGGGAGCCGAATGGAAGAAAGATCGGCCGTTCATATGTTATTACGACCTGATATATGTGCAGATTTTGAGTGACAGTGGCAAAATATTTGATTGCTGTCGTCGGTCTGGAACCGCGCTTCATTTATTTTATGAAACCCTTCAAGTAATCTCGACTCGTTTAAGAAGTTATGACTAGGTAAAGGGGCAAATTATGGAAGAGAGAGTATGTAGATCGTGGCATGGTCATCATTCGAGAGATGATAGCGTTGACAATTCAGCTACTTGGGAGAAGCTCTTGTGATGACTCAGTTAAGTTCAATCTAGGATAGTAAAGCATTGTGATACCCCAACCGCTAGGACTTAACGGGCAGTCTCCGTCAACTCGACACTTGGGGCATGGGCAGGTGATCACTTGAAGCCAATATCTAGAAATGAGTATGACGACAACGAACTACGTGAAGATTGATCCAAGGCGTCATAGTAGATGTGATCAAGGAGGCTCTAGGTAATTCTCACATGACCTCTAACGCCAGGTTTCTGGGGCGGGAAGAAAGGTTACTCCATGACTGCAGACCTCTTTTGCCTGCGATTTCGGTTGGCCATCTTCGTCAGTATATCTTAAGATTCAAGTTCTCATGATTTTTACTGGTGTTAGCAAATTAGGATAGCATAGCTGATGCTTTATTTGGTTCAGAATCCGGGGTGGCTCCGTGATCTCCAAATAAGGGCGGCCAAGACTCTTTCTCGTGCCGGGGTACGACAACGAGGCGTAAATCTTTGCTAGAAAGGGTGTGCCTTCGGGACGTCTAGCGAGAGGTCCGTAGCTATCTCGTCAGCCGGAGCGAGGGCGAGTCCGGGAGAGAAGAGAAGGGTCCCTCCGGATCAGCGACGACGGATCTCTGGATGCTGGTGCTTCGATCTGCAAGGCACTCGGATGTCTGGGTCTAGCGCGTACGGCTCATGGTATATTGGACCGCAAATCTCTGCACTTGCATGTTCTACCCCAGATCGCAGTTTGCCGAATGGTAACCCAATGAACGTCTCGGAGGGACAGTCTGAATTGGGAGCAGACCCGCCATTTCTGGGGTAACATTCCGTCCCAAAGATTGACCACTGAGAGAGGCTGGCATAATTCTCAAAAATTCCCGTCGTCCCCAATACCGAACGGAACATCGGGAGCCTTAAGCCTTGTGGGCGTCTGCAAGCATGCCATGTCTTACCTGCACGATCTGGGGACCTGGACATGACATGTCGGCCAGCTCCCACTGATGCAGGCACCAATGTCGACCAGTACGTATGGTAGGATTTGGTAGCGTATATTGTAATGGCTTCTCGAGCTTCGAGTGGTTTAAAAAGGCCCATCTGTACGAGCCTTGCCGTTTCACTGCATCTATGAGATGCGGTAGTACCGGATTGGCGATACATGTGGCACTGAGACGTATAAGATATTTATCTTTAATCTAGACCACCAAAAGGGTTGTCAATCACTTCCTATAGTAGATTTTGGATGGCGTAGTTCCGCTATTGTAGATCTTGAGTTTTAGTTTTCCGGTCCTTTGGAGAAAGTTAGGTGCATAGAGTAGAGATAATGATGCTGTGAATCAATCACGTCTCCCCCAGACATTCCTCTCATAGGGCCCATTCATGTTGAGGTGCAGCTGCCACCCGGAGGTAATGCATGTATGCTCACTGTAACCCAACTCCATAGCAGGAGAGATGATGCCTACCCCAACCAAAAAGGATACTAGCACGTGGTAACAATTTATTTTCCTCCTTTCTTCCGTCTTTGTCGCCACGAGAAAGAAGCTGCAATGACAATAAGAGAGGCAATATCACGTGAACCCTAGGGCAGTCGTTTAGTCCCATGATACCCTTGGGGATATCGATATTATTTGATCTTACTATGCATCATTAGCAGTGTATTAGCTAGCTTGCGAACCTGGTTTTCCTTCTGCGCCAGAAAGACAGGGAGCTCAAGACCAATATATGTTACGTGTAACCTAGTATTCTTCATATGGGTATTGTTACTTTTCCCGTATCCCGCAGCTGATATAGTCCTAGGTCAATGGGTTATTCAGAAAGCATTTTATGCCTGACATAAAGCACATGGTAGAATAGCCTAGATCGCGAACCTGCAGACGCGGCGCTTGTGAAGCGCGTTGGGCTAAATAGCCGTACGTCACGCCTCATTTGCAGCGTTAAGTAGTTCCAGAGTAAAATAGGCGCCGAGACGTATTGATAAATGACTGCCAAAGTGACGCATTGGAAATCAGTACCGCAATGTTGCAAGTCAATGCCATCTCTCCTCAATAAAGAAGAGAAATTCCCATTTGGTTTCTGAGAAACTCTTCTATACGAGAGTGGTCCCTATTCGATCGTGGTGGAAAGTCGGACCTTGTTCCGCTTTGAGTCCCAGCATCTCAAATTGCAGTGTCCGTTGGATCGCACCCTAGGCATCTTGGCACGGGAATACCTACACACGTTTCCATGCTGGGGAGGTAAGATGGCCTGGGTAGCCGAATTTTCAACTACCGATCAGTGGAGTCTGCCTGACATTTTAAACTTCCGAAAACTTCATGATCTTAATTCCATGTCGGGCTACGTAGTAGGAAGAGTCCTTCCTAGTTTGAACCGCATGCTGCTTCTCGACCGTGGATTAGTCGTAATAGTAACTGCGAGTGGACTTCGTACAGTAGCGTATCGCTCCCCGGACAATATATCTTCTAAAGGAGCCAGTCGGGCAATTTCTCCAAGCTCCGATGCCACTTACGCATTCCTTTGATTTTAGAGAGACTAGTCGTAGATCGTGAGATTTACGAAATCGTAAATTCGCTTCTCGTCATGTATGTTGTATAATCGAGCTAGCTGTGCTTGAGTCCGGTTTCGATTTATATGGTGAGAGGATGTAATTGTCGAATATCATTATGCAATGTTAGAGGCGAAGCATGATATCGAATTGTAGAGCCAGGTACCTAGATGTGGGCTGAAGTCATACGCTGTTTTAGGTACCCAAATAATGCATAGCTTATTTCCCCAGGTCTCTCCAGATACATGTACCCATATCAAGGTAAGCATGACGCCCTCTGCAGCAATGAGATGTAAGTTTCTCTCCAGAATAACTTCCCCAGACTTTCAGCGTTAATGGAGACCGTGCGAGTCGGAGATATCGTGCGTCGTATTCCGTGTCTTAATAGCATTCCTTTATTAAGTAGCTTTCCGGGGGACTCATGTTAGTGCTTAGCCCTACCATATAGTGTCTCGTCAGCTGTATAGGATCGAGCTCTTTCTATGTACATTAGAACTTCTTAGAAGTCTTCGGATGGTTCGTGGAATTAAACAACAAGAAATATACTGGGACTTGGTGAAAATCCACCAATAGGAGTCCTTTGCGATAATTTCGTGTAGTTCCATTGTGCTAATGGGAAGTTCGGTCCGGTCACCCTTGGTGACTAGGGGCCCCGAGTTCCGGCTCGACTATCCAGCTTGCAACCTAGTGGGCATCCGGTATGGTGGGTTTCCGCGATGCAACTCAGGACACATGAGAATCGAAGATTGCGGCTATTAGAAGTTGGAATGGATCCTTCTTAAGCCGCCGCTAGTATAGTTACGTAGTTCTAAGTTGAAGCTTCGTCCTAACTTCTGGTAGTAGAAATGAAGTACTAACTATAGCAACATATATTACTAGAGACATTAGTACGGATTATAATGCACAAAATGTCTGTTGTATCTCTCGCTGCATCACATCGTGAGCAGTTGTGTAAGCTGCGGCTGCACGGGTATCCGAAGCTAGTAGTTATGACGTGCCAAGCACAACCACCGTTTAGAAAAGAATGGTAGAGCAATTAAATAAGCTTAGGTGCAATGCCTGCCTACCCAACTAACTTTGGATGGCTTGCAGTATGAATTCGAGCATGAGTATCGCCATCGAACAGAGCGAAGTGCCGCGTTTACTGTAATATAGAGTAAATATCCAATGGTGAGATCCCTGGGGGGATCTCTGTGCCGATAAGCGTATTCGATAAGACTTTACTTTTGCTTTTACTCTTGAAAGGGTTTCTTTATAGAGATCGTTATTATTAGATCCTAGAAAGATCTAAACTTTCATTCGATGTTTATCAGCGCGACATGGCGACTTGGTGGCAGTCTTAAGATATAAAAGTAGCCACTATGTAATACAGTAGGGAAAATGATAACAATACGAAACTGACTTAGCTGGTATTGAAAATCTGAAGGGGTGTTTCATCGTTACCCGAACATATGGAGAGATATAAGGTCCCGTATTCGTGACGGTTCGTCCCTATTTCGGCCATTAACGAACATCTTAAGAGTAGCACACGGAATAGGGCCGCATTACCTGGGTATTGGCACGCCTGTCAATATTAGTGTTCAGTAATAAATATGCAGTCTATATCGCAGGAAGCATGGCTCGTATACTACCTACAATGTCTGGGATGTGTCGTGGTATGGGGCACTCTGCAGTCTGTCATAGATGCAGGACCAGAATAAGCATTTTGAACATTGGGATTGGTTTGCGGGAGGCCCCTAGCTCCGGGGTATCACTTATAACCCTGATTTAACATGATCGTCAGTCCGTAACACATACCAGACCTACCTGTAGATGATCATCTGCATCATGAACAATAGAAAACTAGCTTGCAACTCTTATATTCAAAGGGTCCAAGCTACTTGGGAAATATATGATGCTTAAAGAAGATGGTAATAAGCAAAGTACCTAATGAATGTATTGAGAAAGATGAGTTTCGAAAATACAGTGTGAAAAAGTTTAATTCAAGTAAATTTACTTGAAGTGCTGTGAGCAATTCAGTTAAATTACATAATACGGGGTTATTAGGAGATGCGCTTAGCTAGCTCATTTTATTAGAGGTAGTCATCCCCGCTAAAGTAGTAGTCATAGGGCACTCAAATACTGTATTAGGTACACGGTATTCGGTCATCCAAAATTTACTTACCCTTTTCAACCTTTTTCAAGCCACGATTGTGATTTCAACTTAAGCTTATAACAATTTCACCAACTTCCCTCATCTAAGGGCCGTATCCAGATAAGATTGCCACAAAGCAATATGTTCTGTTGCAACCCTACATCTTCCTGACAACGGCATTAAAAGAAGTCCTAAGTTGTCAACCCTCCAGCATTACCCCTATGGACCCTGATTACTATTACTACCCTTTATATCTACGGTGGGCCAATCTACGAGCCACCGGCTCACCGAGACGATCATCCATCTAATCAGAAAGATCGCGGGGAAGGAATGTCCAGAACCACTAATCTGCGTCTGTTGGAAAATCTTGGTGATCTAACCTACCACTTCAGATATTTAGCAACATGAGACCAAATCACTGGGTAAAACTCGTACACAGACTAATGTGTGTTTCCGAAACTACCAAGATCTCGGATATGACTACGGACTAAGAGTTTAGTAAAAATAAGAATGCCTACAACATCTTATCGTGAGTCTATAGGGACATATCTGGGTATGGTAACTGAATCAAAAATGTCGTTAAAATAGTCACGACTATGAACGTATACGAAATACTGGACGCCGTGCCGAGGTTTTTTTTTTTTTTTTTTTTTTTTCAAACAAAAAAAAATCGAGTTTAATCATTAAGATGCGTCTCCGTTTAATTACTAACAAAAATTTACATGCTAAAATCTGATAAGAGCTTTTCGGCGACACTTGGCCGAATATGAAGCTGTTCTCCGCCCAGTCTAGGAAAGCTCGCGGGTCTCCATGCTTGCCAAGACTGGTAATGACTGGGCAACTGGGGTACGGGGTATCAGGGATGGTATAATCCTTGACAGTCACTTGCGCTTCATCCCCTCCACCAACATCCACTACTCCAGTACAGAACGGCCCTAATGGACTATGAGTAAAACCACACTTCACACTTACTTCTCACAAGCGAGCCGCCCATCTGCAAGCCCAGCAGCTGTATGGAGACGAGGCTGCAACACAGCATAATGTTGCTACCTATCTCGTCACTTCCAGCAATGCGTTTTATCCAATCACATCTACTATGAACTGACCGGTATACCCTACTACATCGTATACTCACTCTCTAAGTCCGTTTAAAGATGTGCGGAATGTCTTCACATATTCCAAGGATTCACACCGGTCGTTGTGGGCCTCGCTGAGCTAGTGTGCCCTCTTCTGGGTCGTCATTCTTAACCCGAATTCTCTCCCATCCACTATCTCATAGCCTAGTCGGTCCTAGTGACTAGTCGTCCGAATCTATGTATTCCTCTATGCGAAGTACTGTCGTCTGTATGTCAATACGAACCCCTGTACCCTCGTTGTAACCTAACCAACCATGCCGTAAACTCAAGTGAGAAAGCGGGTCATATAATAGAAATGCCCGAGGGAAGGACTCCTCTAGGAAGAGTTGCTACTAGAATGACCAAAAGGTCACCCCTCATATCCCCATCTTGTCACTTCATCTCCTTGGACCTATTCCGCCGTTGTATATTGCATCGTCAATCTACCTGCGCTTGTCTATATTGCTCCGACAAGTAGGGGTAACCATTCTCCAATCGAATCCACAGAGGCAAGCAGGAACCTCTCCTTGTATGCATGCCAAGGACGCAGACTTTATTTGCCCTCTTCTGGGAGAGTACTCCAGACCTAAATAGAGATTGCCTTGGTTAGATCAGGCCCTTTCTATACTTCCTTTGGTCCACCGTCCTTCCGAATTCTCTACCTAGTAGCAGTCCCTTCCTTAAAACAACCGCTATTACTAGGGACCGGGACGGAGTAGCAGATAGTCCAACTCACTGCGGTACTATGGAACACTTCCATATCCTACCTTGCCCTGTATGTATCTTCACCTTCAATCTTCCTAGACCCTTGTACACATCCCGTCTTCGATTCGCTGCTCTCTTGCCTCTCCAACCCCGCCACATGCTTTGACATCCGTGCTTGACATACCAGTGCCGTTCATATACTACCGTGGCGATCCCTCCTGACTATTTTGGGGTCCCTTATGCTGTTGAACGTAGTGTCATGCTCATGTCTCTAGATCTCCACAGTGAAAAGGTCTTCGGTCCGTCCAAGTACCGCTGTCTAGAAAGGCTACGCTTTGCCAAGAGCTGCAGGACACAACCGCTCCTTGACAAACATATAGCTTAAGCTATCTCGCACCTCTCCGATACAAATCGGACGCCGCTGCAGTTTGGACGTATTCATGCTTCGCCCCAACTGCTTGCATTCGTTCGAAGTCGCCTATCGTTCATAATATACTGAGTTAGACCAGATCGTCGACAGACCACTGCTTTCACTTGAAACGTATCGAGTAAAATTCGCAACCACGGATTACTCGAATATGTTGTCTAACCCACTCCAACGGTTTTCACCGTACCACGCCTTACCTTCTAATGCATTACTTTCAAACGGCCATGTGCCTGGGAGCCACCTCCACGCGGCTGGCCTCGACACCTTTGGCCATGGATCTCAATACACTATCCAACACCTTCAACAACATGTAGGAGTTCATGCCCCACATCTAGCCCGAGCACCGCAGCCAAAGCATCGACAACATCCCTACGGGGGACCTAGTACGAGGGCTACAGGAGCAGCCGGCCCCATCAGAAGAAGGATAAGCAGGGCTTGCGACCAGTGCAACCAGCTGAGGACCAAGTGTGATGGACAGCACCCTTGTGCCCATTGCATAGGTTGGTAACCATATCGAGGCATCCTAGGACTGAGTCAAGTTTACTAATAGAATCAGAATTTGGACTGGGCTGTGAGTATATCCGAGAACGAAAAAAGCGAGGGAAAGCGTCCCGTAAGGATCTTGCCCAGCAAGCAGCTGCCCAGGCAGCAGCCGCCGCCGCTCAAAATGGCCAGAAATCGCCAAACCTAAACGACGATAACGAAGCCTCCGGCGAGCAACAAACGGACAATGCGTCTTCCGTGAAGCCGGAACAACAGACAAGCTCTAGTGATAAGGCATTAAACGATATCAACGAAGATGCCATACAGCGCAGTCAAAGGACGGGGAGTCTCGATAGCTTAGCGGACTTGAGCTCTCACCAGCCTCATTTAACAGGTCATCCTAGTGGTATGGAGCGGGATCAACTTGATAGCCCTACTTCGTTGGATCTCAATGGATATGGGAATGTTCAGAACCCATACGACAGGCAAGGAATGGGTCATTTGATGGGTGGGACTACACACAACACATACGGCTCAAACCAAGGCAATCTCTCGAATTACCCCGAGATTCCTTACACATTGCAAACCCAAAGTCCTACTAACTACTCATCTAACGCCCAGCCGACATTTCGGATAGGTACCAGCCCCCTCAGCGCATACCCTATAGGCGGAGAGCCTGCGTCGCCTGGATGGATGTCAATGTCTTCGCCTCCACCGCAGTTCCAGTCTCACATCCCCCAAAATAACTACCACCAGCAGCTAAGATACCCAGTTCTCAACCCCCTAATACCCCACCTTGGAAATATCATTCCTGTGTCTCTCGCTTGCGACTTGATCGATTTGTATTTTGCCAGTTCGTCGTCTGCTCACGCCCACCCAATGTCACCCTATGTTCTCGGCTTCGTCTTTCGAAAACGATCATTCTTGCATCCTAGCAAACCTCGCCAATGCCAGCCGGCACTTCTAGCAAGCATCCTCTGGGTGGCAGCACAGACGAGCGATGCCCCATTTTTAACCAGCGTTCCGTCCGCGAGAGGCAAAATCTGCCAGAAGTTGCTTGAACTTACTGTTAGCTTGCTTAAGCCATTAATACACACTCCATCTGGTGAAGCTTCGCCAGTTTCCAGTCCAGTAATCGACGGTGTAGCCTTAGGGGGGTTAGGTGTTGCCCTTCCTGGCTCTATGAGTATGGAAAATCTCACGGGAGAATCTGGGGCTTTTGGCGCCGCTGGGACGCTTGACGACGTTATCACTTACATCCACCTAGCCACGGTAGTTTCCGCTAGCGAATACAAAGGTGCTAGCCTTCGATGGTGGAATGCCGCGTGGTCTCTCGCGAGAGAGTTGAAACTTGGCCGAGAACTCCCAGCGAGCGCACCTTCAATGGTCCAAGGTAACAATGGCAATGATGTCGATGCAGATGGCGAAACCGAGGATGGTCTTGGTAACAATGTCGCCCCCGGAACTGTTAGCGAAGAGGAACGAGAAGAGCGGAGGCGGATATGGTGGCTTACCTATATTGTAGACCGTCACCTAGCACTATGCTACAACAGGCCACTATTCTTATTAGATATCGAGTGTGAGGGTCTTCTTCAGCCCATGGATGATACCGAATGGCAGAACGGAAACTTTAATGCCCATACCACGGATCCTGCCTTATCGGAACAGTCTGGGTCCGAAGGAGTTCGGGTGCGTGGGCCACACTTTGAGTGTACCGGTCACAGTATCTTTGGTTACTTCCTGCCCCTGATGACTATACTAGGCGAGATCGTTGACCTTCACCATGCTCGTAATCACCCCCGCTTTGGCATTAGTTTCCGTTCGGCCAGGGAATGGGATGATCAACAAGCTGAGATTGTGCGACATCTCGAGGCGTATGAGCAAAGCCTAAAGATGTTTGAGCAAAGACATTTCAACGCCAGTTCTGAAGATAAGAACGAGCAGTCTGCTACGTTGGAGATGCCGTCTGAACTAGACCAGATCGGCTCGCCATCAGGACGATCTGTGCATACCAGCTCGTCACGCATGACCGAATCCGATATTCAAACCCGTATCGTCATGTCTTACGGTACACATGTCATGCACGTACTGCATATTCTTCTCACTGGAAAGTGGGATCCTATAAACCTCATTGATGATAATGACTTGTGGATCTCGTCACAAGGCTTCATTACAGCTACGGGACACGCTGTATCTGCCGCAGAAGCTATTAGCAACATACTCGAATATGACCCAGGCTTAGAATTCATGCCTTTCTTCTTCGGAATATATCTACTACAAGGCTCATTCCTATTACTACTTATTGCCGACAAGCTACAGCTTGAGGCTTCGGCTAGTGTAGTCCGTGCCTGCGAAACCATCATCCGCGCCCATGAAGCGTGCGTTGTTACGCTAAACACTGAATATCAGGTGAGTAATTAAGCCCACAACACGTTGTTAATTAAGCTAACATCCTTCCAGCGCAACTTCAGCAAGGTGATGCGTAGTGCTCTCGCCCAAGTTCGCGGTCGCGTGCCTGAAGACCTTGGCGAGCAGCATCAGCGTCGCCGGGAGCTTTTGGCCTTGTACCGTTGGACCGGTGACGGTACAGGTTTAGCCTTGTGAGATATATACTCACAATATACATATTTTGTTCTACTGTAAATACCAGATAGGTGGCGGGTGTTGTGGATTCTGTTTAACGGCGTTATAAAACGGACCAAATGGAGTGGCTGGCGTCTCAATTTACGGATGGCCAAAATGATTCCCTTGGTGGTAACGAAGGAATCAGGTTCGGACAAAAGGTCAACGTGCAAATGATCACTTGTTTGAATAGTTGGGGTTTCCCGGAGATGAGCAAGATTTTTTTTTTTTTTGATAAGGGGTCAATTATCGACGTTTGAAGCCGATAAGAGCAGTCGTTGAGGCAAAATTACAGATACCTTGTGTTAGGCGTTGTTCACTTGGGAGGAGATGTGTTTAGAAGCGTGGAGTTCGAAGGAGATGATCGGATAGTTACGTACACGTACGAGCCCAATTAGAGAAGAGAACTTGATTCAAATTCATAGGTACCCATGCTCATAGACCTAGACTAGACGAATTGTGGTCATTAGGTGCATAATGCAGACGCGTTGAATATCATGGACGGTGACATATCTACTGCATAATAACGGGTATGCTGTGAAACGTGCCACAGCATTAACAGCCATCCATTGCTACATATGTAGTGACTTATCCTCCAGTGAAGTCACACGTGGAATTGATCAGTCATCGGGTACGTTCCATCGATGGTCACCTACTATGCCGACATATTGGTTCTGGCCATTGACGCGATGCTCTGCCGTGCTCAGGGGCTGCCGAGTGCTTATTTTGCCGCGGAGCATACCTAGGTAAACCTCGGTATTTACCTTCCTACTACGGCTGCCATTTGAGACATTGGTATCATGGGACGAGGTAGTTGAAATGTAGCCTGTGGTGTCATCCTCACCACCATGTCGCCATTCCTTATCTCTGATGAAAGGAGGTAGGGTAGACACCTAATCTAACGCAGGTACGGTTGGGGTTCTAGAACTATGAAGATTATGTAGATATTAGCTAATGGTTCATACCTAATAGTGTAGGATTGAGGTCTGGCTCGAGCGAATTTTATGTTACTGAAGATGTTTACACAGTAGCTACCTATAGGTAGTCTTTATGTCTCAACCATTTCGTAGTCATGATTATATGAGTTATATTCTTTAATACACACACCCTAGAAGCCCTTAGGAGAATCAAAAGCTACCATTTATAATAAACATAGTAATTACTTGGTAGGAAATCTAGGGTGATAGGTAGTTCAGGGGAGGTAAAACTCCCCGATCTTACCGTTGATAATATATAAGCTCTATTAAAACACACTCTTTCACATACGACCATAGGATCTGGAGAACTCGGGATCCCGTCCGCTCTCCCCTGATAAACCGGATACCGCCGGATCAGTAGTTGGGTCGGTGACGACCAGCGAATCCCCGGTGTTGTATGTATTCTTTTTATTTTTTTCTCTTTTATTTTTTACTCTGGGTCTAGTGAATCCTCCGCGTGCCGCTAGCATTTAGCATACCAAACTTGGATGGTCATTGAAGATCTAGGAATAGGCCATAGCTTTTTAATGATCGTTTATAGAGCCCATAGTCCGTTAAATAATCCATTTCCATCTTTTCGAGAGTACCTTTGCTCTCAATGTTAATGGAGTCCACCGACACCGTGTTTTGAGCCGGCGCTATGCCACCAGTTAGTAGGATGGTGAGAGTAGATCCGTATCGAGATACACGATCTTCTAAATTTTTCGACCTGCAGTATTAGAGCACCCTGCGAGGTTAATGATAGACACCACAGCTCCTACTTCATTCATATGTCGTAAATCAGTATGATATGTCGAATCGTGTAACTGGTCGACATTCTAACATAGCTACATTGCTACTTACAACACTTCGCAGATTCTTAGGTGTCACCCCTAATATATCATAGTCACCTGGAGCAAATAAGACGCCTACGACTAAGGATGAACTCATTAGATGGCGTCCACCAATATGTTGAATTGAATCATTTTGGTCATCTTTCTGAGCCGAACTAGGTTATATGGACCTGTGAGTGTGGAGGGTTTCGACCCTAATAGCTGAATGAACGAAGCCTCAAGACATTACCCAAACACTCAATGATTACATACAAATAACCCAGAAGGCAGCCAACTAAGAGGAATTTTTCAGCTCCGAACTTCAAATTGCTAGATTATAAGACCAATGTGAGATTATAGTGCTGGAATGAGTGATTAAGGGGACTGCTGTTAAGTGCAGTAATTACGAAGCATCTTACCGAGAATCTGAATACAAGCCAGGATTCCTTCTTCACTCATGAAATAACTAGCTTAGTTAGTCAATTGGTTTACTCATACTACTCATATATCGTTCTTTTTAGTATGTAGTGTATTAATACAGTGAAAAAATGGGAATGCTTAAATGTATTCTTATTGAAACCATCCATGGCAGGTTAAGGATAACCAGCGCCCTTTTTTTCCTTTTAAAAGATTTTAAATAACATTAGACGCCACATCTAAACATCTAGGTTAGATACCTCGTAATATGTATAAGATTTATGTAGATGAAAAATATCCATCTTATTGATCAATCTATCTTACACACATAGATTGGCTATACAGCCTCCATCGCCAACCCGACCCACCGTGCCCAGTATTTTCCTCTGGCGTCTTCTAGATTTCTTTAGATGGTTCAGTTAACTTACAAGTATTAAACCAGGCGGCTTTTAAGAATTTCGACTTTTGAGTCTCACGCTTCCTCCCCCTTTCCTTCATTCGGAACTCTTCGGTTAGGTGCTCTAGCAGCTTAAGATTTTGGAAATTAACTAATGAAGTACCGCGGTATCCATAATATAATCGGATAATAAGGGGTTGGTGAGCAAACAATAGAAAAACTACGGTTATATCGGTTAGGACGGCATCGGTTGCTACCAGCTTCTAAGCGTCTATTATGAAATGAGATTGAAAAGGGGTCTTTACATGGCCTTGAATACGTACGTGTTATTGATACCGTGAGTTGACACGGGAAGTTGTTTGTCCTAGCTAGATTTCACGCTTGATCTATTAAGCCATTATGAATCATGTACGAAGTATATTGAAGTTTATGATAAGTGCCTGTTGGGTTAGGGGGGTTTTTCATATATTTTGCTTTTCGTTATTAAAAACCTACGGTTTCGTGCCTCTCCAACTTCGTTAATCTTGTAAGGGATTTGGTAATATGAGATTGTCTTCCACAGGGTAAGTGGCTAAATACCTATATGATACTTTGGTACCTAGATGAGATACCTAAAGTACCTACCTACCTAGGTATGTTAGGTACATTTAGATCTCATTCTTGGACCCTAGGCAAGTTTCCAGGTACGACCCGCGGGGTTGGATTTAGATATCTGGAACGGCCCGTTCACCGAGCAGCTAGATAAGTACACCGACTGAGGGGTAGCTCCGATAAGGCGTTGTCGATACGAGATAAACCGGCGGTATTAGAAATTGACTTCAAATATTCTTTCATTAATCCAACCCATACCGAGGATGGCGACTGAAGAAAGTAAACGTCGCGTTGAAGCGCTAATTCCCAAGTTCCAATTTGAGCGCGTAATTAATCAAGGTGCGTCATAACTATAATGGAATCCTATTATTAACAATGCTACCAAAATGATATCCTCCATATGTGCATTCTCTAGAGTCATAAATATTAAGGGTATGAAATATAAGAACTAATAGATCGTAAAAAAAGGGGAAGCAGGACGGCACATCACGTTATATGGACAAGTCGACTCGCAACCTGCGCTTCTTATACTAGAACGCGCTCCTATTCCCGACGCTGAAGAGTACATCTCCGTCTTGCCTGCTAATCTACGTAGCATCACAAACCTAGGCAACAATGATATATACTCGTGGTTCCTAGCCTCGGGTGGGCCTATCCTAAAGGAAGATGAGAACGACAAGTTTGCCGACTTTAAGATATCCCTGATATGCCCTTGCACAGACACGCATATCAAGAAACACAGCAAACAAGGATATCGCTTTGTGACAGAGACACCTGAGATCTACCGCGACAAGGTGCGGCCTCTTATGCAGATAAACCGAGAAGAGGGCCGTTTGAATTGGGTCTTTAACATCATCGAAGGGAGGAAGGAAGTCGAAGACGTCATTTATAGAACACCGCTGGGCCAGGATGGGGACGAAGGGTTCCTGATGCTGCCGAATCTGCACTGGGATCGAAAGACGATCGAAGCATTACACCTTTTGGGTATAGTTGAACGACGAGATATCTGGAGCCTGAGGGACCTTAAGAAAAAACACATCCCTTGGCTGAAACATATGAAATCCAAGCTGATAGACGCTACGGTGAAGACATACCCGCAGATCGATACGGATCAACTGAAACTGTTTGTTCATTACCACCCAACTTATTACCATTTCCATATCCATGTTGTGCACGTCATGCTGGAGGCAACTTCTACTCAGTCGGTCGGGAAAGCGATTGGGTTGGATAGTATCATCGAACAACTCGAGTCGATGTCGGGAGATGAAGATGTTGGAATGGACAGTATCTCGATAGGCTACACGTTGGGTGAGGCATCGGACCTATGGATTGAAGTGTATGAGCCACTTAAGAACTCCGGTAAAGCTTCTCAACCGCAATGACAAGGTCATTAACACCTGGTCCGCTAGCACAGTCGGTCCACTCCCCACCATCTCGAATGCAATATACTTCGTTGTTGAGTCGGACCGTGCAGCTCTTTGTGACACCCGCCTAAATTATCAGTCAGCTAATATTACTTCCAATAATACTACGTAGAACGTACGTCAGCAGTCCTCTGGATGCTTTCTCTTAGCATAGCCATCCCAATAGCTCCGTCATCCTTTGCAGCGCAATCATTTAATTTCTCAAAGTCAATAGCGTGTTCCAGCGCGCAATCTTCAACTAATTCTCGCTGCGGGATCACCTTAAAATCCTTCGACAAGCACATGGTGAACCCGAGATAGATCTTGGGGTCCGGGTACAGATGATGCGCGCAGAGTTCGATGATGTTGCCCATGCATTCGTTGGGGCCATGTTTACATTCGACGCCGTCATTTTCCGTCGGCGTTCCAATGTACGACAATGTAAAGTTGACTTTCTCATTTACACGCATCATAGCAGGTAGTACTAAGTCTCTGAGACAATCCCTAGCATCGGGGCATTTGCTCATTATATGCGCTTCTAGAGGGACGAGCTCTGAATCCGTCGAGACAGAAATGCTGGAGGTTGGCGTCAATGATTGCTGTCGAGAAGGTTCCTGGACGAACATAATAGCGTATGCGGATACGGCATGGTTGGAAAACACCATATAAAGTGCGTAGAGGGATGCGACGATGAGGGTCATTGCAAGGATCGGTCGGCGTTGACGTCGACAGTTATTTCGCGTCGCCGGCTTCTCCTCCATTATCGGAAGACTGGTTTTGGCAGCCATATTCTCTGGTAGTTTAGTTTGGTCTATTAAATATTATTTTTTTGAAGACTGGTAAACAACGTGATTACTGAAATGCTCAACGACGCATCTCGTATAAAAATATTTAGAAAAGCACTGGAGCAATAAAAATGAAGACTGAAATTGCTATTACTAGATGGCAAATGGCGAAATCAAGTCACGATGGTATAGGAATGCAAGTTTATCATGACCAATGTTAGGCACGGGACTAAATTCAAGAGGTGACCTAAGGGGCTTTCCCGAAGAGCCTCCTGCCGCGGGTCTCATGTAACAAAGTGGCCCAGCACATACATACGGGCTGTACTTTGGGTGGGGGCGCAAAAACGTAAAGTTTACTAAGCTAACTGGAGCTACTGCTTGAAATTGGACCGAGTCGGCGAGTCAGGCGCCGGTTTGTTCTGCTATCTGTTTAGTTACTGCCCTAAGCCTAAGAGATCTGGGAAACGTGGGGCGCAGGTTGCATCCATCGATGTGGCTGATGAAACCTACCTGCCTTAACCTTACCTATTAATCTAGCCTCCGGTGGCAGTGACTTTACTTCATTACAAGTACCTACATACTTACGTACATGTAGGTACCTACATACACATGCCCTGGTTAGGTCCCCTAGTTCAAGTTAAACCCTGGTAGTCCTTTTTCTAGTAGATCTGGTATTACGAGTTCTGACTGGACCATAAGACCTTGGAACTCTGACCCTTTTAACCCACACATCACCATTCGGAATCGAGTCAGGGTTGAATAAGGCCGTTCAACGTTACCATTGACTTACCTATTCCATCCAATCTGTCCGATATGTCTTAGGAGCGATTGCCTGATTGTTTCGATATTATTACATTCACCTAAATTTATCATGCTACACGCATGTTCGTACATATTTTACGCATATTTTCGCCGTCCCTTACCTGCACCTTACCTACACATTACCTGCATAAGTCGATACAAGTCGATACATTCAGACCTTTCTACCCACTATAGTCCACTAACCTACAGCGGTACCCAATGAACATCCCTGCAACTGTAACGTTTCTAGAAATCTACAGTCGCTGATTCGGCAGTTCGTTCTGACTCTGACCCTCTTAGAATCAAGTCACTTGAAACTACCTACGAACATAACGAACATATATACAGACACTCGTACCATATAGGGTAGTCTCGATTCGAAGCCGATTTTCGCAAACTTTCCTTCAAACAAATCTTGGAACATATATAACTTCATGTTCCTAATTCTATCCTCTATTAGAGCATAGTTACGTACTTTCTTTTAGTATCTATGCTTCGTCTAAATTCGTCTAAATCCATCCGCTTAACTCTCACGACTTATCGACTTATCGACTTATCGACTTATCGTAGACATGACCTCGACGTCATCACGAAGTCGTCCTACTACTTAACTAACACGAAAAATCGCATTTTATACTCGACGACTCAGAAATTAGATAATGGGTATGCCAATCGCAACTATGAAGTCCAGTGTTCAAGACTTCCTCGGGCCCCTTTCCGTTGATGAGGCAAAGGCGCATGCGTTATCACTTGAGTTCTACCGAACATTTCAGGATCTATCTGCCAATTCGTTGAACCAATTCCTCCCGACCCCGATATCTGAATCAGTATTACGGCCTACCGCAGGTAGAGAAAAGGGACGGTATGTTACCATAGAATTTACCCACCAATGCTATAATTGAGCGTTCGGAAGACATTGCCTTTGAAGTTCCACCTGCTTTTGACCAGTAGGCTAATTTGTAGTACAGATATTTAGCTATTGACATGTACGAACCCAGTTAATATAACCTATAATGCATCCGGTAGCTTGAACTAACAGCCAGCAGTGGCGGTACTAACTTAAGGGTTGGCTTTATTGAGCTACTCGGAAACGAAAAAGTCGTCAATGGCAGTAGTACCAATGGTGACTCAGAGGCTTTAAACAGAGAACCAACGTCCAACATCCGTCGATTACTTGAGAAATCATGGCCAATTTCAGATGTACTTAAAAATGAGAATGCCGATTCTCTGTTCAGGTGGATCGGAGCTTGCATTGCAGAAGTTGTACGGGAAGGCTGTCGGGAATTTGACCTACCTCGCGACCAAGAACTTCCTATGGGAGTCACATTCAGTTTTCCAATGGTGCAGGAGACCTTAGCCGACGCAACACTAATGGCAATGGGGAAAGGATTCGCTATCACCTCTAGGCTACATCTTGGGACTCATTTAGTCAATGGATACGAGAGGTCTAAGACCCCAGACTTACCTCCTATCAAAGTTGCAGCTATCCTAAACGACTCAGTTGCGACACTAGTCTCTTTCATATACCAATCTAAAGAAGACGAAACACATAAAGCGGCAATGGGACTCATCTGCGGCACTGGTAGCAACGCGACGATACCCCTTAAGAGGAGTACTCTTCACAAGGACAAGCAACCCGGAAAAGTGAAAGTCCTGGATGAAAATTCAAGCGATGACATGAAAATCGCTGTTAATACCGAATGGAGTATTAACGGAACAGCACCAGCCCTACGAAAGTTTGACCTTATCAGCCAATGGGATACTCAGCTTGATTCTGAAGGCGAGGCGCCTGGGTTTCAACCCCTTGAATATATGACAGCAGGTCGATACTTGGGCGAGCTTGGGAGACTAATGCTACTGGATTACCTCGAGAACCACCTAAATATCCCTTCGGATGTTTTACCCCCGCGGCTTTTAACGCGTTTTGGCCTTACAACTACCTTTCTTAGTCATTTCCGCCCTCCGGTTGCAGAAATATTACTAGAGAAGCTGGAGGCCGAATTTCCGGAATCGACTGCTAAGGTACCTTTCCGGTGGACGGAAGAAATCGCGGATGTTTTACATAGGATAGCTAAGGCTATTGAAGTCAGGGCCGCAGCTATTGTTGCAGCAGCCATAATTGGATTGCTTGCTTGTGCGGGAGATATTCCTATTCGAAAGTCACTTCAAGATAAGACTAACAGCCATACCGTTAATACGAAGCAACAACCTAAGGTGGAGTTGATTGTTGGATACACGGGTGGGTGCATCGTCCATTTCCAAGATTACTTAGCAGACTGCCAAAAGTTTCTCGACTCGATAATTCAAGCCGAGTTTGGAGATGATGCTCCTGTAAGGGTCGTCATGAGCCCTTGTCACGACGGTGGAATCACTGGGGCAGGTGTATTATGCGGTGCTTCTCAAGCGAAATCTAAGGACGTTGACGCCTAAGATTTTAACATGATAATATAGACTAGGGATGTTCCGGAGTTTGGAGAGGCATACGTTCACACTACCATGGAAAGGAATATCATCATGACCGCTGTATATTATGGCAGCACAGGTACGCTCTTATGATAGAAAATCCGACACGCTAGAAACGGATATTACTCATATTTACACATTGATAAGCTCCATTTCTGAGCACGCAATACGGCTTAGTGCCGTGAATATCACCGAAGTGGGCATGCTCAGCGAAAAGACAATTTAACTTGTAATATGTGCAACAACCTCATTTTATCGTGCAAGAAAAAAAAACTAAGGGTAAGGTAGGCTGACTACTAGAGTCTACCTAAACAATGGCGTATAGCGGTATATGAACTCTTTAGAGGATATTAAGCCGTTAAATATGATGGTACGTTATGAAGCAACGTTAGCGCTGATAATATTTACACATCGTGAGACTAGTTGACTGACTTATATAGTTAGACTACCTACATAGGTAGTATATAGGTAGAAGTTAAACTACAAACTACATACATACAAGCTACACCTTGGGGTCTGACCGAACAATGGTCACGCGGATGGATAGTTCTGGTCAAACGCTGAAGACCGAGGATCGGGCACTCAACGGTTCCCCGCATATTTCGGAAACGATCTGCTGCCTCTCTCATGGAACCCACCGTTCACCAAATCCGCCCACCAGTCCACCAGTCCACCTTTCCACCTTGTGCGCATAGTAGCAACCCGCATGTACCACGGTTGACTTCTATAAGGAGCACCTATCCTATGATTCCTATCATACAGTGTTTATAACATACATATCTTCAACATCCATCTATGTAGTTCCACCTGCAATGAGCTTTTTTAATTTTTTTTCTTGTTCTTCTTTTCCTTTCTCTCACCGACTCGTCTATTCTTTCTGTCTTAGAGTTGTCGACTTTTACGTATAAATCGTACTTCCTTCTCTCTAGAGGTGAAAATATATAGGATATTAATTGCTTTGACAATATTCTCTTTTCAGCGTCGAGGACAAAAACTAGGCACTTGATATACTAGGTGAGGTCATTTATACCTATCTAAGCAGGACCTCGTTCTAACGGCGTCAGGAATTGTCAAATCCTAGGTACCTTAGGTAGTTAATCTCTCTGGTGGGTCGATGGGATCAAAACTTGCTACTATACTCAATTTCGAAAAATAGTCCCTAGCGACTGGAATAATCTCGAGCTTAATCGCCGTCACGATGGGCGACGACGACGAAGCTCGACCGCGCGGAAATGGCTCCGAACCTATCACGGAGCGAACAGCTCTTTTGGGGGATAGACATTCCCAAGAACCAAGACCCATCGCGATTCCTCGCGGGGGCAATGACAAAAGCATCATGGCCGACGACGGCAGCGGGAGCGAAAATGACCTAGACCCCAATGAGTCGGACTTGCTGGTGGCGCGCAGCTTTACGTCGGGGGCGTCGGGTCTGGCGCCCGAATCCTTCGAGTCAGCCATGCTTCGGGGGCGTCGCCGATCTAGGAGCACCGTGCGCCGCCGCGCTTCCATCGCCCGCAGCTATACGTCGCTGTCGCCGCGGCCTACGCTAGATGGGCGACAGCAGCCTGACGATTTGCTGTCGAATGTTGTTAGCGACGACGAGGCCGACCTCGAGGCTGCTGATGTCCAGCGCTCTAAGTCGAGGCCGGCGTACTTGATTGACACGGATAAGAAGCGGTTCGGGATCGTGTTCTTGAGTATTATGCTGACGCATTTCATCGCGTGTTTTGATGGGACTATTGGTATGTATAAAATGCATTTATCATTTTTACAATGTTCGACTTGAAGTGGCTAATACTCAGTAGTAAGTGGGAGAAACCCTTTTCGTTTCGACTCTCAAGAGAGAACGTCGAAATATATACATATATTAGGTATATATACAACCGTAGGGGTACAAAGCTAATACAATATATTTCAATATACTAGATGGCATCCTCACACCCGGTTATCACAAGTTATTTCCGCAGTTCTAATAGTGCTAGCTGGCTGTCGACTGCATTCCTCCTGACAAGCACGGCTTTCCAGCCCGTCATTGGTCGCCTCTCTGATACTATCGGTAGAAAACCGCCTTACTTAGCCGCTGTGGTCATCTTCGCACTCTCGACGCTGTGGTGTGCTCTTGCACAGAGCATGACTAGCTTTATCCTTGCGCGGGCTGCTTGCGGGCTCGGCGCTGGAGGTGTACTGGGGATGGGAAGTATTATTATAAGTGATCTGGTGCCTATCGAGTACGTCTCCCTTAATATCTCTGTAACTGTCAATTAGAGATGAAAATAGTCATCGTGAGTAAATTAATACTGACCAGAACGAAAGACGTCGAGGTTCATATCAGAGCTACATCAACGTTGTTTATGGGTTAGCTTCAGCATTGGGGGCAGCCTTGGGCGGACTCATGGCAGACAGCCTCGGCTGGCGCTGGGAGTTCGGTATCCAGGTCTTGCCCATCATTCTCTGCTTCGTGGTGGCTTATTACGGCATTCCCGGCGATCTTGGCTTACAGGATAAACATCAGAGTTTTAAAGAGGGCATGAAGACGTTTGATTTTAAAGGATCTATCCTGCTAACTATCTCTACTACATTTTTGATCTTGGGAATAGTACGTAATGACCTCTACAACCATTCGTGTAATTATACCTGCTAACTGCGATTACGTAGAACCTCGGAGGCAATGTACTGCCATGTAAGTAGCAAACCGCTTTTCCTAAGGAGAAAGGGGGGCTATTATAGCAATATAGACTAACACGCAAATAAGGGTCGCATCCATTCATAATCGCTTCGCTCGTGGTCTTCATCGTCTGCTTTCCAGCATGCCTATACGTCGAGTCAAAGCATGAAAGGCCTATTATGCCTTTAATCCTCTTGCACCAATCCCCAAGAGCTAACATCATCTTCTCGAACTTCATCGCTTCTTTCCTACTAAACGCCATCTTATTTAACACGTGAGTCCTCTTCGTCCCCCCTCCCCCCTTCCTCCATACCCGTTTTGCAATTTAACCAAATACACGCCTCAAAACCTTCAATATACCTCAAGTACATGATACGAAATTATGATATCAAGAGTACAGCCCACGAAGACCTAAACAACACAGAAGGGGAAAATGGAGAAGAAAAAAAAATTAGTGTAAAAGATCTAATAAGAACCCAAATCGCAGCCCCCTCTTCTTCCAAGCCGTCCTCCTCACCAGCGCCACCACATCCGGGCTCTACCTCGTCGTCCCCGTCGCCACGGCCAGCACCACCGGTACGATCACCGGCTTCCTAATCTCGTATACCCGACGCCTCAAGTGGCCCCTAACGATCGGCACGTCTCTTTACCTAGTCGGCACTGCGCTCCTAGCCTCCATGCACCGCGGTTGGCCCAACTACGCATACCTCCTATGCTTAGTGCCCTCGTCCGCCGCCCAAGGGTTCCAGTTCCCAGGCACATTTCTCGCCGTGCTAGCCGCCTCCGAGCACCGCGAGCAAGCAGTGGTAACGTCCACGCTTGTTCTCTGGCGCGCCCTCGGCAGCGTCCTCGGCGTCGCCTTTTCGTCCCTCGTGCTCCAGAACGCGCTGGTACGGTACTTGGGGGCGTTTGTGGTGCCGCCTGAGGGCTTGGGTCAGGATTGGAAGGACGCGTTGATAGAGAAAGTCCGCGAGAGCGTCGAGGCTGTTGCCGCGCTGCCGCCGGGCCCGGTACGAGACCAGGTCGTTGCTAGTTATGAGGCGTCGATCCGACTTACCTTCCTGTTCCTCGTGGGGTTCGCTGCTATCAGTGTTTTGTTGGTTCTGCCCGTAAAGCTGCCGAGGCTTGCGGCAAGGAAGTAGGATATTAATTGGGCACCTGACCTATCTGTAAGTGAATGTTATTGTTAGGATGGTTAAGTGGAACAATATATTAGTCAAGGAAAGGGAAGGGAAAAAGGAAAAAAGGGAGGGATATAGTAATTCAGGGCCCTATGTCTAAGCGCTTAATTCATTTGCATGGTGTTCTGCGTTCTCAATTGTTCTCAAGCTCCGTCCATAGACTTAAACGGGTTTTAATATAGGTTACAATAGTCAGTTTAGGTATCCTTTGCCAAATAAAAGCTGTACCATCAAAATCTGACCCTTCTCTCATGACGCTTCTACTATCCTGCAGTCGGTAGTAGTACGTACCTAACTATGCGTAAAATAATGTACAATCTATGCAATCGAACCCAGCCAGTTCCTATGGTGAAATTAATGGTAGCCGTTGACGCCGTCCACTAAGGCGTCGAGCTCCTCCTTGGTCTGGCGATACGCTTCCTGCGCCTCACGTTCTCTGCGGCTGACATAGCCGACTTCCTCCCTCAAGGCCTCTAGTCGACTCCTAGCAGCGATCTCCTCCGACACAGCCAGCGTTCTGAATGCGCTGAGAGCGAAGTTTGCCTTTTCAAAGGCTTCGTATGCCTCACCCATCTTCGAGCGGAGCGTCTTAGCTCGCTGCTGATACCCGCCTAGATGGAGTGTAAGCTTCTTCTCAAGTTTTGCGCACTTCTCCACAGTTTCCATCGTAGAATCTTGTACCGCCTGTAGAGAAAATATTAGTATAAGTTACCATATATGTATAAAAATTTAGGACCACGTTGGTCTACTCACGTCGAAAGCGGCTTTCATCGCTACCGCCTGCTCTTCCTCGTCATCATCTTCGTAGCAACCTAATCCAAGGAGAAGTGCATTGCTGCCCTCTCGCTCCCAACTTGCCTGGATCTCCTCGGGTTTAGGCTTATTATTGACCTCCATAAGGATCTTTAGTCGTGCCTCAGCCAGCGAGGCGTCATCGATCTGCTGTATTTGGGTAGGACCAACACTGGATTTAACACCTCGTACCGGGAACTTCACCGCATCATTCGCGATAAGTAAAGCAGCCTCTTTAGCAATTTGAGCTTCGATGGGGTCGGAAATCGAGGATGTCTGTTGGATAAGGGCTTCGAAGTTAACAGATTCCGGTCGTGGTAATTGTTTTTGTATCACTTGGGTCCGTCTCTTCCTCTCTAGTTGCTCTCGAGCTTCCCTAATAGCACGTTCCCGTTGATCCCGTACTTCAGCATCCTCTTCGGTTTCGTCCATCATCATAACTTCTCGTTGATCCTCTGGTATCTCGAGCTCCCATTCTGTTTCTTTCGGTTTGGGCAGGGAAGCGAGACCATGCTTGAGCTGATGCTTCATTGATAAGTCTCGGAGTCGCATATCATTGGTCGATCCCCCTACCAGGGACATATCCCCATCGCCAGCGTTCAGCGCGAAGCTATCCCTGGGAGTCCGTAGTGGTGTTTGACCGGGCCTCCGAGGTGTAGCACCGACTTCATTAATGCCGGCACGTAGAGGCGTAGCTAAGGGGTTAGGTGTCGACATTACTTGCTTTCGAGGGGTGGCACCTTCGAACCCCGTCGAACCAGCCCCCTCTTGAAGATCGACATTCTCTCCTCCTAATAATGCCGACTGGTTTTCTGTAAGAGCTCGAATATTCCTTATTTCATTGGCAACCCGATCTTCCTGTGGCGGAGCCATAGGTGTTCGAATAGGCGTTTGCGAGTTCAGGGTAGAGTAAGTGTTCACTAATCCCCTAGTCGCGTCGTTCTCGCTAGCCTGAGCAAGCAGGTTTGCTCGCTCGCCCATCATACCCATCTTGACTATATCCTCAAGCTCACCATCGCTGACTTGGGGAGTTGGAAGAACAAGAGCTCGCCTCTTGCTACTTTGCTCTGCTTCCCGAATCTTTTGCATTTGTCCGGCCTTCAAGGCAGCTTGCATAGAGGCTGAAGGAGCATCCTTATCGTTTTTCCGTCTCTTCCTTTCGGCCTCGTCATCCTGTTCACCTTTACGCTTGTTCGCAAGCTGCTGCTTCCGAGGATCGAAAGCAGCTCGTTGCTTCTCGTTTCGTGTTTGCTCGTCCACAGTATCATAAAATCCTTGAGCGGGTGCTTTCTCGAATGGGATGTCGGCATTGTAGTCCATCTGCCCCTTCTTACGAGTTACCACCTTGATGTTGATACCAGCGGTCTTGAGTTCTCGGCGTTTTTGTAAAGCAGCAAGCCGACGCGATTCTTCTTGTTGACGCTCTCGGGCTTTTCGCTTTGCCTTCTTTCCTTGTGTGTTAGCCAAGCGAGCACGCGCCTCGCTTAACATCTCTTTCTCATCCTCGTCGAGATCGATGGTGTCGGGTTTCGCGGGTTTGCTCTCGGGATCTGGATCGACCTCACCTGGTCGTAGTCTTCGTACATCATCGGCTGTGGGTGCTTGAGTCTCGCCGCCTTCGGGACCGGTTAAGCCAAGGCTTGAAGATTCTCGTTGCTCGGCTTCATCGAGGAGTTTCTGGTAACGTTCTAAACACTGGTTTGCAGTGCGGCCAACAATAGGAGCGATTGTTCGCCATTGAGTTGGCATCAACTTGGCCAAATGAAGCAATCTCTCGTCCTCTTCCTTGCTCCATTCTATCTTTTTGATGCTAGGATCGAGCCATTCGTTCCATCTTGCTTTGCATTGTTTGGGTGTTTTTCGCGGTAGCAATGACGAGACACGCGCCCATTGATTTAGACCATATTTAGAAACAGAAACTTTGAGGATTTCATCCTCAATATTAGTCCACACTCCTCCCTTAACAACCGGCATCCTGATTATATTCGCGTTCGGTATCGCGACTTTAGATAGGAGGTTGTTAAAGGTTGCGACTGTAGACGTTAGGTAGTAGATGATTTGAAGTAGCCAGCCTTGTTGGAAATTCCTTGTTGCGAAGGCGACGGATGATAAAAAGCCTTGGCGCGAAGCTAAAAGCTACGATAAAAGCTGCAGGTAGGTACCTAGGTACCTAAAAAAGCACCGGCAAAATATCGGGAAACTCAGTACGTGTCCCCACCTTTTAAAACGCACTTCCGCATACTAGCATATATGGTATTCATAAATATTTACATTCTTATTATCGCATTCTGTAACTTCAACCCCTTTTAATCTTGGGAATAGGCGACTTCGTTCAACTCTTTACTTCTCCTCTTTCCTCCAGATCTTAGATCTACTTTCCTATCTGACGTGCAATTCCCTAAATTCTATTCCTCAGAGTTTTCTTTCAGCAGTCTTTCCAAATATTCATGTGAAATACTTAAACTGCCTGAAGTAATCTGTTTTCTAGAAATGTCGGTCCCTAGTATTTTAAGCAATTCCCTAGTGATAAACTACGGAAGCTATGCAAGGAGAAGTGATACCCTATGCTCAAGCGAATTATTACGTATGTGTGGTTAATCTTGAACCCAGGTCAGGACCAAACATAGATGATAAGATGGCAATATAGAAGTTCATGAAGCCATATAACTGAGACATCTAGAACAGAAGAATTTCAGTGTGTATAATTATTTCCATACCTTCTTCAGTCCTCTTAGTGATAAAAGTTGAGTATAATGGACAATGTTTATCGGGACAATATGATTAATCTGCGTTACTGTTAGTTGAATTCGTGTAGCAGACAGCTTCTACTTATGAAAATGGCAGTATTATTCTTACATATTTATTCTCTAAAAATCAATACTATAGGTTAGAAAAATGAGTTCATCGCTGTAGTCTCATTATAAGGTAGGCAGGTACTCATATATATCAGTACAAAATACATGTGCCATCTATATCGCTTGTTTCAATCCGTGGATGGATCCGTCCACTTAGGATTACGGAAGTGAGGAACTTGTGCTTAACTTTGTTTTGTCAAGGCCTCGGGACTTTACAAGCTATCACGAAATGCCTCTATATATAGACTCATAATGTACGACACAGCGAAAAGGGAAGGTGAAAATGGCTCTGTATTTCATGCAGCCCTCGTCATCCATCGGGGTATTTACATCTGTGATCAACGCTGGACCAGTGAGTTTCTAAGCATGGCGCAGCAACTAGTATCCTGATTGCACAGGTACCTACATACTATATACGACCAACAGCACGACTGATGGTCAGTCTGCTTTGCATACTTACTTCGTTGATATTCGTTTACCTCTACTTATGAGCTAGTCCCCTATCCACCTTTTATTTCCTCTTTTTGTTCCCTATTTTCCCCATTTACTTTGTGCCGAACCCTCGTCTAGTTTACTTTATCATTATCAACGAAACATTTAAGATATTTTAGTCGCTCAAATCCTTATGGAGTAGCCTATATTCTATGCGATGTTCCCATGTACAAGGGTTATCGTGACCTATTATGGGGTCCCGCTAAGATGCCAATAGAGGATCTGCCTATTGGAAACCAAGGGTGGTTGGGGAAAAGCTTGCAGAGACCGAGAACTGGCGGTATTAGCAACCCTTGTACACTCTGTGCAGCATTACCTTAACCCACACAAAAGCAGGCATATGGATTCTCCCTTTGACCACACCGAAATATGCTAAAGTCGTCTCCAGCTAAGAAAAGCCAAGTCAAATTCTCCCTTGCTCCCTAATATCATATGCCAGCCCGGTTCGCTCTGGTCTCTTACGTTCACCGAGGAGCTTCATACTATGCTATTATCTTGATCTCACTTGTTGTAGTGATCTTATTTTTTTATAGACAGGAAAGGAAGAATATCTAGGATGAGTAAAGACGAGGGGTCTTGTATGAATAGCTGTCAAGGCCTTTTTAGGTCTAGCAAGGATAAAAGCCTAACGGGCAATTGCGGGAGTTGTTAACTGGTACGGCCCACTTCGGAGATGATATGAAGAAACATAGGAAAGCGATGGGGATGATGACCGTATCATTTACCCAATGGGCGAGCTAAACATGTGGATTTGTTTCTACATAACTACCTCACTAAGATACATTTGAGACGGAACAATCCAGATCAAATGCTTCATACGCTCTCATCCAGAAGGACTAGTAGAAGGAACTGTGGAGTGACCTACCTAGAAGTATGAGTATCTTCAATCCGCAATATATTGCCACGAATTCTTGCAGAGGACAACGCAAACAAGGTGGGGGTCCTGTTCAAGTATGCTAATCTGAATATGTAGTAACCTAGACTTTGTCTAGGGTAAGGCTATATAATCTATCAATAGCAGGATACTAGTATGCTTCTTAACAACATCATGACTAATATGTTGGTTGGCTATTATACTTATTATTGCCGGGGCAGGAAAAAAGGCAAGTTCCGTAGACGCCCCTACAAAGATATGCCGCACCGTTACATCCAACTCACGCGTATTCTCATCGTTATAATTTGATTATCTCTTTGCGGGTACTAACTGAAATGTCTTTGTTTCGCTCCGGGGTTTTTTGTGTTAGGTCCCAAAGACCTTATCACGTAAGAGAAGGGGAACGAACTATTAAGCGATATAAAGGAAGGGCGGTGGACCTAGCTTACCAGTCTGTGAAAGGATTATCCCATGTCGTCCCATCAAGACCCTGGCAAAGGGCTTTAACGGTACCTCCACACTCTCCCGAGCCAGGGCCTACTTTTATTCAGTGGAATAAACAATATCCTTCTTTGGTACATATAAAGTAGTGGATCAGATAAAGTGACTCTGTTTCCGATTTGTCAGACCCTTGCGTCGCTACCCTTGGTTAAATCCCCATATACGGGATACCTAGTGTATGTACTGGGGGGATATGTTCTCTCCGGAGAGCAGGGGCTTTATCGTAGAGCTCAAACATTCAACCTGTAATGTTTGGTATAACCATGTTCGGTAGGTGCGTCATCTGGAACATTGCTAATCATACCTGGATAGGTAAATGTCAAAGCGTATGCTTGAATTTTGTATGTACCGATGTAGGTACCTAAGGCATGCGGTCGGGGTTTTTTTTTCTATGGTTCGCCTCCCCTGTGCCATTTCCTTGGGAACCGAGCGTGGGGCAATTCCTTTTTCTACAGTCTATGTATCTAATATGATCCAAGGGGTAGATATCACGCCAGATTTACGATGTTAACAAATTAGTTCACTTAAGTATTAGGTGCCATGTGATCAGACATGGGTGTATCTAACCGTTAGTAGAGAAATATCAGTTTACTAAAGCGACCAAATCTCAAGAATGCGATTCAGAAGCGTGGGAGGAGACAGATCGTTACGGAGTAAAAGAATTCCAGTAGCTATAGATATAGGAGAGAGCCCTATAAATACATGTATTGTTATCCATTGGACAAGTTCAAGACCATACCCTCGGAGCCACATCTTCATCATGCCCACTTCAAGCAGCACAGATGTTTACTGGCTTACGCGCCACTCTCAGCCTCAACGTTAAATTAAGCATACCCTAATCCATGTCCGTGGGTGATCCCATCTAACTCCACAACGGGACTAGGGGGGTCCTCCCGCGCCATCGGTAGCAATATTAGAGCCGTGTTATCCAACCGCTATTCTAGGATTGTAATAGCTAAATTCAAGATGGCGTCAAAATAATCTTTATTAATGTTTCTATCTCTATAACACATCACATATACTATATCCAATAGTTATCAAAATATATCAACCTCTATATATCACGTCAAGAGTAAAGTGGAATCGCCTTAGATAAAGCCCCTTCGGTCTTGCATACCACTTATTACTAGGAATTATATTTTGGATTTTAGGCTAGCGAACTAGTACTCATAAGCTAACAGCTAGGTACATATTCTAAACATTATACCTAAATTACATCCTCTAAGTGTGAAAACTATACGAGCAAGAAGGATCAATGTTAAAATGTACCTATTCTAGAACGTAGGTATACAAGTGGGTTTCAACCAATAGGCTACTTACCTGACTGGAAACTGGTCGGCTAGCTATGTTTCATAGCCTTAAATTACCATTACGAAGTGTAGAAAGCCCCTCTAGCAAGATTTCATGTTCCTTGCCTCGGATAAAAAGGTAGAGGAATAGGTCCAACCTACTACCCTAGTGCTGTTCAAGATCATCAAAAGAAAGTCCTGAGGGTGTTTTATCATGTACTTTAGGTATCTAAGACGTATAGGTTCTTGGTGCCTCGACTATTGGTTTGAGCAATTCATTGTTGTAGGAATATTACTCAAGCTTGAATATCGGCCAAGCATTGAGGATATCATCCACCTTGTAAAGACAACAACCTAATGTGTTTAACAAGAATCTATAGACTCTCTGCTATCATGGAATAGTATAACACGTATACCCCTGTAACCGTATGCAAATAGCCACTTCGTAAACAATATCAAAACGGGACACGCCGATATGTTATCTCCATAGTGAACCACCTACGCATACCTAGACATCAAAATAAGCATCAAAGGATCTTTATCTATCTTTAGTTATACTTTCGATTTTACATGTATGCTATGCTATATCCCCAGTAATCACCAAGACGTCATGATGTTACCAAGGACCACGGACAACCTAGCAAAGGAGCTAACACCACTTTCAGGGGGTAGCCTACACACGACGTGTTATTTTAGTGGAAATGGATCTACTGCACACTGTTACCGTCTAATGGGAAGTATGGATCAGTCCCTGTAGTGGTACTACCGTCCCCATCCTGAAGTGACCTTCATACGTCTTAGTGACAAGCCAGGATACAGCAGCGACCTCATCCCGATAGCGTCTATTCTCCAGAAATGGTATACACAGACACCGCTAGTCTGCTTTCGAGATGTTGAAGAGCTTTGCCTTGCCTTATGTAGCATTCTGTAGCGGGATTATCCTCCCGAGTACCTTGCCTACCTACCTACATATATGCATTCAAATCACATATAATATTAGCCTACAGAGATATCCACCTCCGTCGCTCCTATCACTTGTTAAATGTTGCAGATCCAAAGCCAGTGACTAGAATTCATGAATCTACCTAGTCAACCTAGTTATAATACCCGTCTAGACCATTAGAGGGACGAAACTCGATTATATTATGCCACTACGAATATAAGGTATATATAGCTACTACTTCTACTCATCTTATCTCTCAACTAGCCCGATATCTACTACTCATTCCCAACGAAGTACAACATGCGACCTATAACCTGTTCATTCGATCCCGTTGGGATACCATTTACTTCGGAAACCAAATACGAAAGCTTCGAGTTCTTAAAGGATGGAATTTCTAATACTGTTCCTGGTCTCGAAAATTGCGATGTTTTTGATCCACGCTCTATAGGAGTTCCATGGCCGACATTAATACCTGCAACAGCGCAGTGCAAGCATTGGAGAGAAGCAGAGGAAGTAGCAGAAGCCTTGATGGATCAGATTGTCTCTGCGGCACCAGGGGAACAGGGTTCTTTGCCGGCAGAGTTTACTAACTCGAGCTTGAAAGGGGCTAAGCAACGTGAACTCCTCGATACTTGTGTTGCGGCCGCAATAAACATGTTCCCTGCAGCGAATGTAGCTCGGGCGAGACTAATGGTTAAAGCAACCTTACTTACTTTCATGCACGATGGTGAGATATTCCTATTTCTTTCTTGAGAGTAAACATTTCTTTGGGTATCCCTTCTTACAATACATTCCCTGGGAAAGAACATGATCCATTAAAAACCACACAATGCTCTCTCATTCGTTAAACACATAGTCTCCAGTGATAGAGACTTAATGGTATATTGTTACATATCAGTGTTTTAAATCAATGTCAGTAGTACTAATAGGATTTTATAGATGTCATTGAATCTACGGAGGTATATGATACTGCCATGCAACGTTAGTTTTAGACATTACCTACTAACACTTCGACAATAGCAATCTACAATCATCGATGACGCCCTCACCGACATTGTTGGCCACGAAGAAAAGGGTACAGAAATATTGTGGAAAAACCGCATATTTAAAGAATTTACACTAGAATGCATACAAGAGGACCCTGTTGTCGGGCCACTACTCGTGAAGGGCATGTTGAACTGGGTACAATATACACGCAATAACCTTCCCGGATCCATGACATTTAAGTCTTTAAATGACTACATCGACTATCGCATTGGCGACTTAGGTGTCGAGTAAGTCTCCTCATAATAATAAATATATGACAGTGCTGAACTATCCATAGCTTTTGCAATGCAGCTATAATGTTGACATGCGAGATTTTCGTCTCTCCGTCCGAGATGGAGCCCCTTGCAGCCTTACACCACCTATACATGACACACTTCTCATTAGCAAACGATTTATACTCGTACGATAAAGAGGTCTACGCTATGAAAAAACATGGCGCTGCACTGATCAACGGTGTCAGAGTTCTAGAACTTCTTCTCAATACTTCACCTCGAGCAGCGAAGGTCCTTCTCCGAGCGTATCTATGGGATCTTGAGTTCCAAATCAACGAAGAGCTCGCACGACTATCGGACTGCGGCCTTTCTCATAACCAGTGGAGATTTGCTCGTGGAATGGTAGAAGTGATTGCAGGAAACCTATTTTACTCCTCGACTTGTTTGCGGTACGCAAAACCGTCGTTGAAAGGGATATAAGATATACTAGAGTCGAGATTAGAAAAGTAGTAACAGATAACTAGACCAAATATAGAGTATAGAAGAAAATATTTGATATAAAGCCAAAAGTTGCCAGCCCCCTTTCCCGTTTGCTAGGATATAGGGAATTTTCAACCCTATCTCCACTACGCCATAGCTACTTACCTATACAATACTTGAACTTGGCTTTATCATTCGTTTAGGTAGTCAATAAATTGTTTATTTCGACTTCCATCAATATTATATAATACAATGACTGCGGCTCTAGATTACTTATAGGCCCCGCCACCTCCTAACCCCAACCCGGAACGGAGCATCGTAGAATTTCCTTTTTAGGTAAATTCAACATTGCCTAATAAGCCCCGAACGACTTATCACTCCGCGCCGCTTCCATTATCAGCTGTTATCGTCCGTGTTCCTGTCTCGCGATTTTATACTTAGAGCGCATTCTGAACTAATCATTAGCCTCTTCAAAATCTCGCGCGAGTTTCTATCATGGCATCCACCAAGGAAAACGATAACGAGGAAGAGCAAGCATTCCTTCAACCTGGGGCGCCCCAGGAAGATGTTGCTTGGTCTCGGGAAGGACGGGGTCCTCGCAAGGCAACACAATACCTGCGACTCGCACTAGAGATTGCAATGGCAGTATTCATAATTCTGCTATTAGGCAATCTGGTTTACCAACGAATAGATGGCAAACAAACTCCAGTTCCAAATTGTAGCTATGCCCCCCTTTCGCAGTATGACTTGATAATAGCAAGAGCAAGATCCTGATTGTCCATCTTAAAGTTCCACGAAAGACGTACACGTTCCTCCCGGATGCCAAGTACGTACGCGACGACATGCTCTTTGACGAACATGACACCCTCCATACTCTTCATAACTGGATACCACTAAGCGCAGGTACGTACAATCATCAACCAGGTACCTGCTAGGGATATGACAGGTTGACATTGATATCTATAGACGCCAGAGGCTACGTCCAGATTCCCGATTATGAAGCCTACGATATTCTCGGAAAACCCCATACGGTAGCCATCAACCGGACGTCTGACGGACCGGCATACATGATGTCCGTTTTCCACCAGCTTCATTGCTTGTCGTATATCGTCGAGCATTACCAGCAAGGATACGCTGGCGTCAAATTGACGGAAGAGGTAGCCCATCACTCGTCACACTGCTTCGACTACCTCCGCCAATCCATCATGTGTTCCGCGGATACCAACTTAGAGGGAGAGTCGGAATACGGTCCAGGCTGGGGATCAAAACACGAATGTGCCGATTACGATGCTGTGCTAGCTTGGGCAAACAAGCATTCGGCGATGAAATGGAGGAATGGTCTTCTCCCGGAAGATTCTGTACTCTAATTAAAATTAGTTGGCTCTTGATTTGGACGAATTGTATATATGATCATTAAGGCGCCTCCTATTATATAAAGTGCACGTGCTAGGAAAGGGACGGAGGCAAGAAGTGTATATCGACAGAGCTGTGTAATATTGTGGTGATGAAGCTGAGGCCTGCTGCAGAAACATATGAGGTGTACATCTGCTGGTTGCTAGGCAGTGCAGTGCATCCAAAGTTGACTTAAATAATTCCTTAAACAACTACTCTGCCATCTCTTATCAGATGCCGTGGTCAAGCGGTTATTTGAAGAAGGGCCATGAAATAATTCTTAGATGAGTTTTTCGTAGGGCATAGGTTCGAATCATTGTCAGGGCGGCATGGTTCGAATTCTAGGTTTCGAGCTTTTTTGTCCCTTTCTTCTTATTTTTTTTTTCTTAGATCTGCTGCTATTTTTTAGGCGGCGAAAAGAGATGCTTAAATTGAATAAAAAACCTGAAATATCTTAGCTACCTAGGTAGGTACCTGCTAACTCAACGTATAACATGCATTTACATTATGATATAGTTTGTAGCAATGATTATAGACTGTTGACCGTATCTGAGAATATCAAGGCGCAAACTCACCTAAAACATATTTTTGTAATATTCCAACGCACATGGTTACTTTTAAATCCAATCATAAGCCCGAGATTCATTCACATGCTTATGTACCTAGCTAACCACACTACTTAAAGCTACAGCTTACACTAAGGCTGATTGGTATAAGGGAAGGGGGCTGAATAAATTCTAGGCAACGAAGTTGTAACTAAGTTAAATTCGACGTGTCATATCATCATATATGAATTCGAGAGCAATGATAGGAGGGGGAAGTTAAAAGAGATATCTGCTTAAGCGAACATACATATAAACGTAATATAGTATTACCAACACTTGTCGATCAGGCAGTGATTTATGTTGGCTGACAGACCGACTTGTTTTTCCAAATCACTGCATTTAGTATTTTTCATATCCGCAGTCTCAACAGATGCTTAAATAATCATCTGTAAGTTCATATTTATAGTGAATATGGAAATTAAGCACGATTGCATCATAAGCGCCGAGAGCTATGAGAAGTTCGGGTTCAACAACCGACGCCGTAACACCTACCAAAGCGTCCAAGATTTCATTGATCGCGGTCTTATGAGCAAAGGTATGTGAGGTCTACACCGCCGCACTGAGATCAACGTCAACTCTAACTTACCTTAGATGCTGTATATCAGAGATATACGGAATATCTTAAGGGTAGTATAAGCACTGAAGAAGACGATCCTTCAGGAGAGAACATAAGACAAGTATTCTGTCAACTATGTGACCCGGAGACAGGATGTAGGTAACCCTACAGTCGAAGGCCACTCAATGCTTAGGACTGACAATCAATCCTCTTGTAGATCTCTCACAGAATAAGTTTAAGCACTTATTTGAGACAATATTACCTACCACATCTTCAGGCGTTGCAGTACTGCTCCTTGATATCTTTAGTTGGCATGCGTTCTTCCCCTTCCCACCAACGCATACCGCCTCAGGAGAACTCTGTATAGATGAAGATGCCTTCACTCGCGCTGTCTGTCAGCTGGTATGGACTCTTTCGCCGCACCATAGTGCGCGCATACGGGAGGACGCCTGTCACGGTGCTATCACAGGAAATTGGGGGCCACATTTCAGCTGGCTCATTTCAGCCCGTGGTACAGATGTCAACGATTATATGAGATGGCTATTCCGGAGCCTTGCTATTCCAAACAAGACAAAAACAGGCATTGAAACAACAATTCTGGTTCCTAGGTTCTTAATGTACCAACCGCGGCAGGACGAGCCATATTCTGGAGATGATTCCGAGGACGAGGCTCTGCAACAGGTCGTTATCGTCGAGAAAGAGAGTGAGCGAACGATAGATATTCAAGATATTCTCTCAGAACATCCTCCTGATCACCATGTCATGGTAGCAGATCCGTTACGAGAAGGCTACAAGCTTGCCTTGCCCTTTCTTCCACATCATCCATATGATCTGACTGACCTTCACGTCCCAACAATAAAGGTTCTGAGCCTCTTCCGTTTGCTCTACGCCGAGGATGACTCGGACGATGAAAACAAACTAGTCTCTGAAGAAGATAGTGAGCCAGACATTGCAGCCGGTTTGATTGCCTCGATCGAGGGACTGGGAATTGAAAAAATTAGCTGGGAATTGTTTAACACCACGCTGAATGAGCACGCGGTTAGTTATCCCTTATCTATATCCAAATGCTATGTATCTTGCTAAGTCTTTTTTTAATAGGAAGTTATCGCAGATTCTTTAGCGCGCATTTTCTCGATACTTGAAGCTCCATTAGATGGACGTATAAAATGATATTATGAACTCGAATAGACATGAATATTTCAATACAATATTTACCTACATGTAGGCACCTAAGGTAGATAAATACCTAAGATAGGAGGTTTATTTAGGTAGTTCCATAATACCAACATTTCTATACTGATATAACGGGGCATTTTACAAACCGCTTGAGACTTACCCCACCAATAATTCGCGGACGCAGCAGGGTACATAGTGTTGCATTAGTGCATGCATGTATGTACCTCCTAGGTACGTGTCGCATATATTAATTACATGTACCTGAGCCCCACCAAACGCGTATTAGGACGCGTTCGCGCGTCTTCAATTTACATTCACATTTATATTCACATTTATATTCACATTTATACTTACCCTGTACAACTGTACAAGGGCCAATTTTAGTACGGAACGTCGAAGCAACAAGACAGATTGGTGATCTCAAAGCTATCATTTCTAGAGAACTGAATTGGATTGTCAAAAATGATATCTGCTTCGTCTCCCGTTATATATCCAGCCAGCTCCTCTCCGGTGGCAGCGGCAAAGCGCATGAAACCACATCCCGATCCGAACCCTCGATCCCGTGCAAAAAGTGGCTTCCTTGTTGACGATGACTCCGACGATGAGGATATGCTGCAAGAGCCAGCAACTAAGAGACGGATGCTTAGTAGTACTAGTAGCAAAGCAGCCGTAGAGTATACTGAGCCGTCTTCACCTCTGTCAACGATTCCTAGTCTTAACCTCAAGAAAGTTGGTTCGGTACCTCTCGACACCATTTCACAGCCGAACGAAGATGTCGAAAGGAACCAGCCCTCTATAACGAGCACATTGTTCCAATCGAGCAATGTATCCTCCATTTTTGACCGATTTGCCTCTCGTCAAGCGCAAAGCACATTTAAGATCACTACCTGTTCAGGTAACATAGTCGACGTCAAGCAGCGGAAGGCTGGTTCTGGTATATCTTATGAAAGGATAGTTGCTGCGCGGTCGAAAACGAAAGAGGGCCGAGCAAAGAAGAGTTATTATGGCATCGAGATCCACGAGATAATAGAGGCTACTTCCAAGGAGCTCGCCAACAGAACCTCGGATTTTAATACAGCACCGGATCAGCCAATTACATCCGTGGAAGCCATCAAAAAACCGAAGAAAGCACTCTTGTGGACTGAAAAATACCGAGCGAGAAATTTTACGGACTTAGTGGGCGACGATCTTACGAACCGGCAAGTCTTACGCTGGCTAAAAAGATGGGATCCGATAGTTTTTCCAGGAACAGCAAAATCGAGATCTGCTACGAGACGACTGGGCGCAAAAGCGGGAGCTGAAGAAGAAAAGCCGCACCGGAAAATTTTGATGCTCACTGGCCCTCCTGGACTGGGGAAAACCACGCTCGCTCATGTTTGCGCGAAGCAGGCGGGTTACGAAGTAATGGAGATAAATGCCAGTGATGACCGCAGTCGAGATGTCGTCAAAAACCGGATTCGCACCAGTTTAGGGACGGAAAATGTCAAAACTGTGCAGCAAAACAAGCTCCAGGATGAGAAACAACAGAAAGTTGTACGTCCCGTGTGCGTGGTTGTTGACGAGGTTGATGGTGTCGTGACCGGCTCCGGTGGTTCTGGAGAAGGTGGATTTATTAAAGCCCTTATGGACCTGATTACTATTGGAGAGAAAAACGCATCCGGGCAAGATAACACTACTCAACAGTCAGGGCGTTATAAAAAGAAAGGCGATGATTTCCGCCAAATGCGGCCTCTTATTTTAATCTGCAATGATGTTTATCATCCGTCGCTCAGGCCTCTACGACAGTCAAATCTAGCTGAAGTTATCCACGTTGGCAAACCTACTATTGACGCAGTTGTGGCTCGTCTCAAGACAGTGTTCGAGAAAGAGGGTATTCCATGCGAAAAGGACGCCGCACGAAAGCTATGCGAGGCAGCATGGGGCATGAGTAATGGTATGGATGCAAAGAGGGGCGCAGAGAGCACAGCTGAGGGGGATTTAAGAGGTATTATGGTCGTGGGCGAATGGGTTGCGGGCCGTGTTAGGTCTGCGTCTCTCAACGGTCCACTGAGTTTAACAAGGCAATGGGTTGAACGGAATATTGTCCATGATCTGTCCCATGGCGGCGGTGGCGCGAGAGGCGTAGGGCGTGGTAACGTGAGGGATATTGTTACGCGTATCTTTCAAGACGGCGCTGGATTCCCAAAGACCAATGTACTCATCACGGCCCCCGTCTCGAAACACCAAAGCGAGCAGCCACAAGCACAGCTAGGATTTTCGGAGCAGCAGAAAAAGTACGGAATGGAGCGTCTAAGAGAGATGGTCGAGACCAGCGGCGACGTAGACAGAGTGATGACGGAGGTGTTCCTAGACTATCCGAACCATGAGTTCAATGACGACTCATTCCTGTCTAAGCCGGACTGCGCTTACGAGTGGATGCATTTCCACGACACATGTTCGTCGAGGTTGTTCGGAAACCAAGACTGGGAGTTAGCCCCTTATCTTAGCCAACCTATTCTCGCGTGCCACCATTTATTCGCATCGCCTATCCGGCGTGCTAATCTAGCTTACAACCAGAAGTGGGGTGGAGGTAATGCCGAGGATGACGCTCCCCCGCTGCCTTTCTCAGGTCCGAGAGCAGACTTCGTCGCTCGCGAGGCCGGGAAGGAGAACCGCGCAATACTCCAAGAAATGCAGGCTCAGCTACCGCCGACGCTCATGCGTTCTTTCCGCAGTGCTGAAGATATCGCTACGGAATTCCTTCCATATCTCATCCGCCTAGTGTCTCCGGATGTGAAACCTGTTGTCGTTGGGGGTAGTGGGGATCAACGGAGCACAGCAAGTGTCCGAAAGGACACAGAGAAGGCTATGGTAAAGCGAGCCGCTGATGTACTAGCTGAGGTCGGCATCGAGCTTCAAAAGGGGAAGATAGAGAGCGAGTCCCCCTTCAGCAGAGGTCCGGAGTGGGTTTACCGCTTGGAACCGTAAGTACAACATTGTTCACAACGCTAAGTTTTCGGGATTGGTTACTGACAAATCTACAGTGACCTTGATGCCCTCGTCACTTTCGAAACATCTGCAGCCGTCATCAATGGTACACAAGCCCCGACGCGCTACGCCGTGCGGCAGGTGTTAGACCAAGAATTGCAGAAAGCTAAACTGCAGCGGGAGAAGCTAGCCCGACAGGCGCGCTTCCGAGGCGGCGACCTGCATGGTGCGGTACCTGAGGACACCTCCTTTATATTCAACGACAACAAGGAGAATAAGACCTCTAAAGTGCTGGGTTTACCTATACTCGGCGTGAAGAAGGACTTCTTCGGGCGCATCATCGAGAACACAGATACCCGCGCTCTGAGGGAAACTGACGCCAACGGTAGGCCTAGAAGTAAGGCCGGCGGGGAAGGGCAAGAAAAGGGCGAGGCTAAGATCTGGGTTACGTTTCACGAAGGCTTGAATAACGCTGTGAGGAAGCCCCTATCGTTAGATGAACTGCTTAGGGGTTTGTAATAGGTACCTCTTAATACTGGTTGACGTGTAAATGACTTTGGGTCCTAGGGTATGGTATTGGCTTGGGGCATATGTATGGTGTTCAGGTTATAATGGCATATCCATTGTTAAATGAAACCTAGCGCTTGTTTTTAATGATTCACCCTTAATTGGTCTTGGTTTCGATAGGTTCGCTTTATTTCCGGTGGTGAGAAATAGAACTCGTATGGCGAATAAACCGCGAACCTCTATGATATAATCCGTTCACTATGAATCATTTACTTGACATAGATATCATACATATAACATAACTCATCATCAATTATACACCAGATTAGACCCACACTTAGATTACGGAACCCTCCGCCAGCGCAATTATTATATAGGCTCCCCTTCAGCCTCTCCCATCTGCTCCAACGCCTTCCGAAACACCTTCGCCTCGGCCTCCATCTCCTCCGCCGTCCGCGGATGTCGCTCCGAATCTTCGATGCTGGGGAAGCTGCCGCCGGGTTTAGGTCGCTTACCCAGCTGTTGCTGGAGCCTCTTTAGTTCCCGATCCCATCTTCGGCTATCATTAGTATAGATATATACACCATGAGTTTTCTTTCCTCCTATTTTTTTCTAGGAGTAGAGAACGAGCGTAAACTAGAACGAGGGGAGTAGGGCAGGTAGAGAGAATAACTTACAACGCGCCACCGACGTTCCCGTCCTCCGCCGCCATCGACTCGTAGATCTGGTCGCCGGGCCCAGCTTCCTCCTTGGCGGTGGACCCGCGGATGCGCGGGATAACGTGGACGTGGACGTGGGAGACGGTCTGGCCCGCCTCGACGCCGTCCTGGATCGCGATGTTGAAGGACCCGGCCTCGGGGGTGCCGGCGGCGTCGTCGTCGTCGCTGCTTTGCTGCGAGGAGGATGTGAAGTAGTGCCGTGCTAGCATGCGCTGGACCCGCTGCACGGCTTGGAAGAGGTCGGTTAGCTCGAGCGCGGTGAGCTCGGTTAACCGCTTGTGTGGTTGTCGCGGGCAGATCAGCACGTGTCCTGGTAATAAGGGTTTGAGATTGACGAGGGCGAAGGAGTGCGGTGTTGTGAGGAAGACCTGGGCGTGGTTAGTTTGTTTAATATTCATATATCCGTCAAGATTCATCTCATTTTTATTTCTCTCTCATCCTTGACTTGGGCTATTTATTCAAACTAGAGCTGCAATAGCGACATATCTATGTATAAGTTGACTTACCTGAGGCGTGACCTCAAACGGGCCAAAGTGAATCGGCCCCGTCGTCTGAGAACTCATGTTTCGTTTGTGAGCGATGTTTCTGAATATGAGATTGATTATCGAAATGCGATTTCGTTGCATGGCCTAAGTAATATACATAGAGTGTGCTTGCTATTGCTTAGCAGCCATGTTATATAGGTATGTATAGATAAAGCGCGTGGAACTGCCCTACGGTTAAACAAGGAACGCTTTAAATTCCAATGTCGTCTTGGCTTAAGTCTTACTACGATGATGAGGTGTAAACTGACCAGAATCAAGTGACGCTAAACGTGATGTTTGATTGAGTATAACTCGGATAAATGCATGATATTCTTTGTTCAAACTCTGATGAGGCAGATCATCTAGACGCAAATAATCTAGTAGTGCGATAATATGGTTTATACGATACTCCCGATAATGAAGCTTGTTTAGTAAACATCGTCATTGAACTTATGACGTCGTTAGTTTTTCTATTTAAAGTTTGAGTGGTATCATTTTAATAGGTTAGATCATTTATTTTAAGCCCGGAGTATAACCACTAATAAGTCTCCAAGTTACTTACCTATAGTTCTTCCGCCTCCCTCACTTTATTTAGACGATATGACAAGCTGAACCTCTTATATCCGTACAAATAAGGGGCGCATAACCGTTTACCGCTTACTAAACAATATTATTTTTTTACGACTTACACGAGCACCCATTACGATACCTAGGCAAGTATAATATATAACTCAATTAAATTAAAGACGGACGTGAAGATTTTTTTATTGTCTTTAAAACTAAAGGCCTATCGCCTATCGCCTATAATTTCTGCTTTTATATGCGGTATGCATAAGTAATCCTAATTGCTACCATTGGCGAGGTCGTATGGAAACTAGATCGCCAGAGGACTAGGCTTCTCAGCTCGGTGGACCCGATGGCGACTTGCGAGGCCAAGCCAGGGATCTTTTGTCCTTACTTGCCATCCGGTGAATTCTATGTATACCAACTAAGTCTTCAAGACTGGAAGTTCGCTATGATATAAATGCCAAACACCGAGCATAGGCTATATGCTTCGCATTTTACTTCATTAGTTGAGATGGCCTAGTTAGTTAAGGGCATTGCTGAGACGACATTCAACATCTCATTGGCCAATTCCGCGTATGATTTTGTGGGGGGTTCGTGAGGCATCTTGACCATCTAAGACGTAGACCACCTACATACCACATCCGTAGCGGTCACCTCATTGCAATGGGCGAATGAGAAATAAGTGTAGACCTAGCGGTGACCGTAGGTTTCCCCGAGCCGCAAGGTGAAATTTATATACACCAATGCGAGGACGGGAGGGCGCGGGCAGATCGGGGAAGATATGTAAGACTCAAAAGGGGACGGCGGAGTGGGTGGTATGATATTACCAACTAACAAGGAAACTTTTATGTAACAGTATCATTCTTGGTGGGCTCATATGACATACGGACTCTTCATTAGGGAATTATAATGCAATTGTCGTTATCTTTCCCCAGATTTTCCCTCCGTATAATTGACAAGGCTTAGACGGGATTCCTCTGCCGTTCCCAATTTTAACCTTCTTTCGATGTCAAAGGAGAGCCTCAAGCCTCAAGTCTCAAGCTTCAGGGAGAAGAGACAGCCATATCTTTAAAGAGTCTTGTTAATAAGTTAGCTTTGATTCGCTGTTCATACCAAAAACTATATTGTAATTAGAGATGAAGAGGTCGTCTATGACCCCTACGCCGCAGAATGCAGATGACAGCTGCCTCATAAATCAAACTGTCCCGACGGGAGCCATGCCACTTCCGTCGGAACACCTTGACGAAAAGAAGCAACTTCCCAATACCAATTCCATATCTAATTCGGGCGAGGACAAGGAGAGCCAGAAGGGGCGTTCCCATTCCATCGAGAATGTAACTGCGGCATCGCCATCGTCTTTGTCGTTAGATGGGGGCGGCAGTGATGACGACGATAATTTTCCTGAAGGTGGCTTAGCTGCCTGGCTTGTCGTTGTTGGCTCCTTCTGCTCTATGCTTTGTTTGTATGGTCTTATTAACTCGGTTGGCGTTTTTGAATCGTACTTCTCAACACACCAACTCGCCGACTACAGCTCCTCGACCATCGGCTGGGTCTTTAGCGTATATCTATTCATCGTCTTTTTCTTTGGCGTCCAGGTCGGTCCTATTTTTGACAGGCACGGCCCCAGACTACTTATCGCCATTGGTAGCATATTAGTGATCGCTAGTCAGCTCATCATAGGGTTATGTGAAGGTGAGCACCCTATTCAGAACCCCCTATATTTATCATATATCTATTAGTAAAACATGTGCTAAATAATCGAAAATAGAATACTACCAGATCCTCCTCACATACGCGGTCCTTGGGGGTATAGGGGGCGCTCTTCTCAACGTGCCTGCCTATGGAGTGATAGCACACTTCTTCAAGAGACGTCGTGGCTTGGCTGTTGGTGTTGCTGCGACAGCGGGATCTGTCGGCGGAATTGTGTTTCCCCTCTACCTCCAAGCTGTCATTCCAAAACTTGGCTTCGCATGGAGTACGAGGATCATCGGTTTCATAATGCTGCTCTTATCAGTCATAGCCAACCTCCTTGTGCGCTCCCGCCTACCCCCAAGTGCTCACCCAATACGCATCTTACCGGATTGGACCCTCTTCAAGGATGTCAAGTTCACTCTATGCTGTATCGGCGTCTGGTTTATGGAGTGGGGAATCTTTACCCCGTTAACGTACATCGTTTCGTACGCCATAGCTCATGGCCAAGATCCCAAAGATGCATACACCTTCCTCGCGATTCTTAACGCTGGGTCATTCTTCGGTCGCTTCCTCCCCGGGTTCCTAGCAGACCGCTTTGGCCGCTTTAATGTCATTACAATAACGAACGCGCTGTGTGTCGTCACTATCCTCGCTTTCTGGCTTCCCGCCGGTGATTCGCGCGCCTTGCTCATCGTTTTTGCCGTCATCTTCGGGTTCTGTTCCGGAAGCAATCTGGGTTTGTACCCCGTGTGTATCGGTCAGCTTTGTGACGCCCGTGATTATGGCCGTGTTTACTCTACGGCGGTTATGGTCGGCAGTTTCGGGACCCTAACCGCCCTCCCCATCGCTGGTGCACTTTTGGGAATCGGCAGCGACGAGCGTCAAGGCTGGTTGGCGCTGATTCTCTTTGCAGCGCTGTCTTATGCTATCTCAACGAGCTGCTTCCTTGGAGCTCGAGTATTGGCTGTTAGTTGGAGAGTGAAAGAAGTCTATTAATGCTCTGGTACTAGTTTTACTGTGACTTTAGGATATAATTAAAGGGAACATGCAAATGAGTAGCGGGTTTATTAGCATATAAAACTGGGCCATTCGGGGAGATTGATGGAAGACGGTACTGGATTTGGGATCAGGAGTTATGTGCGAAATCGATACTGTTCAAGTATATTATATCGCCGCCCGCGCGTAAAACTGTGTCTTTGTATTCGAATCCTAAGTAAATCTTGTTACCTTAAGGTATGAGACTACCAAAATATTCAACAGACAGTAATATAACATAAATTAAAATTAACCAAATTATATATATCAGCGCAAGGCAAGCCGAAGATGTTCACACTGGCACTAATTTGAAATTCGTACATATAAATATATCTACATAGGTATAATATATATCATCCAAAATGTCACATATGGGGGTAGTCATACGACCCAGACGTCAACGATATTTTACTTACATATTTCCTTTCGTACATATAAAGGGTTGCCGCATGTGATATTATATCGATATAATAAGTCGTTTAAACCCGTGGTAAGGAATCACCAATAATCTCTTCATCAGACATGATATTTGGGTCCTGGGTATCACCGGGGATTCGAACTGGTACGGCGATATAGCCGTCATCTTTCAAATGCACTATTAAGAAAATTAGTTGCTATAGCCTTAAGACATCAGGTAGAGTGAAACTTACGATGAGGTCTCACGAAGAAACTTCCGAGTATCGCCAATCCGAACAGCGAAGCCAACAAGACGAAGAAAGCCTGTGGAAAAGTCTCGACTGTTGCAGCATAGATGCCGTTGAAAAGCGCAGGAGCAATAACCCTCCCGAGCGCATGTAACAGACCAATAGCTCCCAGTAGGGAGCCCACGCGCTGAGCTGGAACATGCTTCGTGATCGCACTTTGGATAGTGGCACTTGCTAAGCCGCCAAATGCGGTAGCCAGACCGCAGAGGACGAAAAATTCTTCGGAACGCACAAATATATAGCCACAGATACCTACAGCATCACTGAGGAGAGCAAAGCGTAGGAGCCATACATCTAGGTTATCGGCACCGGAGCTTTTCTCCACCACATTCACGTCGCCGCTCTCACGCCTTCGGCGACGTAGTGGCAGGACACGGAATACGTAGTTGATGGCTGGGAGTATGAAGAGGAGGATGACAACGCGCGCCAAGCTGACCACTGATACAAACTTCGAGGCTTCCGGAGTGTCCCAGTGAAAGATGTGTTCAGAGTAAAGTACAATAATAGTACCAGCACCCATCGCGGCAGCCAGGAGCATCGTGTCGATAAGAGCAAGGATAATCAAGTTCCGCCGCAGGGGACCATTATCTCTCCCACTAGGGACTAATATTTTTAAGGGAGCAAATGGGTTGGCGCTCAGAATTGCGGGGAGCCAAGTTCCCATATGATCGTCGACAAAAGAAGCAGCCCGTGGTCCAATGAAGACCTGAACTGAATCTGGAAGTCCGGATCTAAGTTCTATGGCTGCGGCTTCGTTTTCAGCACGATGCTTCTCGCGTGCGGCCAGCTGACGTTTCTTTGACATTGACTCGGGAAGAATAAACCAGAAATATAGGATAACAGCTGAGTGGCAACCTAGGACGACATAAAATATCGATATTAACGAACCCGTCCATTTAACGAAATAACCAGCAATCAGAGGTCCAAAAGCCAATCCAGTAAATAGACAAGCATGTAGATAGCCAATATGTACTCCGCGCTTGGATGGAGGTGCGCAGTCACTTGTATACGAGTTAGTTAATATGCTGCCCGCCGTGAAGGAACCCGTCATGCCATCGAAGAACGCGCCTAGGATCAGCCATTGGTAGCTGACGGTATCTGGGAACTTTGCAGCCAAGATAGTGATACACTCGTTGACTAAACCGCCACATGATGCCATCACCATCAGGCGTTTTCGGCCGTACCGATCAGATAGTGCTCCTACTTTTGGTGCCGTGATCGCGCTTAAGGCACCGGTAAGAGCACTTAGTATAAGTGTGAAAGCAGCGACCTTCTTTTGGACTGGACCACTAGTGCATAAGTCATTATCGGCGCCTAAAGGTCCTAATGGGTTTATAAAGTTTGGTTCAAGTTGCTGGCGGTCGGTGAAGTGAATACGACATATTAACTGGACAATTCTAAATAGAGTAATGTTCTAGTAAGCGACTGTTGTTAATGGAAGCGCGCTGGAGTTGTATGGCTTACAAATTGAGCTTCGGTACGATGATACCACCAAATGCAAGAGAAAACAGAAGATATGGTGCCAGAAGCCAGTATACCTAATTCCAAATTAGCTGTTGGAGTGTTGGAGTTTCTTTGCATCTCATCTGTATACAACGTACCGATGGTATCCGCCACCATGGGAAATCGGCGAAATCTTCATGTCCTATCCAACTCCCCTGGCTCTTCCCATTCCCGTTATCTTCTATCGTATTATTATTTGTGCTTGCGCCGACCAGCGGACTTGTTTCCGTTGCTCCCTCCCATTGGTCCGCCTCTTCGTCTATAAGTAAGATCGGCCTACTGTCTCTTTTAACTGGTTGCGCATTGCTCGTCATTTTGGCTGCGGGCCTGTTGCGCGGATTCCGGGCTAGTTCTAAGAGCTGTTCAACAACCCAAATATCTAGCACGGTCAAATATGATATAATGAACCGGATGTGCCGGAGTATTTGACGGGCTCTGTAGTGTGACCTGGTACCGACCGACGGACTCCGGAATGATTTGCTGATGCGCCGTTACACTAACTGGAACGCCCGAATAGAGAACTATATAATCAGATGTAAGGCGATCTCCTCTGCTTTGATGGTATCTGTAATTTGGAACCCGATGGAGGTCTGTCATTGACCTAAAGGGTTTAGGAAGAGGGAGTAGGGAAAGGTGGAGAGAAGCTCCATGCCGAAAGTTATATTATAAGTGTTTAAGATATTATTGGTCGGTCTCTACATTGATGATGTGTAGTTAGGATTCCAATTAGAGCTTGGGCTTGCTTGATCTCGGGTGTCTCGACAATCCAACGGCCGAAAAATGCCAACGCTAAGCGTTAGAGAAAGTGATGCGAAAGTTACGTGTGGGTTATATTAGACTATCTATCAGTTGAATCCCGTATCTTTGGGATTGGGTGGATCAGTGGATCGATGGACCCGTTCATTCTATGCCATGAGCGTGGTATTATATACAACATTGACCAAAGACATTAGTATCGGATAAGGAGTGGCGTTTTTATTATTATACGCATATTTGATCTATTATGCATTATTATATTTAATTATGGGTTATAATACGCTAGTCGTGTATTTCAATATGTATTCGTAATTGGAGCGAGACAATAGATGAGATGCAATACATATATAGCCTATTAAAGTCCTAATAATGTAGTAGGTACAAGTATTGTCGGAGGTGGAGGCCGTGGCGTGATATGATAGGAAGGGTGTTAAGGATCCTAGCAGTTCCTAGATCTAATCAGGCAGAAAGGCGTCAAAAAAGGTGGCGCACCCACTACCAACGCATACAAAAGTATTATATTTCAAAAAGTTATTCTATACCCAAACCTACCTTTAAAAATGAAAATAAATTATTATAATAAAATTAAGCTATTAAATTATAATTAGATGATTTTTTTATTATTTATATCAACCTAAGTTAGTACGTAATTATAAGTTATATTATTATTGTAAAAGTATTAAATATTAATATAAAACCACCTCTATTTAAAGGCTTATTTCCCAATCTTAGACTAAATGAAAAATATAGTAAAATAGGCCATTATCAGGGCTATCGAATAGTATATTCCATAATCAATCTAGTTTTAAATTGGCTGAATTATAGCCGTTAGAAGTTAGAGTGTTTTTGGTATATTTTGGTAGGAAGCGCCACCTTTTTTGACGCCCTTCTGTCAGGGCAATAATGTCCCTGAATATGTACAATGAGGTATACTTCGTAATCTTATCTTTTATCTAGGATCTTAATCCAAGAGACTTACGTACATACATAATTCTCATGGTAAATAGTAACCTGTATGTCAGTGTATACTCTTAATATGCGAAGGCAATAATAAAAGAGGATGGACGAATTAAGAAGAGAAGGCATTGTTTACTAAATTTCACATCAAGTCCAATGCAGGTAGGTTATGAAGTAGGCAGAGTGGGAAGATATGCTCAACTTATCGAAGCTATCGCCAGCAAATCGATGACGCAGGTGTTCGTGGGGTGCAGGACTTCGGGGTCCAGCAAGATCCGACAACCGGCAGATTTCCAAACTCCGGTATACTAGACCCAGCTTTCCTTCCTACCTAACGTACCCCTAGTATACCCATCAACTCATATATAATTAGGCACATGTAAGAGGTAGACAAGGGAGGTTGCTTGAAATGGCGATATATCTCTAAAGCTTCTTGTCACATATGTTGAATAGTTGAGTCTTGAACGTCGCTTATTTATAATTTTAATACATAAACTGGGAGTCGTCGGGTTTATTTAATCAAAACCGACTGATTCCCCAATCCGACACAATTTGTATAACACACCCAAATAAGTGCCTAGTTGGCCAATACTAAATTAGGTTGAGTCATTTTCGCGTACTGAAAAAAATCAGTTACAAATGTATTGATGTTTTAATGAGTACGATGATTCTCGAGAAAATAATTGCATATCCTATACTGCAAAGGCATTTTCTGGCGAGGCAAAGAACTTCTTGGACTCGGTACACCGCTCACTCTTGCAACCAGGGCATCTCAGGCCCATCTGGTACGAGCATGCAACGCCACTATCCAAATGACTCTTCGCAAGGTTTGCGAGAGCATCAATAAAGATGGGATTACCGTTAAGACTTTCTACTCGTTTAACTGTGTCCGTGTGACCAGACTCTCCTATTACCTCTTTGTCGAGCTCAAAGAGTGTTTCTATATGGTCAGAAGTGAACGCAATGGGGATAAGAACGAGGTCTTTTTGTCCCTTGGCGATATATTCCTCAACCGAGCTCTGGGTTTGAGGACCTAACCACGGTTGAGGACCGACCTGTGACTGCCAACATAATCTGTAAGGGTTAGAGAACTTTAGTCGTTGCATGACGGCGTATACTGTTGCGGCAACTTCGGCAGGGTATGGGTCACCTGAAAAAACTGTTAGTTGAGATGGCTTGAGACGAATGTGTGTACTCCCTACCTCGATTAACTACCGTCATTGGTAAGCTGTGAGCTGAGAATAATAGAACGACTCGACTCCGTCGGTCTTCTGGATATTCTGCCAGCGTTTTCTCAATATTGCTAGCAAATGCCTCCACTAATCCCGGATGTACCGGCCACCTATCAATGACACTCCATTGAATCGCACCCGGTCCGGATTTTCCTTCTAATCGTTGCCGCCATTTCCATAGTTCATTGAGACTGCTTCCCGTTGTAGAGCAAGAGTATTGAGGATATTGTGTGAACGCCACAGCTCTTCCTCCTTTGCCGTTTCCGAAGCCATCCGCCAGCAATTTGTTATACATTTCTTCAGTTAGAGGGTCTGCGTAGCGAAATGCGACATATGGTTTATGAGGCGCTGTCTCGGGCGATATTCGGTCGAGAATCTTGCACATATGTTCGTTTTGATATTCTGACCATTTTCGAATTGGGGAACCACCACCAATCTCTGCATATTGCTTCTGGATCTTCGGAGTTCTTCGGCTTGAAATGAGGGGGCCTATATAGTTTTGAAGTCGTCCTAATGGTATTAGATCGGCGTCTGCCTACTTATATGTTAGATATACACCGAGACGCATAGTACTAGACGAAATAAAACGTACAAATAAGCGGCTTAGAAAGTCGCCAACTTCATCTACCGTAGATGGACCGCCCATATTTAAGAAAACCATGGCCGTTGGGCCTTTTGATCCTGTCGCATTTTGTGTGACAGGGGGCACTGGTGTTGCGAATGATCTCGTCTGTAGGATACTATTTTTCAATGGCTGGATGTGTAATGGTGTAGAATTAGCAGTAGCAGTACCAGCTGCTCTGCGCGCAAGCTGCACAATAGAATGGCGTGCTGCCATATTGCGCGAACTCATTACTTTATGATAGTTCGACGGCAAAAAGGCATGGAATGTTTCTTGAAATTATTTAAGTAAAAAGCATGGGTGCCTCTAACAGGACAGGTAGATCTTAGTTACCTAGCCTCGAAAAGTTCACCAATCAATGACGAAATGCTCGGGGCCGGCTCTCCGAGGGACCGGGACCGAGTGTCCGATTAATGTTAAAGAGCCAATAAAACATGATCAATTGCTTAGCAAATAGAAAGTGTTACAGTGGACTATTAGTCCAACTTTATCTCAGCTAGCTCAAACTAGAAATTTGAAAATAGTTCAAGGGAAAGTACCTCTTTTTAGGGATGCGAATTTTATTATACGCCTAGCGTATAATAACGCATAATAAAATATAATATTTCATAATAGATCTATTATGCGCATAACGGATTAGACACCCCCGTTTATCCGACGCACTAATACTTAATCGGGATTAGATTGGGTCAAATGTTTTCGTAGATTATGTAAACCTGACCCGGCATACAACTGCTTTTGACAATGTTTGCAAGCAGCGAGTTTTTAATTAACGTTATATCATCTCGAGGAGGCATTTTGACCTAATTTAGTAATTTTGGCGGTTAAAATAAGTGTTGACTTAGTTGTCAAAAACTACGAATTGAGGCAAAAAAAAATTTCTAAGTTGATTACCTAATAAACGCATTATATTTCACGTATTATGTACATAATACTCGCATTATACATAATGTTGCATAATAGATCTATTATGCGCATAATGGGCATGCCTACCTCTTTTAGCCATACCCTTTTTTAACCAATTATATCCTGGTATATCTTTTTAAACTATTTTTTAATTTTTAATTTAAAATAAGACTATTGCTATTGGTACACCCTGTACAACAGGTACATCCCCACCAATTTTTTCAATTAAATTAAATATACCACATTTTAACCTATCCACCCTCACAACCTATTCAATCCAGCAATTTAATGAATAATACTTACATGGATAGTTTCGCCTCAATTAGGGCTTTCTAATGATATAGGTATCGACAAGATGCATGCATTATTTCAAAAGTTATTCGAATATATATCATTCAATTGAACGCAGATGCGACCGCGCGAAAGGGTATCACGTGGTCTCCCCAAGAGCCACCACCACCAATATACATACTCGAATAACTTTTGGAATAACGCATGCATCTAATAGAAACTTATATCATTAGATAGCTCTAATTGAGGCGAAAATAGCGATATAAGTTTTATATGTTGAAATGCGGGATTGAATAAGTTATGAGGGTTGATGTAGTAGGAGTTGAAAATGGGTGGGATGTATTTGAATGTACTGGGTGTACCAATAGCAATAGTCATTATTAAACCTTAAACCATAACACCATTAATAATAAAACTTTAAACCTAACATAGTAAACTTATAACTAGCTAAAATCTACAATTGTTTTCTTTTTTATAGCTAAGCTTAACTTTTTACTCCATATCCTTGGCTCCTAATACGTAATAAGCTAGGTATTGCACCATTTTTTATTTCGGCTGCAATATTAGCAAGAACTACTGCACTTAGAAGTACCTAGCTATGTATGTTACCAAGGTAATCAAGGTATATAAAGGAGAAAAGCATTGGATCATGTCGCAACCAAAGTTACCTGGGGTACACTTCAAGTAATCTCGCTTAAGCAGGACCCCGAGGAGGGGGTAAGAATCGAGTCAACAGGCCGTATTTATGGCCTCGATGATCAGAAATATCTATTGTGTAGCCTCGCAGATAGATGCCCTCAGATTTTAGAGCTACCATTTTGATATCTTATATAAGCAACAATGAATCGAACTTATCCCCGACTCGGATGTAGGCACGAGAGAAACGAGAGCTGCTGTTGCCCGAAGAAAGAGCTTCTTCCCAAGCCAGTAGAATCGTCCACGTGTTGTGACCTTTTCCTTAATATTCTCATCTTGAGACGTGGTAACCCCGCCATAACGGGTTGAGGCATCGAACACGACGGTTGGTAACAGATATTTTCAAGCGACGTTCTTCCAAATATGGTCTTTGATCTAGCTACATCTTGTAGATCTCTCCTGTAGGCAATTCGAGATGTAACAGAGGTTTGTGTTCAATCGAAGACATATCATGTATCTCGGGGAACTTAGAGATTACGGCAACTGTTTTCGGGTATCTTTGGTTCTAAGAGAAAAAAAAACCTTCAACGAGGTAATCTAATAATCTTTTAAATCCAACATACTTGTATCCCAGCGAACCTAGGTAGTTAAAAAGAGCCATATGGTCGGGCCATATGTAAGATATTTTATCCCAATATTTTATTACCACTGCCCTCAGCTACTACTCCACAATATTCTGCTCCGTCGTCAAAGAGCCTTGATCATACAATCGTGCACTATTTCAATCAGCTGTTGCAATGAACAAAACCAAGCACCCTAGACCGGCTTCACATGGCTTTCGCCCTGGGAAGCTGGTGATCGTCGGGTCGGGGATTCGAAGCATCTCGCAGTTTACCCTGGAAGCCGTGGCTCATATCGAGCACGCGGATAAGGTGTTTTACTGTGTAGCAGACCCCGGGACCGATGCCTTCATCGAACGCCACAACAAGAACGCCGTCGACCTCTACAACTTGTACGACGATGGCAAGCCGCGCAATCAAACGTACACTCAGATGGCAGAGACCATACTTCGCGAGGTGCGCAAGGGCTTCTACGTAGTCGGGGTCTTCTACGGACACCCAGGCGTCTTCGTGAATCCTTCGCACCGTGCGGCAAGAATTGCCATTAGAGAGGGCTATGATGCCACCATGCTGCCTGGCGTGTCCGCAGAGGACTGTCTCTATGCCGACCTCCTCATTGACCCCTCTCGTCCAGGATGCCAAACCCTAGAGGCAACGGATGTGCTCTTGCGGAAACGCCCCATTGCAAAGGACTGCCACGTCATCATCTTCCAGGTGGGCGCGGTCGGCGACCTGGGCTTCAACTTCAAAGGTTTCAAGAACACCAAATTCCAAGTTCTCGTCCGGCGCCTGTGGGAGATCTATGGTCCTGACCACACTGTGGTGCACTACGTGGCATCCCAGCTGACGTTTGCCTCCCCGATCAAAGATCGACTTACGATCAAGGACTTGGAGAAGCCGCAGGTGGCCAAGAGTATCACCGGCATCTCCACCTTCTATCTGCCACCTAAGGTACTACTACAGCCGGACGAGGCAGTAGCCAAGTCTCTCGGGCTAATCACGAGGCCGACGACCAGTGCCTCTTTCGGCCCCTTTCCTATCGATGAGCCCTACGGCCCACGCGAGATAGCGGCCGTCAAGGCCCTCGACAGCCACAAGCAACCTGTTAATTATAATAAGACCCGAGCATCACCAGCCATGTATCAAGCCCTCGAATCGCTGGCTCTGAATCCGAAGGAGGTCTCCAAGTTCCGCTCCTCAAGAGAGAAATTCATCGCACGTATCGACGGCCTCACAAAGTCGGAAGAGAAGGCTCTTCGGTATGGCAGCACCGGGCTGATCCGCCTAGCCCTGAAGAGCTCGGTGGATGAAATCGCGACGCAGTTCGTCCAGGCGGAGTTCCGCGACCCCAAGTTGGCTACACAATACGCGCAGGTTCTGAAGGAAAACAGCGACAAACTCGATGGCTTCGATAGGATTACCGAGTGGCTGCAGGGCCAAGGCTACGACACAACCCCGCAGGCAATCGGGGACGCCTACCAGCGGGAGCTGGCACGCAATTTGGACAGCTACGACGGGAAGTATGTCACTAATGTGGATGGCAAAGCCGGACCGCAGATTCTTATTCAGGGCGGAGTCGTCAAGGTTGACGGCGTCTCGATCGAGGATTTCACGTATACCTCAAGCCAGCTGAGCTGGGAAGCTGACGATAAAATCCCCTCGTCTGCCATGCTTCACTTCCAGCTGCTTACCAACGACGATGGCAAGCCCTTGGCCGCCGACGCGTACATCGGTCCACAGTTCTACGGCCTGTACTGGCTTAAAGGCGCCTCGAAGCCTACAAAGAATAACACCCTTGGCAAGACTGGAGAAATATCGCCGCCTGGCCCAACGCCCCCAGCCAAGCCAACGCCGATTTCCAATTGGAAGGATACCTACCATACCTATCTTAAATCCTCCTCGGGCACCTGGTCCAAGGCCGGAAACGTAGCGATTACCGGGGACGACCTCAACCCGACGGTGACGTACAACGGCACGACGATCAAGAACTACACGTACCAGGACGAGACGATCAGCTGGTCGTCGGCCGACGGCAACGCGAACAGCGTCTGCCTCTCGTTCTACTACAACGCGGCGTCGACCGACAAGAACCCGACGACCGGGAACCAGTTCTCGGGGAAGTTTTGGAAGAGGGACCAGTCGACGCCCGCCGCGGCCAACTTCTTCGGCCAGATCGGGAACTCGGACTCGCCGGACACGGCGTCGGCGGACGCGGCGACGGCGGCGATGTGGAAGGCGCTGGCCAGCAACCTAGCGGTCGGCATCGCGACGTTCGTGCTGGGCGACTTGGTGGTCAAGTCCATCAACGCGCTGATCAAGTGGTTCAACAACCCCACGTCGGAGAACCAAGAGGCGCTGGAGAAGGCCCGCGAGGACGTCGAGAGCGGCACGGCCGAGCAGGAGGCCGTGGAGGCCGAAGGCTCGGAGCTGAACCCAAGCGGAGAAGTTGTCGAGCCCGGTGAGATACCCGCGCAGACCTCGGAAGCTGCAGAGGCCGCGGAGGCCGCAGAAGCTGCAGAAGCTGCAGAAGCTGCAGAAGCTGCTGAAGCTGCTGAAGCCGCAGAAGCTGCTGAAGCCGCAGAGGCTGCCGAGGTTGCCGAGGTTGCCGAGGTTGCGGAAGTGGCAGAAGTCGTTGCAGAAGTTGTAGAAGTTGTAGAAGTTGTAGAAGTTGTTGACGTTGTTGTTGAAGTTATCATCTAAGACAGATATGAGAGACACGCAGCGTGTGCCGACACGATTGATATGGCTCTGGTTAGCAGCCTTGGTTCCACCACAAATTTTGGGTTTGCGCTTCGTTTCATGAATCTTAACGAGGAAGGTAGGTGTGCGTTCACAGACGTTGATATGTGCTAGTATGAGGCAGGGAAGGGTGATGATAGTCTAATGAATATTTCTTTACTCTCTATCTGAAATTTCTAATAAAACAGAATCTTCAATTGTGTTCGAGGATCGCCTTGACGTAAATCATATCTACCTACATAGTGTAGGTAATTCATTAACGCTTATCGTTTATATCTGCGAAGGCGATGTGAAACACTCCTTACCAGGTAGGTACTAAGGTATCTCGGTCTCGGGCTGGTTGATTGATGCCGGCATCGTTAGCGAGCGTGCAGACTACAGGCGTAAGTGGGAGGCGGCACATGATATTGTAGGGGTCCGAGCTGCAGACTTGCTCGCAGTACTCGATCATTTCTGCGATCCGGCTAGGTGTTCAACATCAAACATAACGGGAGGAAACGGTAAACGGTAGATCAAGCTTCAATTCCAGCTAGTTGCTCGTTGGAACCGTAACACCACCGGATTTAACTCGGCCCGGCGAGATGGTCCCATCGTCAATGAGTCGCCCACTCTTGGAGACATTTAGGTATGTCCCCGGTAGCAGCAATGGCCCTGCAGAGAATGATATCACACCCGTGTCGCAAACGCAAAGCGCTAGAGCGCGCTTCCTCGTGGCTACATCGCACGACGATCGACACGAAGCTGCCGACGCGTTTAAGGGCAAACTCGTACGCGCTTTGGACGTGAGGTCGGATAACGTAGACACTAGCAGGCCTGTGTCAGACTATGGCGTCGACTCTTTGATGGCGGCTGTAGCAGAAACGCATTGTGCTCGCAGAGTTGCAGAAGCCCCGTACCAACTGCATATATAAAATACTGCAAGCAAGCTCTTGACGACCTCCAGCAGACCTTTACAAGCGACCAGGTTGCTTTGCCAGGCACCGAGGCCTACAGTCGCTTGAACTACGAATATCTTTCTATCCGGCAACGCGAACATACGCCAGCAGCCATCTTCGAGCCTAATAGTGCGGAAGACATCGCGCAGTTTCTCCGCATTATCAAGGCCAATAAAGCGAAGTTCGCTATCCGCGGTGTAGGTTAACAATCGCTTGAAGCCTATTCGAATATCGACGACGGGATTACTCTGAGTTTGAGTCGTCTTGCCGATATAGAGTTTAAGCCCGATGAGGGTATCGTGTCTGTGGGCGCTGGCGTAACCTGGGGTCCGGCTTATGAGAAAGTGCAAGCTGTAGGACTTAGCGTAGGGGGTAGTCGATCTGTTAAGGGCGGCATTGGTGGTCTCGCGCTCTTCGGTGGCCTTTTTTTCTTCTTTACGCGTGAAGGTTTCATCTGCGATAATGTGGTCAATTTCCAAGTAGTCCTCGCCTCGGGTGAGATTGTTTAGGCTAACGTTACGGATAACTTAGACCTATGGAGAGCTCTCAAAGGGGGCGGCAACAACTTCGGCGTCGTCACGCGTTTCGACCTTCGCACCTGTCCCCAGGGCTCTTTTTGGGGAGGCTTCATCCTCTACGCGGTTACGGGTGATAACTATTCGAGGCAAGTTGAAGCTATGGTGAACAAACTTCGCAAGCCAGACGCTTCAGCCGACACCCGTATCATGGCTAGTCGAAGCAATTCGGTGGCATTATGATGGGGCTAAACGAGATCTACTACACCGGGCCCGATGCCGCTTCGGTGTACGGATCTAAAGGCGAGACCACCGGAAAAGCCCGTGTCCCGCCCATGCTCGAACCGTTCACGACCGTTGAGAATCAGGTAGGCAGTCTCAATTCGCTTAGGATCATGACCCTGGTAGAAGGCGCTACCGAACATGCTATGGCATCGCAAGAGCACGTATGCTGCGCTTACATGAACTGCACCGTACGAGCTGACAAAAATACTCTGCTTGCTGCCGCCGAAATATACTCAAAGGCCATCGAACACCTGAAGCCAGTAGAGGGAATCACACTCTGTTTGACGCTGGACGGCTACCCCAACTCTGTTCTGCGGAAGACAGAGGAACTAGGGGGAAACGTGCTGGGTCTTAATGCTGGAGATTCGTTGATTTCGGTTCTATTGCTGACGTACTGGAAGAACAAGGAAGGCGATGAAAATATCATACTTGTTCTCCAGAAGGCTTTGGGTGATATTGAGAAGGATGCAGAGCGCCGCGGCCAAATAGTTCCGTATGTCTACTTGAACTATACATCCAGTTTTCAGGATCCGTTTACGTTATATGGCGAGGAAAATAAGAGGTTTTTGCAAGAAGTTAGCCGCAGGTATGATCCTTATGGGCTATTCCAGAACAGTTTCCCTGGAGAATTCAAACTACTTGCTTAGCCTGAATCTATGCTAATTTCGAAGAGGGAGGCATAATATACTTATTTGGCGGAATTATCCAGGTATATATTATCTTCGTATGGCATCTCGTTACACGCGCATATCTCTCTAGGCCTCTAAATGCCTGATGTAGTAGTATAGGTAGTATACAGTGCCATATATTTAAGGTCAGACCTTACATACAATCCATCGAAGACAAGTTGACCAGAGTGTAGCAGTTAATAACCTGAGGAGGAACACTAGGTCACTTAGTATATGTCTCATTAAGGGACAAGAACCCTCGCCCGCCTTGCCTGCATACAATTTTCCGTACGTGGCCGGTCACAAATCTGCCCAACTCGACTAAAATTTAATATCAAACGCACTCCGCTTCTAAACGCTATTGCAGACACGCTACGTACACACCCAGGATGTTAGAAGTGTGGGGTGAGGCGCCTTACAGATATTAGATGTATACACCCGTCCATTCGTGCGCGTACCACCTCCGTCATTTTATAGGTGTGGGGAGCACAGTAGGTGGGATGAGAGCAAAAGAGAATGAATCTACTTGTTAATAGATGTCATCTCGGGCTCCTTGAGACTTATCAACACCGATTATTGCCAATCAGCATCACCTCCCCCGGATTACGGATCAAGGCTAGGCAGGTCGGATGGAGGCTTAGATGAGAAGAGAAGCATTGATTAGGTCGGAAGTAAATATGTAAAGGGGCGTCACAGGTATTGAATATTCAATACATTGAGAAATACCCATCCTTCACCTGCGCAAACTTATTTGTACTAAATTTACTCGGCTTAAACGGCGTTTCTAAAGCCTTCTGCTACCCCTCATGAGTTTATCACCGGAATTAATAGTTGCTATTGTCGGAATCATCATTAGCCTTCCACCCGCCGCCATTGCTTTATGGAAACTCTTTATCTTAGTGTGCTAAGACTGGAATTCGAGGAAGCGGGCGAAGCCCGCTTTCGCCTCCCCCCCCTTCGTTGGCGCCACAGGCGCCACGAAACCCTTGGTCCGTGTGTTTGTATCTGTGGGGCGTGGGGGAGGCGTTCCTCGAACTCTAGTCTTAGGGACGTCTGGGGTTTTTAGCCGCACCTGGTACACATTTAGAGACTTTTAATAAGACTATATCGACGACAACACAATAGGCAACAACAACGTTTAAAATACCTTTTATTTTTTAGTCCGAGGCTATCTATTCAATTGCCCGGACATTTTAACCCTTTTTGCATGCTTATAAGACATCGCGTTATAAAGTTATAGGCTTTGACGTTTAAATTACAGCGTTTGTTGCGACCGGTGTTGCGACCGGTACTATAGCTAATTTTGACCCGAAACGCGTACGTTTTATATATAATAACCTACTTAAGTAATTAAATTAATACTTATTTTATATATAAATATTTTACTTACTATATTTTCAATTGATTTAATTATTATTGCTAAGTATACCAATTGAGGGAAAAATGTCCAGAGTCGCCTTAGACTAGAGATTGGAAAATGTTTTCGGGGGGGTGTACCGGGGTGTGATTGGTTGGGGAGGGTTGTGGCTGGGGGAGGTACTTCCCCCCGAACCATTTTCAAATTTCTAGTCTGAGGTCACCTGAGATCTATAGGTTTCTGTGGAAATCACCTGATAACGCGATTACTTCATAAAATCCTCTTTAAATCATACGCGTTTAAGCGCGATGTCTGCCTAAGTTTAAAAGGTGCCTTAGGTAAGGTTTCATACCTAATTTAGGTATTCATCAACACATGTCCATATAAAAACACAATAAAAATATATTCTTAATTTTCCTAAATCATATGTGACCATTTCTATACCCAACTTCACCGGGGAAGGTTTCATCATCCGCCATGGCAGACCACTATGAGAAACGAGAGGAAGAGGAAGAAGAAGATGAGATTGGCGAACAGGTATTTCGTTTATCTAAATATATGGACTCTAGTCCCTCTTGTTAATTATCAATTAGGACTTCAAAGCTCAGAAAGATGCTCTCATTTTCGCCATCGATGTGAGCAACTCAATGTTACGACCACCTCCTAAGTCAAATGACAAGAAGGCGGACAAAGATCCTCCTGTGTTTGCTGCGCTGAAGTGCGCATATCAAGTGATACAACAGCGAATTATATCTAACCCGAAAGATATGATGGGAATTATTCTCTTCGGCACCGAAAAGAAAAAGTACCGAGATGAGGAGAACCCTCCTTATCCGCACTGCTATGTCTATACCGACCTCGATATTCCCGCGGCTGAAGATGTGAAGAATCTCAAAGACCTTCTTGAAGGAGGGGAAGATGCCGACGAGATTCTCACACCATCTAGTGAAGGAGTTGTAATAGGAAGATTGCTTTTCTTAGTGAATAATCTCTTCACTACCAAGGCACCGAACTTTGGATCCCGAAGACTCTTCATTATCACCGACAATGACGATCCTCATAAGGAAAGCAAAGAGCTTAGGGAAAACGCAGCATGTCTCGCCAAAGATCTATACGACTTAGGTGTCACTATAGAACTCTTCGCAATTACTCGTGAGGACGAAAAGTTTGATTTCACCAAGTTCTACGACGTAATTCGCCCGTTTAGATCTGATTATAATTCTCGTTTACTAACCTTGCCTAGGACATTGTTTATCGAGACCCAGTCGTCGAAGAAGCACATCTTGGGAGGGTATCCACATCGAAGTCTGGCAGCGGACAGACACTTCTAAGTTCGTTAACTTCAAATATAAATTCTAGACAAACTCCAAAGCGAGCATATTTCAGTAATATGCCGCTTGAGCTGGGCCCCGGACTTCAGATTTCGGTTAAAGGGTATAACATCATTAACAAGCAGGCCCCCGCACGCAGCTGTTATATTTGGCTAGATGGTGAGAAAGCACAGATTGCCGTTGGCGAAAGTGCCCATATTGCCGAAGATAGTGCCAGGACGGTACATACAGGCGAAGTCAAGAAAGCATATAAATTTGGTGGTGAATATGTCTATTTTGGCGAAGACGAGCAGAAATCCATCAAAGAATTTGGAGGTCCAATAATCCGAATCATTGGGTTCAAAGACAGATCACAGCTAGGATTTTGGGCATCTATCAAAAAATCCATCTTCATCTTCCCAAGCGAAGAAGGTTACGTTGGGTCCTCACGTGTCTTCGCTGCATTGTGGCAGAAACTACTCAGGTCTAAAAAGATCGGCATTGCGTGGCATATTGCTCGAACAAATGGAAACCCTCAGCTGGTTGCTATTATTCCCTCTACCGCGCAATCAGACCGCAAGTCGGGCATAGATTTCGTACCGGCTGGCTTATGGCTTTATCCAATTCCATACGCTGACGACCTGCGCGAGGGCCCCGATCAGGCCAATCTCGTCAGAACCACGAACCAGTTGACTGACACGATGAACAAGATTATTGGAAATTTGCAGCTGCCAACTGCCACCTACAATCCATCAAGATATCCTAATCCCGCACTTCAATGGCATTATAAAATTCTTCAAGCCCTTGCACTAGAAGAAGAGGTACCTGACAAACCAGACGACGCGACCGTCCCCAAGTATAAGGCGATCCACAACCGATGTGGTGCATACATTCAAGAGTGGTCACGGACAGCGGATGACGTTTTAGGCATGGCTAGAGATGCTAAAGCTATCAAACGGGAGATGGAAATCGATGAGGGGAATGATGAGCCTAGGCCAGCAGCGAAGAAATCGAAGGCAGCTGCAACGAAAGCGGGCGGTAGTAGTACAGAGATGAATAACGCACAACTAAAGGAAAGATTTGAACAAGGCACCTTGTCAAAGCTGACAGTAGCTGAATTGAAACCGATCTTGAACGACCGAGGGATTGATTCGAAGGGGTTGAAAAAGACCCTCCTCGAGAGGCTTGAGGAATGGATTGAAGATAATGTATGAATTGAGGGAGTTGAATTATGTAGCTATCGGCGTTTAAGGCGGCTAGGTGTAAGCCTGACTTTGGCTTTAAGGACGATATCACTTGTAGATGATTAGCGAGATACGTACCTAGGTAGTGATCTATTTCACACAATTAGGAGGCTATCAAAACCCGAGAGTATCCCAGCTATAGTTCCCCTTACATCTACTAAAGAGCAGTGGTGAGGAGGTACCTAAGTACCTAAGTTAATGCGATCTTCAGTTAACTGGGCAGATATTTTTTTTCTATTTTTATACCTACATGTAACTAACTCACAGGTTGTCTTAAGTTTGTATTTAAGTTTGAATACCTGTGATTTAATACTTAAACCTTACGTAATACGTAATTTTTCAGCAATATCAATACATAATCAACCCCGCGTTCTCAGGTAACAGTTGCCTGGAACCTTACCTGCTGCATCCACAGGGCTACTACCTAACCTAGACCATGTATGGATTTAGGACTAGTACCTAAGTACCTAACCACCTGCAAGTCGCCCCAGAGCCGCGACCTCCAACGCGTTTAGTCAAGCTCTCCACCTGCATCTATTTTCGTTCATTTCGCACCATCTACATCGCGCCTAATTCCGCCGGCGGTTTCTGAGAATAACAGAACGGCCCTGGAGTCATCGGCGGAATGGATGCCCTCTTGGAATCAACCAGGGGTAATCTGGTATGCAATTCTGTTCAAGATGTACAAGATCGACTGCACCGTCTTCTCGCTTCCAGATCGTCGGATACGCGCGCAGAACATGCCTCTTTTACGTTCGAGTTTCGACATAATGTGGTCTTTCACTTGAATCCGGATACCGAAAATAGCCCCGCTGACAGTGTCGTCAACCCTACCGAACAATCGCACCACCAACCTATTACCCAATCCGTGAATGCCTTCGAAACAGTACAAAACCAACCCAGCGATGACCCTATCCTCCAGCGTGCTGTCGCAAAGCATATCATCGGTGCGATGGGAATTGTAGATAATAGTTCGTGGACAGTACGAAAAGTTTCTCGGGATTCACAAGGTTGGACGTTCACATACATCTGCAAAGACTCGCTACAAGCATGGAATCGCGCGAATACGAAGAACATCGAGAAGCATGTAATTGGTAGCTATAGCGGGCCAGGCAGCTTGGATCCAATTAATGCCTGTATGTATAGATGTTAAAATCTTGCGTGGATAAGCCTCTGACCTCATTATAGCTCGTCCTGCCTTCGATTGTCGCGGAACTCTCACGATTGCCTTTTCGAAATCTGCCAGAGCCGTTATCGTTAAATATGATCACACGCCTATACACAAGACTGTCGCGCAGTTGGTAGATCTTATAGCACCTACTCTACCGCCCCCACCCGTCAACAATGGCGGCACGGGAAGCCAGAGAACGCCAAGGGCTAAGCGACCTCCACCAGCGGAAGGCGAAGAAGGGAGCCGCAGGAAACGTTCAAGGAAGAAGGAAAAGGCACCAGAAGCACCGATGGAAGAGCAACCTCCTGGGGATGGCCAAAATAGTCAGAACATTGCCGAATCGCAGGCTGTGAACCATGGCGGTGTATATGTCGCATCGGTTCCGATTGTTCCCCCCGATGAAGTTAAACGCCGTAGACAAACGGCGATAGATCTCCTTAATGGAAGACACATCGATCCTGCGACACTCTCGGAGGAGCAATTTAACATATTTGCAAATCAGGCACCAAATCTACAGGCAACTTCGTTAGATATGTTAGCTACGTATGGCCCCGCGAGGTTAAGAATTGTTCATCCAGATGATATAGATGACAATTCAACTCCCGCAGAAGAACAATCTACCAATGCAACCCCTGCTACTGTATCGGGCCAGGCGTCTACTTCTGGGGTAACCGAGACACCAACGAAGAAGAGGCGTCCTCGAAAGAAAAAGGTTGACGGGGCAGTAACTGAAGTTTCTATCGGTGATGGTGCAGTAGTGTCAGTACAACAGAGCGGCGAAATTGGAACGACAACTTCGACTCTGAAATTGACGACTAAGAAAACACGCGGAAGTTGTGAGACTTGCAGAGACAGGAAGCTCAAGGTAACTTGTACTTCATCACTAAATAGAAATATAATACTAACACAATATAGTGTACTAAAGAACATCCCAGTTGTTCTGTATGTACTACAGCTGAGGTGCAATGTATTTATTTACCACCGAAACCACGACGGAAAAGAGCGATACTTTCTGGTGAGGTTGTTGAAAATGAAGATTCCGACCTACCTGGAGAAAGGGAAGAATTCCAGGCCCAGATGCAATCTCAGGAGACACCATTGCCAATGCAAATACCAACAACACAAATGCCAGTGCAGTACCAAGGACCTGCTATTTCCCCGCCGATCCCAGATCCCGATAATGAAGAATTCATCCCAGATCCAAACATCTTGTCGGGGCCTGTTGAGCATCCTCCCGCTACCACGCAACCTCCTACACAACCTTCCACAATGCAATACTACCATCAGAATCATAGCAATGGGCTCACATTTCCCCAGAATCTGCAGCCCTCTACCGGGCCGACAGCAATATCAACTTTAACATTCCCAGAATCTCAAACCCGTGAAACCCAATCCGAGTCTGCTAATTTAGTCTTTCCGTCGACATCATCCCATCAGGCTGAGAACTCATCAGGTTCAACCTTTCCGCAACCGGTCCCAGTAACAAGTCAGAAGGCGCAAAACACGCCCACGTCTAACCGACGTAGTCTTCCCACCACGCAAAATAAGCAAACACCGATACCCACACCCGTACCACCACCTACCATACCGCAGCACCCCCCCAATTGGAATTCCCCCTCCACAATAGGGCATGCTACTACAGCGTCACCGACATTGACCCAGCAGCAAACATCCAGACGATCAAGGTCACGTAAATCTGACGTAGAAGTTAGACAGCAGGCAAATGACACTATGAGACAACCACCAGCCGTATCGCATGTCGCAGCGCAAAATCAGAGGCAGCCGTCGCCTGCAACGGGGTCACCATACCAGACTACAACTCGCGCAAGATCTCGACAAGACCATAGGTCACAGACTGATACGCCCGCTGTATCCACATCTCGCCCTCCTCCGCAGGCCCCGCAAGCTGCTGTCAGTGCCTCCTATAATACGCCTACATCAGCTTCGATTTCAAGCTATGACCCTTATCCACGTTATGACAACGCAACTAGTAGCCAATATAGCAATGCAAACAACGACCAGGGTTCGACTCGCATTGCATATGAGCCTGGCTCGTACCAGGCTCATGCAGCTGCTATAACGTCGGCGTCCTATTCCTCAGCGCCGGCATATGATTATCCTCGGACTACAAGTTCATCGGACCCTCTCTCCCAAGCCCTCAACTCATCATCCGGATACAACAACAATACCAGCAGCAGTACTGCAACTTCTCAATGGCCCACCTCACAAGCTCGAGGCAGCCAAGCGCACTCCCAACCACAAGCAAGCAATAGCTATCCTATGACATCAACTACTGCATCCACCTCTAATAACTATGGCACAAGTTCTGCGGAGTCGCGGACTTCCCATCAGAATACCCCTTATACCCAATCCCAGCCTCAATCGTATAATTCTTACTCGGCACAGCAGCCGAGCATGAATCAGCAACCCCAGCAAACCTGGTACCGCTTTAACGCCAACAATAATAGTAGCGCCGGTACAAACCAAAACACTTACAGCAGTAACCGAAACAGCGGCTACGGCGGCACCGCAAGCTCAAATCAGACCGCGTATAGCAGCCATAGATCTAACGTGTCCAACTACCCTGGGCACAATTACGGGTCTGGGTCGGACGATCAGAGCATATACGAGTTGCTAAGGGCCAACGGCTCTACACATTAGGACATGTCTATATAACCCTTGATGGCGATTGTCTTGTCTATTTGAACATGTGCTATTACGGAACGGCGACGGTTTCAACCGAAGGATTTATATACTTGTACAGATGAAGGAATACGTTTATACCCCCAAGACAGGAAAAGGATGCTATGATATATTAGCTGCGGCATTAGGCTCAGATACTAGCATTGTTATGCTAACGAGCTATGTAGCGCGTTAGGAAGCGCTATAGCTTTTATGTACCTAGATAGCTGTTCTAGCTACATTAACGATACCACTAACTATGCGATGTATTTTAGAGGTCTTTATCGCCTATCCTAGTATCCGTGCTCATTGTACATTGTAGTGCTGAACAAGCTCCTAAAGGAGTGAGATATTTTCCTCGTACAGAAATTCATAGACCGTTGCGTATAACATATATTTATCAAGTAACTAACTAGGTGTCTTCCCTTCGATTATTGTGACTCTATCTATAAACCCTAGGAGAAAATAGGAGTATACACGTACCATAACATACCGAATTAAAGTAATAAGTAGGTGCTGGGTATGTACCTAAGGTAGGTATGTATAAACACAAGCTTTGTCTATATAGGTATGTATCTGGTCAAAATTGCGCCAAGTATCGCTTGCTTGCTCGCTCGCTTATCCTCTCTATCTTCGCTCATGCACTAGCCGTCCGCGTACCCAGACTTTCTTCACGTTCCGGTCATCGCCATTAAACACCCACTTCGCGACGCGGTCCTCCCATCGCTCCCAGCCGAAGATATCGACGTTTCCGGTATCTTGGTCTTGGTCTTGATCGTCTTGTTTTAATTCCGTGCTATCGTCTTCCTCGGGAACGAGTCCAAGTCCGATTAGCTGTGCGTCCCATTCCTTGCCTACCTCGAACCCGCCAATTTTCTCCCCTAAGCCAACGACTTCGGCGCCGCCCCGCGTAGCTAAATGCAATGCCTCCTCGACGCTCAGCCGGACTAGCTCACGATCGTCTTTAAAAGATGTGTTAGCTTCGGTGTCGGCGCTGGAGTCTATCTGCTTCTTCCCGGTTCGCGGCGGCATGGCGAGATGATTCGATACGAGAGCGGCCTGGCGCGCGGCATCGAGTACGCTAGGACTATATCCGCCGCTAACATCGGTGCCGAGGCCCACGCCAATCCCCTTATCTAGCAGCCAGCGCACGGGCGCTACGCCGCTCGTCAGCGCCGAGTTGCTACACGGGCAATGGGAGACCTTGGACCCGCGGTGCGCGACAAGGTCGGCTTCCTCCTCGCTCAAGTAAATAGCATGTGCGAGGATCGTGCGCTTGCCTAGCAAACCGAAGCGGTCGTACACGTCGGCGTAGTTTTTGCTGTCGGGGAACATGTCCCGCACGAGCTTCAGTTCGTCGACGTTCTCCGCGATGTGTGTCTGAATCGGAAGCCCAGTTTCCTGGTGCAGAGCGCCGAGCTGGGTCATGGCATCTACGCTACATGAAGGTGCGAAGCGGGGAGTTAGGATCGGGCTTATGAGATCGAAGTCCGCGTCGATACTCCGAATATGGTCGATAGTGGCGCGTGTCGCAGCTAGGGACTTCGACGGCGATTCGTCGAGGTAGTATTTGGGGCCAAGGTTATCCATACACACGCGACCGACGAAGGCACGCTGGCCTAGCGAGAGGCATAGGTCTGCGAGTAGGTTTGTGGACGGCACGTGGATTGTGGCGTAGTAGGCTGCGGTGGTGGTACCGTGGGCTATGGTTCGCTGGATACAACGTGTGTATACTCTGCGAGCTTTGGGGAGTGAGGAGAGGGATGCTTCCATGGGAAAAGTATATGTGTTTAACCAGTCCAGGAGCGTAGATTTGCCGAATATGCCCACGTTAGGATACTGTGGCGCGTGAATATGCGTATCTGCCGCTGGTGAGTAAAAGGGATAACTTCAAGTGAAAAGGGGTGAAGAGTATTCTTACCAATGAACCCAGGAAAGAAGAATTGGCCATCTTTTGCTATCGTGACGGTGACATCGTCTACCTTCCAACCTAGCTTAGGATATAAAGTCACCTCAGCTTTCTTCTGATCGCATTGCTTCTCGACAGCAATAATCTTGCCGGACTTGTCTACACAGACTGCGGTGTCATGCAGATATTGGAGCTCGCCGAGCTTCACGCTGTGTATGAACAAGCCCAGAAATAGCTGGTTCTTATCGTTCCCTGGAGGAGCCATGGTAGATTGCTCTCTTGCTTGAATTTTCCGACTTGTGTCTCTTTCCTTGATATAACCCAAACGAAGGTGTCTGGTCTTATTTTCAAACTCCAAAATAGACCCTTGCTGATTCTTCAAATTCCCCGTCGTGATTAGGAGTAGTGTGGTAAGATATCATAAGCCCAGTGTAAGACTATGCCCTGCTCAATATAATTCCATTTAATGCTTCAAGTATACCAGTTCCAACCCATGCCCAAACCAAACGCGTAGTGAATTATACACCCAGGATCTCAACATGGATGGAGTAAGTAATGAAGTAGGTAGATAATCAGATCTTGTGGCACGATGCAAATGACGTAACAGAAGTCGAAAAGAAGGTGTATCATCAACGGAGAATTTAAAAGGGGGAGGGATAGAAATAGAAAAGATGTTTGTACTTGGTGATGACAAGGAAGTTTAGGTATGGACACTAAGAGGTACACTAAGAGAGGTACACTAAGAGAGGTACACTAAGAGAGGTACACTACCGATCTAGGTACATAGGTAGGTACATACATGTATGTAGGTAGGTTACTAAGGTAAAGAGGTAGGTACACTAGATAAGGCACTCTTCTAGATTAGGCGAGATCCCACCGGTGGTTCCTGCATCAAACCAAGGAACAAGGACCGGAACTTACCAGAGTTTTTTGCTAGTTACCTTACCTAAGGTAAGTTAGTTAACATTAGAAGGTACCGACTTAAGGGATAACATGTGCACAGCGTTTATGGTCACGTCCGATGGAAGTCGGTCAACGCCGGCACCCGGGCGCCGCATTCCTATTGGTCCTATTGATTCTATTGGTGCTTGTCCTTGGAGTTATGTACGAATTCCTCCAGCAGCCCCCAGTCCCCCATAACCCCGCCGGGAATTAAGCTATCGATCGCTATCTTTACCTCCCAAGTCATGTCTTAGTTCAGCCTGCAACAATATATTTCAGACAAGATAAGATAGATTATATTGTATATTTTATTTGAGTCTGCTATTAGGTAAGGGGATACTTTCTTATTTTATACGTTAACTAACTAGTAATATTAGTTATACATAACTAACATAATTACCTCATAAACAAGTATGCACCTAATGTATTAAAGATGACTTCCATAATTAATTCCAAACAATTATTTCACTGTAGCTCATTTACTTTGAGTTCCATTTCCCACCAATCATTTACTTTTACTCTTCCGTTTGCCTTTCTCTCTTTAATGAGATAGTTGACAGCAAAAGTCAACAACTTCGTACCCAGCTTGCTTTTATGTCTTGCATGGCGTTGCACCGGTGGTGGTACTTCAAGGGTTTTGGGTATGACTAGTAGAACAATAGGCGATGACGTCTAATAGCTTAATTCAAACGACATCCGTAAGTTGCAAATTGTAACATCACCTATACATCTTCGCTTAGAATTCACCGTTACCCGGGTACAAATAATACAATCATCGGCCCATCGGACTGTCTTACTCGAGATCATCTGGAGAAGGAGTTATACCTAGTATACCTAATATACCTAATATACTACTACATATAAGACAAGACTCAAATACCATCGTACAGAAAAGTTCCAGCATTCGTAAGGCCAGCCGTCGCATACTAAAGCGGTGTGACAGGAAATAATACCGTATCCCTCATCCTGATTGGCTAACGCAGGTACCGGGGACACGACGTAGACAAAAACTACCGAGGATCCGGCTAACTACGCCTATTAAATCCGACATATTATTAGCAACAAAAGTAGGTATAATAATGAGCGAGAGAGAGAGGGGGGGCAAAATAGAAACTCCCCGGGCCGGCAACACATTAAATATCGTGAAACAGAATTCCCCTCTATAAGAGAAAGAGAAAAGAAAAGTAAAGTAAAAAAAAAAAAAAAAAAAAAGCCCGAAGCCGATCTTCGCTCTCGTCATCCGAAAACTCCATTCATTACGTTGTCGTCAACGCGTTCGTTTCCTCAATCTTGTCTTACATACGCAACCTCCCGATATCTTAGGTACCTTACCTACTCTCACCTACCCGGCCTTGGCTAAGAGAGAAAGGGGAACCTGATCGACATACCAAAACTGTTGTGATAGCTATAACAGCAGACTGCAAACATCCATCATTGTAACCCCTAACCCTGATTCTGTGTAACAAACAAATTCCGGTTTCCCTCTTATATATCCCCCCACCACCCACTATGCCCCTCCACATAGCCAACCTCGGCTCCTCCTTCGCCGCCGGCCCTAGCATCCCGCCATGCGTAGACGACGCGGCCGGGCGCTCCGGGGCAAACTTCGCATGTCTAGTAGCCAAACGCGCCGGCGCCCAGCTTACGGACTTAACGGTCTCCGGCGCCGTCCTGCCTAACATAACAACAGAGCCCCAAGATCGCGGCGGCTGCCTATTCCCGCCGCAGATCGAAGGGTTGCCCGCGGACGCGGACGTGGTGTTTGTGCTCGGCGGCGGCAACGACATCGGGTACATCGGGGGGCTATTCGAGGACACGCTCAGCGCGTCCTGGCTAGGCGCCTTCGTCATGCGCGTGCGCGGGACAGGCGGAGCGCCCCTCGCCACCACCGTCCTCGACGTTGCGGGGCTGGCGGCCAGGTACGGCGGGGTCCTAGATGCGATCCACGAGAAGGCGCCCAAGGCCAAGGTCCTAGTGGTCGAGTACCTAACGATGCTAGGGACGCACACGCGAGCGGACACAGACGTGCCCTTCGGCGAGGAGAGAGTCGCGCACCACCGTGCCGTATGCCAGCGGCTGCTAGAAGCGACTGCTTTGGCGGTCGAAGGCCGCGAGGCTTGGGCCGAGGTGGTTCCTGTGGGCGCGGCAAGCGAGGACCATGCGATCGGGGCCCCGGAACCCTGGGTCTCGGGGTTCACGTGGAAGCTGTTCTACGCGGGCGGCGCGTATCATCCGCGGGCCGAGGGCATGAAGGCCGTTGCCGATATACTGTATAAGAAGCTAGTCGACCTGGGGATAGTGGACGACGGCGAGCTATGAAGGCGCGGTGGGAAAGGGTTGGAAATGAATTTGACCGGATCGGTTCGGATGGGGTTTTAAGAATTTGGACGCGACGGAACGAATCGATTCTGCTGCTTGGATGAACGCTGGCTGGCTTCTGGAAGATTGCGCTACTGTAGAAGACTGCTATGCTATCTTGTGTGGGATGCAAGAATCTTGTTGTTTCTACATAACTTGCCTACCTAGTTAGCATTTACCGGGTTTAGACTTAAGGTGAACCTGAGTCTTTCACCTAGTGTTTGTTCTTGGTCGAGTTGGATCTCGAATATATAGGCAGATTTTATGTACAGAGAATTCCCAGACGCAGAATACTTGCTCTACCACTACCTGCCTATGGAATATATAGGACCTATAAATATAAAGGGATGGGTTCATGCTGGTCTTATATAGGCTCTATAGAAATGATTCTGACCTTAAATTGTATCATGAAAGCGTTCAAGGTAACTTAGCATGCCGGTCTTAATATCATCCCTAAGACGAAAGTACGGCAGTGATAACTAGGATCATATAAACTAGTAACGTAGAAATTATATTGTAAAATAACGCAAGAAGACAGCTGCCATTATACATAATTCATGTAGGTCAAAATTTAATATCATTTACCATAGACTGATAGATTACATGTGTATATCATACGCATCATGTCAAGCATAATCTGAGATATGTTAAAATTATTGAATAATTCATTGTTTGGATAGCTAGATACATTCCAAACCTATCTATCGCGGACAGACCCAACACCAAGTTTTTCCATCCGAACGTCGTGAATATAATAGCACACGTGCTGATGAATACAAGCCCAAAACACCGCCAATGCGATATTGTTTTTCAATACCACAGCGCCACCTTATATTACCCATATTTTAGTAACCGTTCACCTGCGAAGGAGGCGAGTTGACACCGTTGGCACCATTGACGTCTCCCTGATAACTATCCCAATCCTGTAGGATCTGCGCGATCTTGGGCGACCCTGTGAGATCGTACACGTTTTGGAAATATTCTTTCGTAAGTTCGAACGGCCGGGCTGTCACGTTAGGAATGTACTTTCCAACTAACTTGGCAGGGTCGATCGAAGTCTTGTTGATCTTCTTCTGAAGTATATTTCGGAAAGGCTTGACGCCTGACCGTAAGAATGTGGAATGGAATGGCACGTCTATGCCCTTAAGAGGGATAGTAGCAAACCCTCTTTCGAGCTCTAGGGGTGTGGGCTTCTCCAAAGTCTTTTGAGCACAACCCTTGATTATGTCAACGAGGTGCCCCTTCACTTCCTCAATGCTCAAGTCTTGGCGAAGCTGGTTAATATCCACCTTCTGTGACTTTAAGAAGTTCAAGACGCCAGTGAGAGTGTCCAGAGCGCGCAGGTCACCAGCACAGACGTACTGCAAATTGGCAATGTTGTAGTTGACAATCTCCAACAGCCAGCCTGTCTCCTCGGCGATGTTACTAACCACGTATCGGAGGGCGCCCTCGCTAAAGGTCTTGGAGATTCGGCTAGGGTTGACAGCACACATGGAGTAATTTGATCGGCCTTGGGCATCTCGCTCCACGGCGACTTGCATCGTCAAACCACGGTAGAAAACAACCGAGACTAGGGACTCAATAGGCAGAACGTCGGCTAACGCGGCAAGAGCAGAGTATTCGCCCAAGGAATGGCCAGCAAAGGTGCTGTCTCGTGGCACAAGACCCTTGGCATTCATGTCTTCAAAACTGGCCTTTTCCATGAGGGTAAGGGCGGGCTGCGTGAACTGGGTTGCTGATAGAAGACCTGTGGGTGACCGGTACGTATACGACGTCGTCTTCTCGTTAATCTCTTTAAATATGCGCTCCGATTTCACGGAGCCATCTGCAGCAATGGTCTCGAAGTTCATCTGCATGTAATTCTCGCGGATTGCTTTACCCCGAGGACCACCAAAGTGAATAGTCAATTCCTTCGGGTTATTCTTCACGATATTCAAAATAGAGAAGCCTAAAACATGTTAATAGGTTGGCACCTATGATCAGGTACGGGGTAAACTCACCATATGTATCTAGGAGATACGTATCGGCTCTATCCCAGACTTCCTTGGCAACGGGGCTAGAATTGTACAAGTCCATACCCATGCCTTGTTCTTGAGATCCCTGACCAGTGAAGACGTAAGCTGTTACCGGTTGCTCCACTTCAGCCTCTCCAAGCAGTACCTTCTCCTCCGTCTCCTCATTACTCGCCTGAACTTTGATAATCTTGCGACCACCAATCATACCAACATGCTCAAGCTTGACTTGGATGTCATCGTTGGGCAGTACCATACCAACGAGCGAGGCGTGGAAACTGCGGACGCGGCCAATGTTATTCTCAGCTGCCCAAGTTTCTACCAGACTTCGCACCGCAGCACTCGAGTACATGCCGTGGGTAATAGTGCCGGGAAGGTTGGCATAACTGGAGAAGACACGAGAAACGTGGATAGGGTTGTAGTCACCAGATACCTTCGCATATGTCTCATTTGAAGCCGGTGCCTTCAGCTGTAGAGGCGCCTTGCCGCTCAGGGGAATAGGGTTCTCAAAGTTTATCGGCTGCTCAATGGAAGAACCATGTCTTTCGAGGTAGTCAACAACTGGGTTACCATGAGACGAACCAGCTTCGTAGTCAACGCTTGCTACTTGAATAATCTCCTTGGTAGGAAGCTCCAGTAGCACCTGACCACGGGTTTCGACGCTGCTGTAGACAGTCTTATTCTTGAACTTGTAAAAACTCTGCAGGCGGAATGTTAATGTTTGGCCGAGCAGTTCAATATCATTGCTGTCAAACTGGATCCAGTCCTTGGATTTCAGGACTGCCACGTCCTTGGAGGTAACAAGATGAACTTGCATTGGCGTCTCCATTTTGCGCTGGAAAGTGTTTTCATAGTCCGTATAAACACCACGATACAAGAATTGTGATGTGACTTCCATAACAGCTTTGCCATCTCTATAGATCGTACCGCATACTTCGACCATCTTGCCGGATTCTTCGTTAATTACAGCGTTGATTTGAGCGGTTGTCTTAACCTCGTCACCCTTCTTTAAGGGATCTGCACCTGGCATCATACGGAAGCCGTTGGAAAGATGCACAAGTTTAAGAAGATCACCATCGATTTTTCGGGGGAAGATGGGTTTTGTGATGGCCTTCCATCCGACGACGATAGCAAAATCCATAGGGGCAAACATAACCTTGCCGGGGCGATCAACGAACGCCTCGCCGGTGTTGCCAACAGCGTGAACGAAGTCGTTGATGTCCTCCTTACTAATGGTAGCTCGTCCTCCGTCGAATTTGCTAGTAACGGGAACGTCGAGGTCAAGAGTCTCATCTCCAAACCAGGCACGCCAGTAGAATTCTTTGATACGGTCATTTCGTCCTTCCATGACTTCGTGAATTGGTGCATATCCAGCTTCGGGGTGATATGTAAACCGGAGTGGTAGCGACACGGACTGGCCGAGAGCTGTGGTATCCTTGATCATGCTAACGACAATCTCGCTCTTGCCGTCTAGCTTGACTTCAATCACATCGACGTAATGATTATGTCGCGGTTGCTCGCGAACGATAATGGATGTTTTAGCTGGATCATTAGGATATAAAATCTCAATGAAAAGACCACGGACTGGTGCGAAGATTCTCTTCATCGGATTTGTCTGGTACTTATTGCCCTGCACCAACACTTCAGAAGTGAATAGCGCATGGCGCCAATTGCGGTTTGGCCCTGCCAATAGTGCAAGCCAACTGTCAACGGAAGGTAGCACAACACCAGGAGACGATGACAGGCGGTAGGTATTCTTGTGTTGGTCATATGATACTGTAAGGCCTTCGATATCCAATGGTACCTCGGTATCAATGAGCTTACCACCGAAGTATTCAATGACCGGAATGGCTTCAGGTTTGTTGGCGTATATGTCCCGAGTTAAGTTGGAGATATGAGCGTTGTGGATTCCATCTAGGATGTCCTTGATGGGCTCATCCAGCACGGTTGAGTACTTGACAGCGGTGGGGCCTTGAAGAATACAAGTACGCCCAACATCTTGGCCGATGACCGCCGCAAGATCTTCTGATTGCCAGAGCGAGTCTTTCTTGAAGAAGAACTCGAAATTCTCGTCAAGAGACGGAACAAAAGTCACGGGTTTTTGGCCCCGACGTTGGCAGAGAAGTAAGAAGTGCTGAACATCCTGAGCGTTTATAATTTGAGTTTCAGCCTCAGGATAGTGTGAAAGAATCCTCTCAATAGCAGCAAATGGCTCCTTAAGTTCTGAGTAGTTTTGCAAGTAGGAAGGCTGTCCAGTACCGTGAGTAAACCTTTCCTCGACACGATGAATGAAATCACCTGTGAGCCTAGTAAATGACGGGTCAATCCACCGCGACTCGTGTTTGACGTAGAGAAGATCTACCATCCGACGCACAACTTCGCCGTAGGTCATATCCTCGAGATCGACGGTCTGGCCAGCTTTGTTTCGGCCAAACCACACCTTCTGGAAGTCATCATTCAACTTCTTGATAATGTACTCCCTGTTCTTTTTCAGTTCAGCAACGCGCTTTTCTTTTGGTAAGCTAAAGATCTTGTTGTCCATTTCTGCCCAGAACCTGACACCCCTGGTTGCAAGTTTGTGAATGGGCTCACCCATCTCCGATCGGACAGTGATAACGCCACCAGCCGGACCCTTGTAGGTCTTCTCCCACTCCTCGTTATCAAGCCCTTCGGCGTCTATGATGGCTTGCTTAGCATCCCTGCTCGTATGCGCTTCCTTAGCGACCATCATACGACTGCCAAAGAGGCAACCGTCGAAAGGCATTGGTGGGTAGCCGAATTTCTTAGACCATTCACCGGTAAGGTATGGATATGTGTCCTCGGCTCCACCAAATCCGCTGCCAGCGACAAGAATAATATTGTCCGACCGTCGAATACGTGGGTACATTTGTAAGATGGGCTGGTGGAAATCCTCGAACGAATGATGACCTCCTCCTCGACCGCCAGTCC